TAACCTGTCACAACTTAGCTAATGACAGGGGAAGGGGAAGGCACTGTATGGGTCTGCCTGCATGAAGGTGGTGATCTGCGTGTTGTACTAGGGAGAAAAAGCTACATTACACTGATTCTGTGGCGCAGAGATTTCACTGGGGCTATTCCCCACTTTTCTCTATTCTGGCCAATCAGAACGCGCAGGGCCAACCCTAGCCGGAAAACGCACAGTGTGCTCCATTCCCGCACTCAACAGAAGGTTATCATTTGCACTAGACTGCTTTATCTTTAAGGTTGTATCCCTTCTATGCTTTAGCTAGAAGTCTATAAGTTAGCAACTTACATTCGAAACTATGTAGCCAACTTTAGAGAGGAGGTGCCAATTATCTAGTGGCGACGTAACAACGGTTAAAAGAAGGACGAAAACTTTATACTAGACATCTCTTACTTGCGTATAATTAGCTCTAGAGCCGTAATTCGAAAACCTAAACAAGTCATCTAGAAGGCAGGCGATTTAAAGCTTAAACTATAAGGCGAAGAGGCTATGCTTGTAGGCTTTGAAGGGACTTACTTATACAGGTGTTAGGCCATCCTCTATAGTAAGCTTGTTGTTACGAAAGACGTGTATATATTCGAAGAAATTGTAGAAGACGTGGATTTAATCAAATCCTGGCCTAAGGGAGTCTGGCGCTGCACTAAGAAGGTGACGATTGATTAGAAAACGTAGGACTACAACGTCTTTATCCTAGAACCTGACTTTGACGTCGAGGGGGAGCCTAATCTAGACGATAATCCGGATAATATCTTCGATCTAGAAGACTTTGAGGAGCCCTTGCGGGACTAAGCTGGCATCCCGAATCGACCTTGGGAGATTGTTACAATCTTAGATCTAACTCTTATTTACAAACGCGCAGTGCTGCCTTAGGCCGCGCGCAATCTGATAGAAGTGGGCAGCGCAGACCTTGCATAGCGCGTACTAAGTGCGCACAACATAGAAAAAGATAAGCTAACTGTAAAGGAGGCGCTGTTAGGAAGCAAGTTAGATTAACGGCGTAAGGCCATGTTTAGGGAGATAGATAGCTTGATTGTAAGAGGCGTCTTTAAGTTTGTAGACCAACCAAAAAGCAGGAAGACGATTACTAGCAGGTGGGTGCTGCAGCAAAAGTAAGGACTAAATTAAGAAGAGATAAAGAAGAAGGCAAGGCTGGTAGCTAGAGGCTTTTAGCAAAGGCAGGGCCTTAACTATAACGAAACCTTTGCATCGACTTCTCGATTAGACTCCTAGCGTATGCTTGTAGCACTAGCTGTCTAGTTTAACTAGACCTTACGTTAATTCGACGTGATTGCTGCCTACCTGTACGGACTGCTGGACGAAGATATCTTTATAAAACAAAAAGAACTGTTTTAGCAATACTTTGAACAAAAACCTAAAGTGGCACGCTGGCTTGACTAGGCGCCAAATCGCGTTATTTGGCTACAACGAGCGTTGTACAGCTTAAAGCAAGCCGGCCACGTCTAGCAGAAGAAGCTGCGCGAAACCATAGCATTAGCAGGGCTTAGGCCCTTTATAATAGACCCTGCTACGTATTACGGCAAAGGCGTGACCGTGGTAACGCACGTTAACGATGCCCTCTATAGAGGAGCTAAAACTAACGTCGCTTCGTTCGAACTCAGTATGCGTTAGTTGCTAGAGACAGAAATGACACCAACGCCCGAATGGTTACTAGGCGTTAAGATCGGGATCACCACCACAGAGGGGGGTACTCAGATCAGCCTCTCCCAGTCGGCGTACATTCGCGACCTCCTCGAATGCGAGGGCATGAACGAATCGCACCCTGTTGCGACCCCGATCACCAGTCTGGTGACTCCTGACGAGCATGAGCCCCTGGCAGACAGCTTTCGATATTAGCACGTGAACGGCAAGCTGATCTACGCTGGTGTGATGACGAGACCAGACATCTCCTTCACTGTACACCAGCACTCAAAGGTGATGAAATCACCCAGGGAAACGCATGCCAAGTCAGCCAAGCGATCGCTTCGCTACCTGCGAGGCAAGGAGGACTACGCGATAGTCTACCGCCGTCAGAAGCCCCCTCCGAAGGGGCACATTTGCGTTGAAGGGTGGGTTGATGCGTCCTGGGCCGACGATCCAGTTGATCGTCACTCCACGTACGGCTTTGTCTTCAGGATTTCAGGAGGGCCGGTCTCTTGGAGAGCCAAGAAGCTCCCGACCGTCAGCACCTCCACCTGTGAAGCTGAATACGGCGCCGCCTACTACGCAACAACGCAGGCCCGCTGGATCGAGCAATTCATGCTCGAAATGGGCCTCCAAGCCGACATCCAGATGTTCGTGGACAACACCTCCGCGATCAGCATCACGAAGAAGCCTGAATTCAGAGAGCGTTCGAAGCACTTCGACGTCAAGTGGCACTACTTTCGTGAAAGCGTACTAGGCGGCTTGTTGACGGTACGGTACGTAAAGTCTGAGGATCAGATCGCTGATATCATGACGAAGGCGCTGCCTAAGGCAGCGTTCGAGAGGCTGTTGCCTCGCTTAATGGGCTAGCAGCTGTGAAAAGGGCTGCCAAGGATGATTTCAGTGCATCGCGGTGCGCCTACGTGGCGTATTCAGGGGGAGTGTCAAGCATTGGAATCCGCCACACTGTGGCCCTTCCGCCCCACTTGGCCGTACTGGCCTGTAATTGGTCAGAAGGCACAAAAGCGGGGCCTGACACTAGTATTAATACGGATCCCCAGAAGGGTCGCGATGTATCTATTTCTTCCCAAGTACACAACACTCTTTCGCCCACACTAGACCCTATTCAGCCTCCTGCTCCTCACAGTGCATCACGTTATATGACCGCTACGTATAGCCTCCTTTAACCTTCACAGTTTCTTACGAATAGCTGCAGCCTCAGCCACTTAGCCGATGCCGAGGCACGCGGGGAAATCATTGCGGGCCGAGGACAGACATCCAGCCAATCGGCGACGTGGAATTAGGTTTAGGGGAACACAGGGCATAATATAGAACCACATGCGAGCAAAGTACTCCGTACTGTTTCTCTCGTCCAGCCGTCCCAGCTGACATGACAGGCCCGACGCGCTGCCAGGCAATCTCCTTTGGGGTCTTGTTGATGAACAATTGCTGAACAGACATCGACAACAGCCAAACCGAGTTGAAGCCCGACGACCTCCTTCGACGTCTCGCCGACGTCGATTTCGCCTGTCCCATTCTCGCATCCTCCCCATCTCTTCCTTCGGCAGCATGGCCCCCGCCAAGGGTCTCTCGCCCGCCCGCCTCGACGCCTTTCTCGTCCGCCTCAACACGGTCATGCAGACGCCCTCGGGCAGCGACGCCGTCCTGGCGACGGTCTGCTACGGAGCTCGCACGGGCTCGGTGCTGCTGACGACGGCGGCCGGCCGCCAGCTTGCCGCCGATGTCGCCCTTGACCTGGCCAAGCGTCTGCGTGCCCTCGGCGCGCTGGCGACCGAGCTGCGCATGATGACGCGACTGTGGGGCATGCTGTCGATGTACGTCTGGGCGCGACAGCTGCTGCAGCAGATCATGGCCAGGACCGCCAGCAAAAAGAAAGACCCCCTCGACTCTCTCGTCGCCTGGTCGCAGCTCGTCTCCTGCTCTGCCTACCAGATGCTCGAAAACGTGGCCTATCTGGCCCAGCGTGGCATCCTGCCGCTCTCGTCCCAGGCCCAGACGGCCGCCTACCTCTGGAGCAGCCGCGCGTTCTGCGTCTACGTCGCCGTCGAGCTCGGCCGCCTCGCCGCCACCCTCGCTGCCAAGACCGCCAAAGCTGCCACCAGCAACTCCAAGACCGCCCAGGATGACCTCCGCGCCGAGGTCCGAGAACTGCGCCGCAGCGCCGTCCGCTACATGGCCTTTGCGCCCACCACCGTCCACTGGAGCATGGAAAAGGGCTTCCTCGGCGAGTCTGGCGTCACCCTGCTCGGCTTCGTCCCCGCCGCCCTGCAGATACACAAGGTCTGGTCCGACGCCGCAGGGAAGAGCTGAGCTGGTCACATCGACGGCCGGAACCCAGAATATCGGTGTGGTGTAGTCATCTATGGAGCGGTGACCACAAAGGAGCATATTGGAAAATGCACGTGACCTCTATCGTGCTTGCCTCGTCTGTCCGTAGAACAACTGTGGAGAGAATTGTGCATCTGACCAATAAACTGACATAAGCGCGCCTGCGCATCAAATCGCTTGTTCCAAAGTCCCATCCCTAGACACCAATATGAAAGATCAAGAAGACAACACAAGCGATATTAGTGAACAAAGTACGACAACAGAGCCAAATCCAAATGCACGCCCCGGTTCTCAGCAACGCTTCTGTCCCAGCTCTTCCAGCCCAAACTGATCGTCCCAGTCATCGAAGCTGTCACCGGCCTGAAGCTTGCGGCCAACCCAAATACCGGCCGCCGTGGCCGCACTCGCCACCAGGAACCAACCCTCGAACCAGCGGTCGACAAAGGCCGGCTCCAGCGCACTCTCCAGCGCGTCGCCCACCGCGCTGCTCATCTCCTCGGGCAGGTTGTTGCGCAGCAGCATCGCCGAACTGATCACGTATGTCGCCGTGATCTGACCCACCCCCAGCGCCAGATTCGCCTGCGCCTGGTACACCAACCCGGGCGTCCATTTGGCAAACAGCCGCAGCGTCTGCAGAACCGAGCCGGCCGATGCCACCAGGATCACGCCGCTCAGCAGAAACGACATCTGCCGCGCCCACGCCACCTGGTCCAGCTTCGGGTCCCAATGCCGTGCCAGCAGCCCTAGAAATCGGTTGATCGGGTCGGACGACGCAAACACTGCTTTGGGCGCGTACAGCCGGTGCAGCATCATCAGCGTCGCCGCCAGAATGCGGTACGCGCAGTATGCCCCAAACACGTAGTTGGGCAGCGCCAGCAGTCGTCCCATCCGCGTGCTCGCCCGCGCATCAGCTGCCTGTCGCTGTCGTAGCTCCACCAGCGTCGACGCCAGGTTCGCCTGCATCGTCTCCAGTCCCGCAATCTCCATCTCCAGCGACTTGATCTCCGCCGCCTCCGTGCTGCCGCCTCCGCCAATGTGCTTGATCGTCCCCACAAGCTTTCCCAGGAGGCCCGCACTGCTGCTACCGCTGCTGCTAGTCCCCGCTGCTGCTGCCGCTGCCGCTTGCTGCTCGGCTATCTGCAGCGCCATCAGCTGGTGCCGCTTGCTCAGCAGGAGGTCTGATGCCGCCTCCACCCCCGTCTGCTTGCGGTTGACATCCGTCGCCGTCACCGGTCGTCGCCGCCGTGCTCGCTGGTTCGCAAACGTTTGCCACGGCGACGACACGCTCGCAAACCCCGACAGCAGCGCCATCAGCGAGATACCAATCACCCCGATCCGTTCCAGACACGCCCGCGAAAGGCCATGCGTCCCGGACGCTTTGATGGACCGCAGGCTGAGCACATTGTCCGGCGAAGTGGCCCACCGGTACGCCATTGCCATACCCGTGCTGTCGAATCCGTCCCGCGACCCCTTGCTGTACATGTAGTTTTCCACCGGGCCGGGCACCAGCGACCCTAGCGACCAGAAGACGAACAGCCAGCCCGAGAATGCCAGCAGCTGCAGAGTCCACGCCACCCGCGGAATCCTGCCCTTTGCCGTGCGCTGGAACGACCAGCCTGCTCCGACAATCACCGACTGCAGTTCCAGAAACGGGATCAGCAATACCAGCAGAAACAGGAGCGCCGGCACCGTCACCTGCAGCGCCACGTCTCGCGCCTGCGAGTCGACCAGGTCCGATATTTCGGCCAGGATCAGCTCACCAAGCACGGCCGCTAGTCCGATGGTCGTCGCAAAAGTGACCGCAGCCGCCCGTCGTCGCATGGACCGGGAGCCGTGTTCGGCGTGCACCTGTCGCAGCAGTGGCGGCGCAGATGCTGGAAGGTAATGGCCTTCGCCGTCTCGCGAGTTCTGCACGCGCGAGAGCCGCGGAAAGATCTTGCGGTTGACCACCGCAAAGACGGCAACAAACGTCGCAAAGAACGGAGCGAGTGAGACAATTGTCCCCAGCGACAGTCCCGGCGAGGGCGGCGCGCACGAATCGACGGCGCATTTGGAAAAGAATCCCATCGTATCGAAGAGGAAGAAACGAGTGTGTGTGTGTAGCGATGTTAAAAGAAGGGTTATGGAGCAGTATGGACAGGCAAAATGCGATTCAACGATCCACGATTGCCGAAAGGACCCGAGGCGACGTTGCCGGGAGCGCAGTGGGAGCCGAGAGCATTATCTCAAGCGATCAGAATGCAAATTCGACTGTGTTCAGTACGCGACCTCTGCTGACTTGATTGTTGGTGTAGCTTCCAGACTTCCTTCTCAGCAAGATAACCAAGTACTAATAAGCAGTCGACTGACAGCGACGTAATCGGCCGCGTACCTGTTCGCATTCCACACGTGCCTAGTCCACCCGCCGGAACTTGTTTTTTCCGTGTCTAATCGCCGATCCTGTCTGAAGCCCTAATAGCATGGCGTCGGCTCCAGTATGCTGACTAAGAAGACTATTGGGACCCCACGAAAATTTGGGTACCCCCCGCCAGCAAAGCAAAATCTGTAGCTTTTTTTGGCCTCACGTTTTGAACTGTTCACGGTGCATGTTCGCCTCCACCAAACGACAAGTCCTTCCACCCCAAGACAAGCGAAATGAGCGGCTTCCAGAACGGGGCGGCGCCCGCACGCACCAGAGACGATGACAGCGATGTCGAGGAGGAAGCACTGGTGGCCGACTACCGCGAGCAGGTCCAGTACGAAGACGGCCTCGACGAGCTGGAGCAGGTCAACTCCCTGACGCTGGCCCAGCAGAACGACGACATCCAGTCACGGCTCGCCGCCGCCGCACAGCCGCTCGACTTCTCGGCCCCGCTGGAGGTCAAGTTCCAGAGCTACGACGCCTACTGCAGCCTCTTCCACTTCATCCTCAACTCCGAGGGACCGGTCGACCTGGAGCCTCCTTCGGTTCGTGCAGCGTGCATGGAGGACGAGAGGGCAGCCGCTAACCTTGCCGGCTCTAGTACTACTGGGCGTGGGACGTGATCGATGAGTTCATCTACCAGTTCAACTCGTTCTCGTCATACCGCATGCGCATCGCACGCCAGGCCAACAACGCGGAGGAGATTGCGATCCTGCGCGAGAACCCCAACACGTGGGGCAGCTACAGCGTGCTGAACGTGCTCTACTCTCTGATACAACGGTCGCAGATCACGGAGCAGCTGGCCGCCACAAAGCGCAACGAGGATCCGGCCGCCGTGGCCGGCGACTACGGCTCCAAGAACCTGTACCGCATGCTGGGCTATTTCTCCATCATCGGACTCCTGCGCGTGCACTGCCTGCTGGGCGACTTCAGCCTCGCGCTCAAGACCATGGACGACATTGAGCTGAACAAGAAGGCCATGTTCGCCCGCGTCATGGCGGCCCATTTCACGACGTACTACTACATCGGCTTCTCCTACATGATGATGCGCCGCTACGCCGATGCCATCCGCATGTTCAGCCACATCCTCGTGTATGTGTCGCGCACCAAGAACTTCCAGAAGAACGCGCAGTACGACTCCATCACCAAGAAGAACGACCAGATGTACGCGCTCATCGCCATCTGCGTCGCCTTCCACCCCACCCGTCTCGACGACGCCATCCACACCCAGATCCGGGAAAAGTATGGCGACCAGCTGCTGAAGCTGCAGCGTGGCGGCCCCGAGTCTCTGCCCATCTTCGAGGAGCTCTTCAAGGCCGCGTGCCCCAAGTTCATCTCGCCCGTGCCGCCCGACTTTGACAACCCGGAGGCCAACGTGGACCCCATCGAGCACCACCTGGCCGTCTTCATGGACGAGGTCAAGACCAACATGTGGGGCCCGACCGTGAAGTCGTACCTGCGCCTGTACACCACCATGGACTTGAAGAAGCTGGCCGGCTTCCTGGACGTGCGGCCCGAGGAGCTGCGCTCGTACCTGCTCGTCAACAAGCAGCGCACAAAGCAGCTGCGGTGGACCGACCAGCGCCTGCTGGAGGGCAAATGGGTCAACGTCAGCGACCTTGACTACGCCATTCAAGGGGTGAGTCTCTTGTGCCTTTGCTCCTCTCCGACTCTGTCGACGGCGACTAACCCAAGATGCAGGACCTGATCCACGTCTCGGAGGCCAAGGTTGGCCGGAAACTGGTCGACTGGTACCTGCGCAACCTTTCACGGACCTACGTGTAATGGGAGAAGCAAGTCCAATGACAGGAAACCAATAAGAACAATCAACAAAAGACACTGCATATGTAAGCGGCATGACACGTAGCCCTCTACCTCAGGGAGCCTGGGGACATGGAAAGGGGGTAGGACCGGCAGAGCCTGTGGTAAGAAAAGAAAAGAAATTGTCTTGATTTTTCCGCGCACGTCCCTGACAATCAAGGCTCTCTCCGTCCAGGGCGTGTTTGCTGTGTCTATTCTGCCGTATTGGTCGTGTCTCGGTATAATGGCGCAGGTCAGATAGGATGCAGCTAATGCTGCGCATCAGCAGCCGGGTATCTGGTGCTGTGGAAGGCCATTGGACACAAAACGATTCGTGGACAAGTAGGCGATACTAGTTTAAATGGTACGGAGTATTCATGAGTTAAAAGCCTCTGCGCATCTACCGCGATTTTCACTGTATCTTCCCGGCCTAGTGTCCCACCATCCTTCCCTGCAGGGCACCACCCAGGCAAGGCGGCCGTAGTCAAATATCAGTTATCAATCAGCCGGGGTAGTGTAGCGACAAGCCGCTTGCCGGCGCCGCCATGTCAGCCTCCACCCACCGGACGAGTGAGGATGCGAACGGCACAGGCGTTAGTGGAGGGAACAGTCCGGGGTCGGTTGGATGGTTGACGTGGACAATTACTGGTGAGCCCTGGTGAGCAAGTCTTGCACTCCGTAATACTATGTAGGATCGGAAAAGGATGAGGTGATGGGGGCGAGTGTGGTTGTGATGGCCTGCGATTGTGGCCTGGCCGGCTGGCTGGCTGGCCAGACCTTGACGCCATATCTCGCAGAGGCACGACTGTGCTGCCACCACTGCAACCCCTCCTCGGACCCGTGTCGCTGTCTGGTCGCTGGTCGTCCCCGCGTCTCCTCGCCATTTGCGGCGATTGATGTCGGGCGAGACCTGGTCGAACAGACAGAAGGCAGTGCAGTGGGCCCGTGGGCCGAAGCCCGTTGGCTTGCCGTACTATGTAATTTGCGCTCCCCACAGCCTCCTAATACTTCTTCATTGTACGGAGTATCTCACATGCTCCGTACGGGCACTCGTATGCTTAATGTGTTGCTTATTCGTCCCCACTGTCGCGGGCTCCATCAAGCTCTCTGCTGGAATCGTCGCGAGGAGGCCTCTTGCCAAGACTGCCTACCAAGAACAGGCCGTGCACCATCCCTATCGGACCGGGGGTCCTAGGCAAAAGCTTGTCGAATAAGAGGTGCAGCTGTGATCTCTCGGCGGCCAGATCAAATGCCACGAAAAAACACCTCCTTTCTCGATGCCCGCCTGCGCTTGACACCAGGCTGCCCCGAGCTCGGACAGACGTTCTCGTCCCTGTCTGGCCGTCGGCCGCCTCGTATTTTTCACGTACTCGCAAGGTCGTAGTCGCTGTCACGGTTAGAGCCCGGAGACTATCTGTCCACACTGCCAAGGCCCCAAGGACGTGAGATCCTCTTCGTCTTGGCAGACCCTCCGGGCAAGGAAACGACGTTCAGCAGAGAAATGGAAGACCAACTAAATTGTGAGCAGTCAGTCGTGTCCTCTTATCCTCCCCATCCATCCGTCCCTCCGTTCCTCCATCCCTGAACCACACCACAATATCTGGATCCAGACAGTACTCCGTACGAGTACAAGTACGGAGTGTTTCTTACTCACGTCCCCTATTGTCTCTCGGTATAATAAGGCTGGTCGCCTCTGCCGCCTGTTCGCACCTGCCAGGAACAGCTCAAAAGCTACTCCGTCCGTCCTTTGCGAGTGCTCCAACCGTTGCCTTTTGTACGCGACGCCAGCTGTGGGGAAGTTGCCACCCAAACCTTACTCGCCTCCTAGACCATCACCTCGACCTTTATTCCTTCCCAACGGCGAGCCAGATCCAACCCCGTCAAATGAGGCACACAGGAGAACCGCGCAGCTAGCTCACCGCACCGCCCCCAATTCCAACTCGCCGCCTTCTTGGTCGGTCCTTCCTTGCTCGCACATGAGCATCCTTTGTCTCTCGATACCTCGATGCCGCTCGTCTTCGGATAGTATTTGCTGGCCTCTCTACGGTCATACAGCAAGAGGACACAACGAGCACCAATAAAATTACAAATCAGAATCAGAAGCAGAATCAAAACAGAACCAAAACACAGTCAGGTCATAAGCCAAGCCAGAGTGGATCGGTATCCCAAAAGCAAGACAGCCCGAAAAATACACAGCGAAATCCACGTGCACAGCAAATTTATCGCATTCGACAAGGACCCTGTCCACGACACGACACAATGTCGAACGAGATGGCGTCGTCGCCATCGCCGCCGCAGTCTCCGACAGCAAAGCTGCCGCCATCCTTCTCCGAGGCCGACAAGAACTCGGACTCGGGCGTGTCGCCGATGACACAGGCCCCTGGCAAGGCCCTCAACACCGTTGCTGGGAGCGGTGACGACTATTTCCCCTCGACGAGCGAGCCGGTAGCCAGCATGCCGGCGGCCGTCGATGCCGGCGGCCGTCGCAGCGAACCACGACCCGCGCCCTCGGACACGTCGTCCAGCAGCGGCAGATCTGGCAACGCTGTCAGCCCTCTGTTCGTGCCCAAAGGTGGGGGACAGGGCCGTAAAGGCTCCCTTCTCGATCTCAACTATCCCGAGAGCAGCGACCGATGGTCGAGAAAGTCGTCCGCCGCCTCAGTCTCGTTCCGCTCCCCGTCGGACCCAGCTCTCCCACAGGGCAACCCAAAGCAGAACCGGCTCCGCCGCTCGCCGTCGCCCAAAAGGTATGTTTGCACTCGTTACCACCATCGCTGCAAGCTCTGCTAGCCGTCTCTCCTCACATATTCTCATACACACATATGCACATACACGCACCCACTCCCACAACTTCACATGCCCTTAAAATCACACACACCATTCCTGCATGAGCATGTGTCTGAATCCCATAACCAATCGAACACGCACAACTGCATATGCATCCTGTGCGTCCTTCCCTCCCCGAAAGGCCCGTCTCATGGAGCTGGCGGAGACAAGGTTGCATGAAAATCTGTGGGGGCATATCGAAGGCAGTTGGCATATGTCTAGCGACGCTAGCTGGGCCGCCCGAGCCTCCGTCTCGATGCCTTCGCTTTGGTGGCCCTGCGCCTAGCTGGAATTTGCTTTGCCCGGCGACTCCACCGCTATCGCCTCCACTTCCGGTCAGTGACGCTGTCTTATCGCCATAGCAAGAAACCGAAGGAACAAATGCTCGGTCTCGCGACTACTGCTCAATGCGGACATGTGGACAACCCCAATTCTGCAGTACAGCCCGTCCTTTTCCCGGCCCTGTTTTCCAATCGGAGCCCCCTCTAACACAGTCACCCCACCTAAATCCGACACTCTTCCCTTCTGCTCCTTTCGCTCCCGTGACCTTCTCGCTTTTTTCACCTTTCTTCACCTTCCCACGTCCTCCATCTGTGCCTTGCATCCCGGACCGTCTGGGAAGAGCGTTCTCATTTTTGCGATCGCTGCTGCCAACATCATGGCTACGCTGACACAACCGAAACCGAACGCTAGGTTCCGGCAGCATGTCGCTTTCGACAACATCCCCATAGGGGAACCCACTAAATCAAACACTCTCAGCTACACATTGAGCATCAGCCATCATGGGTACCACCCTCGTCGTAGGTCGCGAACCATGATGGTCGGGCTTGACGAGAACGCCTATTCCGATGTCGCCCTTCAATGGCTGCTAGACGAGTACGCCGACGATGGCGACGAGGTCATCTGCGTCCATGTTACCGACAAGGATGCCCGTGCTGTTGAGGAGAAGAACTACAAAGCGCACGCAGACGCCTTGGTAGAACGAATCAAAGCAAAGATACCCGAGAACTGCGCGATCAGTATAAAACTAGAATACGCGGTCGGAAAGCTGCACGTCACATTCCAGAAGTTGGTATGATTATGTTGGAACTGTGTCGAATGTCAGTATTGTGATGCTTACGCACTCCCTTCAGATCCAAGTCTACCATCCTAGCATGCTGGTGGTAGGAACCCGGGGCCGCTCTCTCGGCGGCATCCACGGCCTAGTCACTAAGAACTCATTTTCCAAATATTGCCTACAGTACTCACCAGTCCCAACAGTAGTTGTTAGGGACTACGAAAAGAGGAAGAGGAAGAAGGATAAGAGAACAAACGACCCTTCACGACACAGCTATGCCGCTATGTTGGCCGCCACCCATGGCCAGCATGAAGCAGACCGAGAGGCGACCAGCTTATATGATATAGAGGCCCGCATTTCACCAGATGAGGAAGCCCATAGGGTTGCCGCAGCCATCGGTCTCCCTGCGGCCTTTGACCCGACCTTGAAGCCTATTGATATTGATCAGTATCTGGGCCGCCGTTCCCGGCCAAGCACACCGCCTGCGGTGGCGGCTCCTGAGGTCGAGGTGAAAGAGCCCCTCCCGTTGTTAGTTCCGGTAGAAACAGCCGGAGCTTCCCTTGACAGCGAGGAGGATGAGAGTGCGGATGACGAAGAAGTCGAGTTCGAGGGCCCGCCAGGTCAGCGTGTGCCCCAGGAAACCCAGGCAGCAAAGGAGTCACAGAAGCAGCAGAAGAAAAGACTTCACGACATGGAAGTTGGAGAGGCGGCAGCTCTGAAACAGTCACTGGATGACGACGATGACGACGATGATGACACCGGAGGCGGGGCTGAGACCTGACTGGAACTCGACGATTTACAAAACAAGAGGTTCATTTGCCTGTCTGTGGTTTTCTCTCTACAGGACAGACATTGAAGATACGACTAGTTATACCTTAGCCTAATCATCCATACCTTGAAGTCAATTTACTTTTCACCGATGATTTCCAATGCAAAATGAGCACAGCCAGTCTCATCCTGAAGCTCTTTGTTCTTGCTGTGCTGTGCTCTGCTCATGTGGCAACGGCACGCGGAAAAAAGGAACATCCGGCGCGGGGTGGAACTGTATAACGCCTAAACCTCCTGTAAACGAAAAAAAAACTGCCCCTCTATTGGGGTTAGTCGTAGTGTATGACTCGTATAGGAGATTTTTCTAGTGACAACAGCCAAACCCATAAGTATTTTCGATTCATCCTATATAGTTCAAGGCAGTCGTGTTCCGTGTCTGAAATCGAGAAGTTCGTTATATAAGCGCGTGGCACGTGCTCTCAATACATGCTGTCGGACTTCACTTCATCTCTTGACAGACTGCCAAATCACCTTTGTCCAGAGTGGGAGGTGCCACTAACATCAAGTAAAGCTCATTTTCAAGCAAGCATCGTTTCATTGTTTCGTCTTCACCTCGTTTCTGTGCTCCGCTCGCAGATTTTTCTCTCATTATAATGCCTGTCGTCAGCGCGGAAAAGCTGGCAGAGCTCCAGCAGCACGCCGACAATGTCCGCAATGTATGTTACAAAGTCAGCCAAGGCTGTAATCCGTGTATTGCTGAGGTTGCTGTGTTTTACTAATGCTGTAGCTTAGATCTGTGTACTGGCACATGTTGTAAGTGCGGCTCTGTGATTTCGGCCATATCCTGGTCATGGATTTCGCCTGGCCGTTTGCATATACTAAACAGGGTAATCAAAAACAACAGGATCATGGCAAGACGTCCTTGACAGACGCCCTGATCGCCACAAATGGCATCATCTCCCCCAAGATGGCGGGCAAGATTCGGTATCTCGACTCACGGCCTGATGAGCAGCTTCGGGGCATAACGATGGAGTCCTCAGCCATATCACTGTTCTTCTCCATGATGCGGCGGCCCAGCCCAGACGCAGATCCAGTGGCCAAAGAATACCTTATCAACCTCATCGACTCACCAGGACACATCGACTTCAGCAGCGAGGTGTCTACGGCATCGCGTCTCTGTGACGGCGCTGTGGTGTTGGTGGACGCCGTCGAAGGTGTTTGTAGCCAGACGGTGACGGTGTTGCGGCAGACGTGGGTCGAGAAGCTGAAGCCGCTGCTTGTTATCAACAAGATGGACCGGCTCATCACAGAGCTCAGAATGTCTCCGGGAGAGGCGTTTGTCCACGTCAGCAAACTGCTCGAGCAAGTCAACGCTGTTCTCGGCAGCTTTTTCCAGGGCGAGCGCATGGAGGAAGACCTGAACTGGCGGGAGCGTATGGACGAGCGCGTTGCTGCAGCCAAGGAGGCACACGGCCAAACGGACAAGCCGCAGGCCGTTGAAGATGAGTTTCAAGAAAAGGACGACGAGGATATCTACTTTGCTCCCGAGAAGAACAACGTCATCTTCAGCAGTGCCATTGACGGGTGGGCATTTACCGTCCGCCAGTTTGCGGTGCTCTACGAGAAGAAGCTGGGCATCAAGTCCAGGCTGTTGGAGAAAGTGCTCTGGGGCAACTTCTACCTCGACCCCAAGACGAAGAAGGTGCTGGGGCCGAAACATTTGAAAGGGCGGAACTTGAAGCCGATGTTTGTGCAGCTAGTGATGGAGCCCATATGGGCGGTCTACAACGCCACGATTGGTGGCGAGCATGGGAAGGGCGACGCAGAAGCGCTCGAAAAGATCACCAAATCGCTCAACATCACCATCCCGCCGCACATCAAGCGGTCCCGCGACCCTCGGCTGCTGCTGACGACTGTTTTTGCGGCATGGCTTCCGTTATCGACGGCGCTACTCGTCTCTGTCGTAGAGTCGCTGCCTTCGCCACGCACAGCCCAAGAGGGACGGATGGCCGACTTGTTGGACCGAACGCCCGACCCGGATCACATCAGCGCGGACATCAGGTCGGCCCTAACGTCTTTCAGCCAAGCCAAGTCGCAGCCGGTGGTGGTGTATGTGAGCAAGATGGTGTCTGTACCAGAAAGCGAGCTGCCCGAAAACAAGCGGCATGGAGGTACGCTGAGCCCGGACGAGGCTCGCGAACTGGCCCGACGCAAGCGTGCAGAGATTTCCCGCGCTCAGCAGGCAGCAGCAGCAGCAGAAGTAGCAGCGGGCGGCGTCTTCCCGACAGCAGACGACGAGCGGTACATAACGTCGGCTCTCGACTCGGCAACATTGGAAGACAGCGATGCCGCCGGACAGCCAGAGGAAAGGCAGGACGACCCCGAGCACCTGATAGGCTTTGCACGCATATACTCGGGAACGCTCTCCGTCGGCGATGAGGTATATGTTCTGGCGCCCAAGTTCTCTCCTGCACGGCCGCACCAGCCGCCGGAGCCGCAGAAGATTACGGTGCAGGCGTTGTACATGCTGATGGGCCGCAACCTGGAGCGACTGGACCATGTGCCGGCCGGCGTGGTGTTTGGTATTCGCGGTCTCGAGGGTACGGGCGTGCTGAAGTCGGCTACTCTGTGCAGCCAGCTCGAGGGCGCCTGCAACCTGGCTGGCATTGCCAGTACCAGCGGCAAGCCGATTGTGCGGGTGGCGCTGGAGCCGGAAAACCCAGCCGATCTGGACAAGATGATTGCCGGGCTGAAGCTGCTGGTGCAGAGCGACCCATGTGCCGAGTACGAGCAGTTTTCCAATGGCGAGCACGTACTGCTGACGGCCGGCGAGCTGCATCTGGAGCGCTGTCTGACGGACCTGCGGGAGCGCTTCGCCCACTGCGAGATCCAGGCCGGTGCTCCCATTGTGCCGTACCGGGAGACGATTGTGCGTGCCGACGAGATGCGGCCACCGGCAAACAAGGAACTGGGACGTGGTGCAGTGCAGAGCACGACGAGCTCGAAGCAGGTGTCGATCTTGCTGCGCGTCAGGCCGCTGCCGGCCGAGGTGATTGACTTCCTGGTCAAGAATACCATCAGCATCCAGCAGGCCTTTCTGAAGGGAGGAGATGCCGACGAGGCAAAGGACGGCGGCGACAACGACGGCAACGATGACAACGACGAAAGCGGTGTGAAGATGCTGCCACCAGACGAGTTCCGTGCGCAGCTTCGCGCGCGCTTCGACAGCTGCAAGGGCCGCGAAACCTGGAAGGGTCTTATCGACAAGATTGTCGCCTTTGGGCCACGCCGCACCGGATCCAACGTCCTGATCGACGCCACGACGGCCCAGAGCCTGCAAAAGGTCATTTCGGGCGAGCGTGCGGCCGACGAGACGGTCAGCCCGAGCCACTTTGGCGACAAGATCACGTATGCCTTCCAACTCGCCACAGCACAGGGACCGTTGTGCCACGAACCGGTGCAGGGCATCGCCGTGATCGTCGAAGACGTGAGCGTGACACCACCGTCTGAGAGCGGCGCTGCACCGTTGCTGGCTCGCGATAATCTGGGCCGGCTGACCGGCGAGGTCATCAAGACGGTGCAGCAGTCGATCCACAAGGGCTTTCTCGACTGGTCACCGCGCATCATGCTTGCCATGTATTCGTGCGAGATCCAAGCCAGCAGTAAGTGACCAGACGTCGTTTCGCGATCGTACTATCGTATGCAAGCACACAGCTGACCAGTTGTTCTTAGCGGAGGTCCTGGGCCGTGTGTACGACGTGCTGACTCGGCGTCGTGGCCGGGTGCTGTCGGAGACGATGAAGGAGGGCACGCCCTTCTTTACAATCTTGTCGCTGCTTCCCGTGGCCGAGTCGTTTGGCTTTTCCGACGACATGCGCAAGCGGACGAGCGGCGCAGCCCAGCCACAGCTGATCTTTGCCGGCTTCGAGGTCCTGGACGAGGACCCGTTCTGGGTGCCGTTTACCGAAGACGACCTCGAGGATCTGGGCGAGTATGGCGACCGCGAGAACGTGGCCAAGCGGTATATGGATGGCGTGCGGCGGCGCAAGGGCTTGTTGGTCGAGGGTCGGAACGTGGCCATCGATGCAGAGAAGCAGAAGACGCTCAAGAGATGAAATGGCACGTGATCGGGGAGAGAGAACAGTTTAAAAGTTCGGCCACTGCCATTGCATCAAACGTCGTTTTAGAACTAGAACCCTGTAAAACGCCCTACTTTTATTTTAAACAGCGCAGATCGAAGCCCCAAACTCGAACACGGAGACGACGAGCCGGCCCTCCTGGTCTTCCTCTCTTTCTCTTCCCCTCCCCATCGTCCACCCGGCTCCTATCTCCTTGCCTCTCCCCTGCACGAAGTTGGCCAAAGCAAAGCAAGACGGGATCAGACGGCCTGCACGTGCGTCCGAGATATGCCGGCATTCTCCGTCCTGTCCGATGCTGACGCAAGCCGTCTGTTCCCGCCGTCGAGAAACACGCGCGTATTTGGCAGACGTGGCCATGATTCAGATCAAGACATCAAGATGCCGCCCACCCTGCCAAAATATCCAAAACGACACTGCCTTTTGGCTGTAACGCCTGCTGGCCACCGGCTGTCTGTTCACACTGTTTGTCGCTCGCCGCTAGTCTTAGGAGTACACTGGGCCGCAGCAGCTCCTTCTAGCCGTGCGAACCCGTGCGAACCGCCACCAGGTGCTGGGCCTCGCCTGCTCGTCCGCCCAGGCTGCATCGACCCCCCGGATGCTCGGCCTCTACTGGCGTGGCTTCTGGCTGCGACGGCCCTTGTTCGGGACCGTCTCCCAGCCCTCCTCGTCCGGTCCCTTGGGCTCGCCTCCTTCGTGTGCGATCCTCGGTGTCGGCGGCTGCGACGGCGGTCCACCAGACCCTCCGTTTGTGCGCACAGGACGCGGGCCTTCGTGTCGCGCACCTCTTGGCGCTCCGCCGCCTCGACGAGGTCCGTTTCCGCCCGGTCCACCACGATGGCCGCGGTGCTCTGCCGATGGCTGCCGCCAGTTGCCGCTCTCTGCTGCCCGCGTCTGCGTCTTGACGTTCTGTACATTCTCGCGCTGCTCTTTCGGGCGCACCGGGATCTTCTGACCATTTGGCGCCGTCGTCTCGGCACTCTCTTCTTTTGCGGCCTCTTCGGCCTTCTCCTCGACCGGCGCCTCCTTGGCTGCTTCTTTGGCTGCTTCCTTGGCTGCCTCCTCTTCGGCCGCCGCCTTAGCAGCAGCCTCCTCGGCCGCCACCTCGGCCGCCACCTCGGCCGCCACCTTGGCCGCTACCTTGGCCTCCTCCTCGGCAATCTTGGCCGCGGCAGCAGCCTGTGCGGCCGCCTCCTTGGCCTTGCGCTGGTCCTCCTTGGTCTTCTCTTCGGCCTCTTTCTTCTCCTTCACCGACGCTTGCCGCTTCTCCTCGATCTCGCGCTCGCGGGCTGCCGTGTTGATAGGACGTGCCGCTCCGAATGGGCTCGATTTTGCGTCGCCACCGGCCGCTCCCGGAGAGCCCACCTCGGGAGCCTCCGCAACGGTTCGCTTGGCGAGGTTCAGCTTGGGCCGTGTCGCCGGGACGGCGGCCGAAGGAGCCGGTGATGACGGAGCCTCGCTGCCGCTGCGCGATGCTACTGGCGACTTGATAGGCCCATCGGGGCGCATGTTGCTTCTCCACTGCATGTCTCGCTCAGCAGCAGTGACAACCTTCTCTGGGCGGTCCGAGAACTCGCGGCGAGGAGGCCGGGATCCCTCTGCACGGCCCTCGCCCCAGGCTGCAGGCGACTGTTTCCGGTTGCTGCGGAAGCCGTCCGACTGCTCAGGCGCTCTGGAGCGGCCGCCCTCCCGCTCCTGGTGATCCTGCTGTGCCAGAGGTGACAGCGGGCCCTTGCGCTCCCATGTCATGTCGCGCATCTTCTCGTCAGTCGGCGCCTCCCGGGGAGGACGACGTTCGGCAAACTCGCCAGGGCCCGAACGACGGTCGCCGCCGCGAGACGGGAGATCTGGCAGGGGACCCTTGCGCGTCCACTCGCTGAGATCACGGGTAGACTCGCCGGAAGAAAAGCCGCCACGGTCCTTGGCTGGTGCATATGGTTAGCAGTGAAAGACAAAGGCAGTCCTGCACCCTCAGTCCACCATATACGTACGCGGGTCTGCAATCTTGACCTTGATGCTACGGCCCCGGAACGAGCTGCCGTCAAGAGCTAGGGCCTTCTTCAAGCCGTCCACATTGGCGAACTCGGCATAGCCAAAGCCCTTGGGGCGCTTGGTCTCGCGGTCCTCGATGAGACGGACGCTGGTGACTTCGCAGCCTTCAAGAAACAGTCGGATGTCCTCGTCCATGATCTCGTAATCAAGATTGCCCAGATGAGCGAGAAAAGGCGGCTTGTCGGGGATGCGCTGCGGCACCGTCTCGCGGAACGAGAAGCCTGCACACAGTACGTCTAAGTAAGAACAACGGCAAAAGCGGGGACCCTGCAGAAGCGCGGGGAAGACTTAAACGTACCCCGGTCAGCATAAGAAGAGTTATTGTTGTACGAGCTGGCACCCCGGCGATCAGGAGCCGGAAGCGGCTGGGTACCGGACTCTTGCGGGAAATTAGCACAATGCACATCACAGCGTCAAACCTGACAGGGGAAACAGCCGTATGGCAAATCGGTGGGTGCAGGAACATACCGTAGGTCTCCTCTACCTCGTCAGCCCAAGAGCCGCCAAAGGCTGCGACGCAAGTTAGTATCTAGCACCGTATCGGCCAAGAAAAAAAAATAACAAAATGTCGGCAGCTGATGCAGGGCCGGGATCAGGTCACGACCGGGGTGCCAAACGTACTGCCATCAGTCATGAACTCTCCATAGGAGAGCTTCTGCACTTCCTTCTTCTTCGGAGCTACAAGCAGCGCGTTAGCCATCAGAGCTCGATATACGACCGCTGGACAAAAAGGGGTAGCCGGCAGAAAAGCCCGGCCATGGCGGAAAAGGTGGGGGGAGGGAGGGGAAGTCGAGGGCGGACGAACGCATGTTGGGAGAAGCGGTGCGATTGCTGCGAGCGCGCGACGATCGTCTGGATTGCGGCGCGTAGACAAGATTGCTGTCGTGAACGGTAGGCCGACTCGAAAGGCCTTGGAAATGCTTGTGCCTTGAATTCGGTCACAAATGTGCGACACACAGTAAGAGCGATTTAGGCCGATGATGTGCCGTCAAGCAGTCCGACTCGATTGGCGGCTGCGCGTTTGACGATACTGATGGTGGGTCGAGCCTATGTCTCGACGTGGTTGTTCGCTTTTTAGTTTTTTACAAACATTCGTGATGGAAAATTTTGACTTGTTCGTCGAGGGCTGGACTTTTTTTTCAACGTGTGCTGAGCCAAAAAGCACTACAGCCAATTAGGATCCAACCCCCACCATGACAGCCGCCAAATCCCAGCTTACATAACACCGTGTGATGCTTCGGAAATAACACGCTATTCCGTTGGCCAAGACCTGTCGACAACATCCAATCGTAGGAATCGGGGCTCTTTTTACGTGAGACTGGGGAAGGCAGAATCACGACAGTAATGGTATTCGTTGGGGAAATTGGGCACTGCCAGGGGATCTCGCGGATCTCATAGCATGATCAAGGTGCCTCGCACTGTAAACGACGCCAAAAACGAGCAGTGGGGCACAGCTCTCGATTTATCTTTATCGAAATCCAACACAGCAATCTGCCTATCAAGCCTTTTTTAAATAGAACTTTAGTCGCGATATGCAGCCATTTCGACCACACGCTCACCGGGCCGTCTGGTAGTTCTCCACGTCCCGGACATGACGCAACCAGACACAGCCACTCCGGCCCGGCGCTCTACGGCAGCACAGGGACAGCAGCTGTCTCCGGAAGTGCTCGAGATCCTGGTGCCAAGTCTGCAGGCTGGCCTTGGGGCTGGTAAGTCGTACTGTCTGCCACAAGGCTGCATGTCCATCACGCTGACTCGCGCGCGCCGTCACAGGCACCGTTGGACTGTTCGTCGGGGCGGCTTCTGGAATCGCACGCTCGGCAGCTCCCGTTCTGTTTTCCGTCGTCACAGGAGCGCAATGGTTTGTTCTCGGCAGCAGCTACTCTGGTAAGCAACTTCTGGCGCAGACTGCACCACATCCTCCTCCTAACGCTCTCCCACAGCATCCAGGACCGCTCTGATCAAGGCCTGGGGAGGGAATGACAATGTCAGCCAGCCAGACAAAGTAAAAGTCAGCGCGCTTGCAGGCGCATCGGCCGGTTTTGTCGGCGGCTTGATTCGTAAGTGGCCTCATCGCCTGATTCTCTGCCACTGGGCTGCAATCGTTTGGTTCCTTACGCGAAGATTAGGTGGGCCGCGAAATATTTTGCCAGCCATTGCCGTGTTCTCGATCTTTGGTGCCACTGGCCAGGTGGCCGCGAATGCCATGTCATCGCGTGCGGCGGAATCTACAGGCGAAAAGACAGACTGGCTTGCGTCACGATGGAGTCCTTTGAGGGCGATGTCGGACGACGAGTATGCCCAGTTCATCCAAGACAAGATCCTCAAGCTGGATGTGGAACTGTCCATGATCGACGATAAGATCGCCGCACTCGAGGCTGCAAAGAGCCAGACTGGCAGCGGAACAGCAGGTGACGGGCCGAAGGCATAGAAACGCACTCGGCGTTGGGTTTCCACAAAGACCCTTTGCCTATCGTATCCGACGGCTGCCATGCCTACAGGCGTTCTGTAAGTGGCACGCGGATTCTGGTACAAGCACGCGTGGGGAACCTCACACACCGCTCTTTGAATAGGAGAAAGGAGTACGGAGCGTGATTACGGAATGAGAGATCCTTGGAGATGAATGAGCTTGATGACTGAAGTTTTTTGCGCACAAGTCGCCAAAGCTCATCGCTTACTCATCCGTACAGGGAGAGCATGCAGCTCTACCAGCCCTTCCCCTCACCAAACTAAAATAAAAATCGACACGAAAAAAGAAGCAGAAAAGACAAGAACAGGCGGTACGTTGCCGCCAGTAGGTGCAATCAAGCATTTAAAGAGCTTGGTGATTAGATAATTAAACGCGAAGAGGCGCATTACTCGTCTGTCGAACCAAATGAGATGTCAAAAATAGTATAATTGCCAATAGCTCCACGTCATTCATGAGTAAGCAGTCAGCTTCAATAAAAGCCGGGGAAGGTGCATTTTTGACACGATGTCGATAGAGATGCGTATTGGGCTATTCAGTTGAGACACGTCCAAATTTCCCTCCCTGGTCCTAAAACGATCGCAGTACGGAGTATATCTTGAGCTTTTCAACATCAGCCTTTCCGAGCCAGCCGCGCAACAAGCAACTTAGGCTCGGCACCGAGTTAATAATCCAAACCACCTCCTGAATTTGGCCCGACCTCGACTTCGACCTCAACCTCGACATCCCACTCGGGCTGTACAGCAACCTCGTCTTTAGCTGTACCGTGGAACACACATTGCAACCTATTATACAACTATATCTACTATCCCTGATTTCGGATCACCTCATCTCGGCTTTCTGACTCTGCTTCTGTTACTTGAGATGGCATCCGACGGCCCTTTGACGACTAGCTCTCTGTAGGGAATGCAACAAGATTAGCAAACCCATTGGTATGGACACTCCAATGTCCCCCCTAAGCTTGAAGAGAATTGATTGTACCAGCGGTTTGTGCCAGAAGCATCTACAGATTAGCTGACACGCCGGTTCCTTTCTAGATATCACAGACGCAATTGGCCCAGAGGCTTGGCCAAACATGGCGCTGTTCAATCCCACCTTTATTCTCGGCGTCTTCGTCCTCCTATACCTCCTCACCTTTGTCTTATTTGCGGTGATTCGCATCGTCACCGGACTCTCCATCCAGCGCGTAGGCTATCTGTCCCTGCGCAGACTGGCATACGTTCCTCGAGATGGCCTCAAAATCGAAATCCGCGGCATTGGCCTGAATATTCACCGGCCCACCTTTGCCCAGCCTACCTGGCTCAGTATTGTCATCAGCGAGCTGGCCGTGACGGTCGATACCAGCGAAGCCGATGGCAGCAAGACCGTCGACAAAACATTCGCACGGGCTACTGCCGCCAAGGGCGAAAAGGTCGCCGTGCCGGATGCCTCTGGCGATGGCCAGCGAAAGACCGAAAAGGCGACAGCCTCTCCACGAAGCCGAGCCCAGTCGACGAGCTCCCGCAGAGATGCAGGCAAGCCTGCACGCCCGGAAACGTGGCACAAACTCATGAAGCTCAAGGACCAGATCAAGCGTCTGCATGGGAATGTCAACTGGCTGCGCCTGGTCGATGTGGTGGCCACCAACTGCACCATTAGCATTGTCGGTGTGGGCAATGTGCAGTTTGGCAGCTTCACCGTTGCAGTGGACACGCGTCGGACCATGGTCAACCGGGACCGGTATCTGTTCCGGGGGCGCAACGAGAAGCCGCAGGAGAAGCGTCAGGCCGAGTGGATCATGATCCTCAGAAGCGTGCTCTTCACTCCCGAAGGCAAGGAGTCCATGGAGATTGTGGACAGCGCGACCCTGAACGTGCACGGCTTCCTCTACGAAACCATGGACGGGCTGCGCGATGCTGCCATTGCCCTCAAGCTGGGCCGCGTGCACCTACCTTACGACGACCTTCTTCTTTGTGCCCAGCGCTTCAAGAAATTCACGGCCCGCACAGCAATCGCGCCCGATGTGCCAACCGTGAAAGCGGCCTCGGCAGCCAAGCTCCCTCCTGTGGCGGAACAGGTTGATGACACTATTGACGGCATCACTGGCGCCACCAGCACCACCAGCAGCAGCCCCGGCGACGCGGATCTCGTGCAGGCCGTGCCGGACGCGAAGGAATTCATCAAATCCATACTGCGGGGAATCAAGGAGGTTCAATTTGCCGTCAGCTTTTTCGGCCTGTCCAAGAAGGTAGAGACCGCCAGGGCAGCCGGCGCACCGGTGCTGCTGATGAACATGTTTATGAAAGAAGTAGGGATTGACCTACATCGTCTTGACCCCAAGTCCGCGTCGCATCGGATGTACTTTCCGCCTCAGGACATTGCTCACGAGGCCCTGTTTGCGGCGCTGTCTGTCTCTGTCGGTGTCGACGATGGCCATGGAGAGCCTCAGCGCTTGCTGTACATTCCCATGGCCACGACAACTGTGAAGACGACGCTGCCGGCCAAGACGATGGAGCTCACGGGGCCCGTCAGTCCCGAAGAGAGAAATGCCAACATCTTGTTTGCCAATTCTGTTGTCACATCGCCGTCGGTCGATCTGGACCCGCGGCATCTGCCGCTGCTTGTGGCCATATTCCAGTCGAAGCCGAAACGTCGACGGGCCAAGGTGCAGCGGCGTCCCTGGTTCACACCGGGACTGTTGCCAAAGGCCAACATCAAGTTTTCCATGCACGAGCCTGTGCTGCGGATAACTTTGCCGCCTGTCCATGCAACGTCAGACCCCGATGACTTTGACCTTATCATCTCGTCAATCTCATCGATCTCCCTCGATATCGAGTCGTTTCACCACGCTGAAGAGCAGCTCCATTACTCTCTTGCATCGGCCATGCGGCTGCAAACGCACTGCCTCTTCTATCAAACATTCGATGGCAACCGGTTCGATCTGCTTCAGACGGAGTCTCTCGACGTCAAGGTGCAGCTCAGCGCCTCCCCCGACATACATGTCGTCGCCAGCGCCAATCTCCAGACATTTGCAGTCAAGATGATTCGGCCAGAAATCACCGATGGCCTCCAGCAGATCGTCAGGCAGCTACACCCCGACGTCAAGCCAGACAAGCGATTCAAATCCCGAGAGCCGAGGCAGCACGCCAACTTTCTCCGTGCCGTGCCCGAATGGCTGCTGCACTTCCAAATGCAGGCGTCCGACTTCAGTATCGAAGTGGCGGGAGTGGACAAGGAGATTTCGGACGACACAAGAGGCATGGCTTTGCAGCTGGAATCATGGACTGCAGAGTACCGGGCCCACCGGGTTGACAACTCTCGCCGGCGGCCGGCTGCACGCCGAAGGACGCTGAGCCGGTCGATGATGTTGATGCCAGACACCGAGCTCTTATCGGCTCTTCCGGCGTCAACGAAGAAGAAGAACCACCATGAAGGAGATGGGCGCCGTATCGCTATCCATGGCCGCGGCCTTGAGGCATTCATCGTCGAGTCCTCGGAGAAATGGGAGGTCGATCCGTTTGTCAATGTGCCGAGATTTGAGATCGCCTTCTCGACGCAGAGTGACAGCCAAGGCGCGGTGTTCCACATTCATTCCCATGTGCGGACAATACACCTCCTGTACTCGCTCGAACGCCATTACTGTGTTGGAGTTGCCACTATGGTGCTGAGAAAGGCGTTTGCGTGGACGGCCGGCAAGGAGCCCAACGATGCCAATTCGACGGGCGCCGACACATCAACAGCGCCCGTTGCCAAGCCTCTGGCACCGTCGTCTGCGGCATCCGCCTCACCGACAGCGCCGTCGGCGAGTCAGATAGAGAGCCCGCCTACGGAGCTGATTGCGATTGACATCAAGACTGGTCTGGTGCAGATCAAGGCTGACATGCCGTCGGAGCCACCGTTGATGCTGCAGATATTCAGCCTAGAGACAGGCCGTCACCGGTGGTCGCCGCCGTTCTTCTACACCAAGATGATCCGGTTGCTTGCCGAGGCACCGCGGATGCCCAAGGTGTGGGCGCGGGTTCTCAGTGTCAAGGACGGCCGGCTCGACTGCAGAGAAGCGAGGCGTAAGCGGCCGGCCAGCGGCTTTGAGGTCGAGCGCATGCTCGACGTGACTGCGGAAGTGATCCGACTGGCGGTGCCGTACGAGCTGGTGGTGTACAAGATTACGGACAACATCGTCAATGTGGTCAAGTGCGTGCAGCAGCTGCACCACCGGTTCAAGACAGGGACGAACGAATACGTGCTGAGCAAGGGTCCCGAAGAGGCCAAGCTTCTGCCCCGGATCTCGGTGCGCTGTGCCAACTTCCAGCTGGAGCTGGAGGACGGTGCGTTTGAGTGGAAGCTGGGTATGATATACCGAGCCGGGCGGGTAGAGCAGATGCAGCGGCTCGCACGCGAGGAAGCGTTCCGCGTCAAGGTCAAGAAGATCAACGAGGAGGAAGCGCGGCGAGAGAGCAGCAAGTTCCGGGCACGGTCAGCGGCTCCGCGCAGCCGGGGGGCCAAGTCAGCCGGAGCAACGCCACGCAGCCGGAGCGAAGACCGAAACGCCGGGCTGAGGACGGCAGGGGCACCGCACGGTGTCGGTCGGACGCCGCGATACGACCCGGAAGGCAGCTCGCTGGGGATGACAGGCAATGCACACATTTCGATCGCGGAGGCGAGGCACAACCTCGACCTGCACAATGCGCGGGGCTGGAAGCAGCGAATCGACCGGCACTACGAGATGGCACGGAACGGGATCAGGGACATCCGCGACCTCTTCTGGAGCTCGGACCGCTTCCAGGACGCAAATGACGGACACGAGAACATCCTGGGGATCCCGGATCGGCCAGCCCTGATGACGGCAATCATCGGCGACCTGCAGCTCGTGATCGACAAGCCAAGCTTCCCGATCCGCGAGCTACCCGACTTTCTGTACAATGTGGGCAAGGGCATGCCGCGCGACATGCAGTTCTCGCTGCTGGTGCCGATGAACGTGCAGATCCGCATGGGCGAGGCCAGGGTGACGCTGCGCGACTATCCGCTGCCGCTGCTGCACGTGCCGGCGGTGGCGGCCAGCCAGCCGTACAAGATGCACGCGCTCTCGCTGTCGTCGGACTTTGTCGTGGCGGAGGAGTTTCAGGGCCCGGAGTCGTACCGCCACGTCAAGGTGGACATCATCCCGGCCAAGGGTGGCAGCGGGTCTTCGGGGCAGCCAGGCACGGGCAGCTTTGCCGTTGACGTGCGGCGGACGATCAGCCCAGTCAAGGCGTATGCAGACATGCACGTTGACGTCAACACGTCGCTGCCAACGCGGCTTACCTGGGGCCCGTCATACCAGCCGGCCATCCAGGATATGATGATGGTGTTCGAGTCGCTGACTAAGCCGCAAGCGGACCTGTCGGAGCGGGTGGGCTTCTGGGACAAGATCCGACTGAGCTTCCACGCGCGGGTGCGGATCGCCTGGAAGGCGGACGGCACGGTGCATCTGGCACTCAAGGGCACGCGCGACCCGTACCAGGTGACGGGCAACGGCACTGGGTTGCTGATGTGCTGGCGCAACGACGTGCGTTGGAACGTGCACGTGGACGACGACCCGAAGCAGTTCATGACGGTGGACAGCGGCGAGTATATCCTGGCGGTGCCAGACTACAGCCATCACGCACGCGAGGCGGCGCGGCAGGGCACCGACAGCGACAGCCTGGCGAGCGAGGACACGCTGCGGTCGGGCGCGGCCTTCAAGAAGGTGATAATGAAGCTATCGGGCAGGGTGCGCTGGCTGGCGGGCCTGATGTTCGAGCAAGCGATCGTGGACGGCAAGCGTAACTTTTCGTTTGCGCCGCACTACAGCGTGGTGCTCAAGTCGCCACAGCACTCGCAGTCGATCGACGGGCAGCCGTACGACGCGTTCCGGGGCTTCCGCAGCGAGCACATCCACATGTCGTTGGCGATCCTGGCGCCAGTGGATCGCGACTGGCGGGCGGCCAACGCAGAGCCGTCGCGGAGCTACAACACGGTGCACCTGTCGCCGCGGTTCTTCACGCACTTTTTTGCGTGGTGGTCGCTGTTCGGCGGCCCGATGTCGCTGCCGGTGCGGCAGGGTAGTCTCTGGCCAGGGCGCGAGAAGGGGTCGAAGAAGTTTGGGCGGCACCTGGCGACACTCAAGTACAACATCCTGCTCGCACCGCTCTTCCTCAGCCACATCTACAAGCACAGCGACAGCGACGAGCACGGCGAGAGCTCGAGCTCGGCAACGGGTGTCAAGGTGCGGTTCGACAGCTTCATGCTAGACCTGCACCAGCGGCGGGAGGAGTTCAACACGCGCGACAAGGGCGGCAAGACACAGAGCCGGACGACGAGCATGAAGATCCACGCTGGGCAGCTGGACCTGGCGGCGGCAGACATCCGGGCAGTGTCGGCGACGATCCGCGGAGCGACGGCGGAGAGCATCCAGAACACGCTGCTGCAGCACGACGACATGGCGGTGGACGTGTCGCGGTTCACGATCCCAGACGAGGACTTCAGCTGGATCGATATGGACGACTTTGTGGAGCTGGACTGGATCCTGCCGACGGAGGCGAACCCGGACACGAAGATCCTGCCGCTGGCATACGCACCTCGCTTCACGTACACGCGGCAGACGGACATTGACGGGGTGATCTCGGGCGACCCGGACCGGACGAGTCCGTTTGGGCAAGAGCCGACGCACATGAGCAATATGACGCCGGATTCAGACCCGGGCACGGTGCAGAAACAGCTGATCGGCGAGCGGCTGCAGCAGCTGGACCAGCAGATAGAGGAGCTGGTCCAGACGATCGGCGACGTCGGCAGCCGGATGGGTGGAGGGGCCGGGGGCGATCCACAAGACCCGGTGCTGGCAGCCGAGATTGCAGACCTCTCGCGTCAGGCCAACGTGCTGCAGGAAAAGCGGCTCTTCCTCGAGAACATGCTGCAGCAGGTGAAGACGGACGCGGCAGCAGCAGCAGAGGCAGCGACCTCAGAGTTAGCAGACGGTGTGGGCAGCCCAACAGCCAGCGGCAGCGGCACGGAAGACGGCAGCCAGTTCTCGAACCGGTTCGTGATTCACAACATGAAGTTCAAGTGGAACAACACGCTGCGCAACATTCTGCTGCGCTACATCCACCAAGTGAGCCAGCGGCGGGGATTCGTGTACTACCTCTCGCGGCCGGCGGTCAAGTTCATCCTCGACATTGTGGAGGAGCAGGCCAAGCTGAAGGCAGGCATGGGCGGGGCCGAAGGGTTGGCGGGCACGGCGGGCACGTCGGCAGCATCGGTGGCGTCGTCGGAGGCGATGGGCGGCGGGACGGCAGAGGCGGGTGGCAACGGCAACGGCAGCAACAACAACATTGAGGATAGAATCCGCAAGATCCTGCAGGACGGCAAGAAGTTTGTCAGCGTCGAGGACGAGGGCCCGGGTGGCGATGGTGGCGGCGGTGGGCGGAAGGGCCGAAAGGAGGAGACGGTATACAACACGCCGATGGAAGACCTGACGGGCGGAATCTCGGGCGACTTTGCGCCGCAGTTCAACTACCATCTTCGGCTGGTGGCGCCGCAGATCCAGATGCAGAGCGACAAGAACCGCAAGCACGTGGTGCTGGTGACGGCCAAGGCGATGGAGCTCAAGGTGGTGGAGGTGTATGACAAGGCGCGACTGTCGGACGATGTGAGCGGACTGGTGCAGCGACGGTTCCTAGTGGGAATGGACAGCACGCAGTTCTTTGTGACGCACCGCAAGTGGTTCCTGACCCGGGCGTTGTCAGCGTATTCGGGCAGCAGCTACGGGTCACGGCGGGGATCGAGCTGGCCGCCATGGGTGCCGATGGAGGCGATGGTGGACTTTGAGCGCGATCCGTTTGGGTTCCGGCGGGTGGTACAGAAGACGTCGGCGACGCTGCGGTACGACAAGTACAACACGCTGCGGCTCAAGTACAACGAGGGCGTGAGTGCAGGCGAAGGCGCGACGGCAGCAACATCGGCAACAGCAACGGCAACGAGCAGCGGCGACAACACGGAGCTGCGGATGGACAACCTGTGGGTAGAGTTTCCGCAGGTGCGGGCGCTGTGCAACTCGTCGCAGTACTACGCCATCTACGTGATCGTGCTGGATCTGCTGATGTACAGCGAGCCACTGGAGAAGACGCGCAGCGAGAGGCTGGAGAAGATCATGCTGGCGTCAGACTTCAGCGACCTGCGTGGCGCACCCGAGGTGGTGATCCGGCTGCAGGAGCGGGTGCGGCAGCTCGAGGACATCAAGACGCACTTCCAGATCCACTCCAAATACCTGGACAGACGCGGCTGGGAGGAACGGCTGCTGCTGGAACGCGACCTGGCCGCGTGCGAGGACGAGCTGTTCTTCATCATGCAGGCGATCACGCGGTCGCAGGCGCGCAACGAAGCGAACGAGGCAGCAGCAGCAGCAGCAGCAGCAGCAGCAGCGGCAGCCGAGGCCGGCAGCGAGAGCAGCAGCATCAGCGGGAGCAATGCGCTGCTCAAGTGGAGCATTTCGGCGCGCGAAATCGTGTGGCATCTGGTGCGCAACAGCCACGAGCCGCTGGTCGAGCTGCAGCTCAAGGACGTCGAGTACGACCGCACCGACAACGCCGACGGCTCGCACATCAACCTGATCCAGGTCGGCCGCATCCTCGGGCTCAACCTGCTGCCTGACGCAACCTATCCCGAGATGGTGGCGCCGTACTTTGATGCTCGCGGCCCCGGGCCACGTGACATGGACACTCAGCCGATGGTAAGCGTGTACTGGTACATGCTCGAAGCTATTGCCGGCATCACGGTCATGGACCACTTTGAGGTCACCCTGTTTCCCATGCGTATCCAGCTGGAGCACGAGGTTGGCAAGAAGCTGTTCGAGTACATCTTCCCGGACAGCGACGGCGACGCCATCAACAAGGACGGCACGGCCACGGCCAACGACGGGCCGACCGTCGAGGACGACGAGGACGACAACGAGGACGACGAATCCATCTTTGCGACCGACGAGACGACAGCGGCGGCGGCGGCAGCACTGGATGGTGACCGCGCAGGCTCGCTGGAGATGCGGCTGCACCCGACGCTGACGTCGAACCAGCGGACGACGACGTCGCCGTCGGCAAGCCCAAGCACAATTCTCGGCGATGGCAGCAGCAGCAAGCACAAGACGCCGAGCGTGCACTCAGGCGACAGCGGCAGCCACCCGTTCCGCTTCTTCCGCACGCCCAACACAGGCTCGACGACGCGGTCGCTGGCCCGCCGGCCGTCGCACGAGTCGCTGCAGTCGCTGCAATCGATCCAGTCGCTGCAATCGGCCCAGTCAATGCGCACTGGCACCGGCATTAACCGCTCGGCCACCGGCCTCTCCTCGCTCATGGATGGCAGCACTGTCACGGCCAACAGCGGCAGCAGCAGCCGCTTCGGCCTGCGCCGCAAAAATTCGGAAGGCACCAAGCCGGAGATGGGCAGTACCAACATCACCAACACCAGCGCCTCGGCCACGGCCACGGCCTCGGCCAACGCCAACGCCAGCTCCAGCTCCAACATCATCCGCCAGACCGTCCTCGGCGGCCACGGCAACAACCACACGTCGGACGACCTGACCAAGATGATCGCCCGCGCCAGCAACTACATGACGTTTGCCCATGTCCGCATGCCGTCGGTCGTGCTGTGTCTCAGCTACAAGGGCCGGGGCGACCGCAACCTCGAGGATGTGCACGACTTTGTCTTCCGGCTGCCGACGATCGAATACCGCAACAAGACGTGGTCGAACCTGGATCTGGCCCTGGAGCTGAAGAGCCGGGTGATCAAGGCACTGATCTCGCACACCGGCGCCATCATCAACAACAAGTTCAGCAAGCACCGCCCGAACGTGGCCCAGCAGTCGAAGCTGCGCGAGCTGGCCACGAGCTCAGTCCTGCTGTCGACACCAGCCGCCATGCCAGATGCCCCCGACGGCGGCAGCAGCCGCTATGGCAAGAGCAAGAGCAAGATTCGCGACAATGCGAGCATCTACAGCACCGGCAATGGCAGCCCGACCGACGACGCCGTGTCCATCTTTGGCGGCTCGGCCATCGACTATTCGCGCTCGCCGCCGCGCTCGCTGCGCAGCTTCCAGGCTGCCTCCTCCTTTGCCATGCCGCGGCCGGGAAGCCGCGACTCCAACATGGACGAGCAGGTTGCCACGTCGCGCAAGGCGGCCAAGGCAGCTGCAGCTGCAGCCGCAGCAGCCGCAGCCGGTCGTCGGCCCGGATCTTCCTCGGCTTCGTCCACTCTCGGCATGGGCGATTTTCTGCGGCCCGGCAGCAGCCATCGTCACGTGACCCGCATCACGGGCGGCATGTCGTCGGCCGTCGCGCCCGACGCGACCATGGACCGGAAGAAGACCGGCTTTGGCGGCGTGCGTGACCGCCTGAACGCGCTCAAGTCGAGGGTCAAGGATGGCGGCAGCGCCAGTGCCAGTGCCAGCAGCTACAGCGCCAGCATCAACAGCAATGTCGAGGCCGACACCAACGCCGGAACGGATGCCGACACCGACACCGACACCGAGGCCGACTTGGACGGGCAGCCGGACGTCGACGACGACAACACCAGGCTCCAGCAGACAAAGACGGCCTGATCGTCTTGCCTCGCTGTGTTTTCGTTTGTATCTCGTTTTGCTTTCGTCTTGTTTCGCTCGTCTCTCTGGTATCTACCATCCTCCTTGGTGGAGACGACAGGAGGCGGCTTTGCATCTATGCCACTTAGTCACCTTTCTCTTTTTCAAAAGCGGTCCTGCCACTCTGGGAAACAAGCGGCGGCGCGTGTCCTTTACTTTGCTTAGTCATAATATCACTTGCAGGAATAGCAGCATTTACTCGATCAATTAAAAGAAGTCTTGTGAAAGATGATACATGCCACGCCGCTTTTTATCAGCCACGCCAATGTAGCCATGAGATATGCAGGCCTTGTCCAATGCCGCCCCGTAGATGCATCCCGTCATCGCACCATAACCAACAGAAAACACGGAATGTGTACCTATAACAATCCCCACTCTGGTCAAAATATGCAACCCATGACGCAAGAGCAGAGGGGGAACACGATATAAAGAAAGGGAATCACTTGTTCGCGCTGGGCCAAATCCGTTCCAAACAAACTCCGCCGGACAATGCAGTTTCCAGTGTAGAAACAAGGGTAAGATAAAACAGAAAATAGAGGCCAAGTGAGGCTTCACCACGACAGGCCATCCACAGTGGTGCCAACCCAGCGAGCCGGCACCCCATTGGCCCCGATGACATAGGGCCGGGTGCTGGCCTTACGCGGTGGGAGAGCCAGGCGGGCGCGGCCAGGTCGCCGGTCGTCCAGCTTGCCCAACCTGCGCATGGCCATCTCCATGACGGCAACACGAATAAAGTCGGAGTTCTCGCGCAGCTCGCGCTGGCGCGGGCCGGGAAAAGGCCGCTCGTCTGTGGCCGGTAGAGATCGAGCCGAGCTTCCGGAAGGGCCGGCTGCGGTCGACGAGCGAGAAGGAGAGGTCGAGGTCGAAGCCGGAGGCGCAGCCGATGCCGACGCAGCCGACAAACTCCGGGAGCGATGCACCTTGTATGTGTGCATCTGGATGGAGGCTGTAAAGGCCGGACGATCGGATGTGGCGTTTTCGTTCGGCCCCAAGACAGAGGACAGCAGAGCGACAGTCCCTGGTGACGGCGACAGTGACGCAGAGGCTAGGGCGGGCGACAAGGCCTGCGGTGTGATGGGCTGGCGCGAATCGATACGCGCACTCGAGGTGGGATTGAGGTAGCGACGAAGGGCCGGACTAGGCTCCTCCTCCAGTGGCGGCGGTCTGCGCTCGTCGGTGTAGGGGATGTGCGGATCGATGGTGAGGATGGAGCGGGTCAAAAAGTTCTCGGGCGGGACGGAGGTCAGGTTGAGGGTCGAGAAGGAACGGGCGGCATTGCGCAAGGCACGCAGAGACGCGGTCAGATTGGATTTGAAGGCCGAGCGAAGCGGTTGCAGCGGTGAGCGAGTCTCGGCGGCCGTCTTGGCCAGGGCGTCGGGCAACGGGTGGAAGACGCGGAAGTCCAGCTCGTCCACGTCGTCGTCGCTGTTGCTGTCGCTGCCAGTATTGAACGCGAGTGGATGCAGCTCGCGCTTTCCGGGTGGCGAAGATACAGGGGTGAGCGAACGGTGTTTTGGCCGGGCCCTGCAACCGGCACCGCGATGGGGAGAGCAGGGCGAGTTCAGCGACGAGACGGTGCCGGTGGCGACAGAGTCGGAGAGTGACGGCATGGACTCGAGCGAGACGGTACGCGTCGACAGCACAGACTCGAGGCCGCTATCGCTGACCGAGACCTCATCGTCGTCATCGTCGTCGAGCTCGTCGGGCGGCGTCAGCAACACGTCGAGCGGGCTCTTGCTCAGCGACAGGCTCAGCTGCTGCTCGACGCCTTGGGCCCGATCGATGATGGCGTCGACCGTCATGCGCTTCTCGTCGAGCCGGTCGAGTCGACCCTGTCGCAGCATGCGCAGGCCTCTGGGCGGCGGGATGCTGGTGACGGCGAGGAGGGCCGCCACCGACGGCGGAATCGAATCGGAGCTGTGGACATGGCGGCGACGGTCGTGATCGTGGCCACGGTAGCGGTGATGGGGCTTGTGGTGATGATGATGGGCCGTGTCGTGGCCCAGTTGAGCCTTGAAGGGAATCTGCACCGGGCTGGTCGGCGTTGTGGGCCGGCGGTCGACAAAGAGCGTGGGCGATGCCTGGACGCCGTTCTGGAAGCGGTCGGCGATCATGGCGTTGTGGCTGCTGCCTCGAGGAAGCTGGTCTCGTCGAGAGACGACAGCCGAAGCTGAACAGGCAGAAGCCGTGGTGTTGACAACAGCAGCTGGAGGCCGTTGGCTCGTCGGCCGTTCATTCTTTCTCCAGGGACGTGCAGGCAGCGATGGCGATGTCGCTGGCGATTGTGACGGCAATGGCGATGCCAATGGTGATGCCAATGGTGATGCCAATGGTGATGCCAATGGTGATGGTGATGGCGACGGTGATGGCGATGACACCGGTGCAGACACGGGCAATGTCTTTGCTTTCGGCGTGGGTCCAGAAGTCGACGGAGAGTCCGACACAGAAATCGGAGGAGAGGTCGGAGAGGAACGAAGACGCTGCTGCTGCTGCCGAGTCACCAGGAAGGAGCGAGGGGACATCATGTTGGTTGGCCGATTAGCGCGCTATTACGTCGCTGGTACCTGCTAGTAGGGAAAGAACAACCGCCCAACACGGGGCTACCAACAGCCAGTTTTGCCCGCTGCACAGCGGGAGCATGGCTAGGTGGCCGCGAAGACCAGCCTGTGGCAACGCGCCGTCGCTGCTTGTACGTAACAACAACCCCCGACGGCAAAATACCTGGCCTGCGATTTGCTGCTCCGCTCCCGTCTGATCCGCTCCTTCTTCGTTGGTGTCGCTTGTTGGTCCCAGTTCTCTCCTTCCTCCTTTGGCTGCTCGTTGTTATCCCTTTGTGCTGGTTGGCCACGCGATCGCTGTCCGCATTCGGGCTGGCTCACGTGCAGGCGTTCGAGTATCGATCAAGGGAGTGCCGTCAGAAGCAAGAGGAAATCGTGGAGGAGAAAGCAAGATCCATTTTACGACGTACGGAGATCCCAAAACGACCAGCCGCCTCTACGCGTCGTCGCCCGGCTTTATCAGCAAGCTGCATTGGCCACCCCACGCCTGCCGAACCCCCCCGGGACAGTTCGTATAGGGTACGAGCAACAGTCAGGCCCTGCGATAAGGCACCAGCACAAGCCACAGATATCTTACATGCCATCCGCTGGTTGGGCCTGACTGATGCTTGTGGGATGCTGCTACATAGTACAGATGTATCACCTGCCTCTTTTCCGCGGCTTATCGCTAGCGGCAATGCCCGACCGCGCTTGCGAGCAACGCCGCCGCATCGGAGCCTGACCGCCGAGCACCTGGAGGGAGGGGCCACGAGGCGTGGCCAGGTAGAGTGGGTAGAGTGCGCCTAGTCGCTGCCTACTGCCTGTTTCGTCCATCGCTCTTCCCTGTCGCCTGGACCATCGCTCCGCTGCACCGCTCCCTGGACGACGTCATACTTGCGACCTGCCCCGTATCTTACTTTGTATTGCACGGAGTACGACGCTCACTGCGCCCCTGCTCGCCACGATGCTCGTAAGATTCTTACCAGCGCGGCTCTCCGTTGGGATAGCCGCCCCCAAGTCGACAAACATCCAGCCTAGTGCGTCCCGAAAATTTTCCTCAAATGACAGCCAAGTCGCATGTCGTTGGGCTTGTCCCGAGTGGGAAGTAAGTTGACACGCCATCTCCTTCCTCTTCCAGACACTGCATTGTGAAACCCAAAGACCGTGGGCGCATTGCATCGACAGTTGTAGGAGCCAAGCGAGATGAAGACGAAAAAAAGAATGCAAAAAAAGGTCTCGTCCGCTGCATCCCACGCCGACTGCCACGCTCGGGCTGCTGATTGCTCCTGTCTCACGCCGGCTCCACGTCCATCCCCCGGCTGCTCGTTTTACCTCTTTCCTCAACACCGAGATTGGCACAAAATCCCACGCCCGGCTCTAAATTTCTCATTTCGGCCCCCACAAAAAGCCTTCGTCCTGAGAACGCCCTAGAACGAAAGGGAAAAGGGAAAAAGGAAACCCTACGCTAGTGACATATACCTCGCTGTTTGATTATTGAATTTCTTCGACTTGCGAGTGTGGGGACGGCATACTCCGTAGCCGTTGCCGGCAACACGCAGCTGTCGCATCACGCGTCTCGAATAGACATTTCGTATCCTTTGCCCTTGCCTGGCCGGCACCTGAGGACGTCTGGGTAACACGGTGACACGGACACACGGACACGGCGACTTGTCGTGTTACGGCCAAACGACCGGCGTCCAGCCTGCTCGTCCTGCCACCTCGTCGGCCTAGCCGCCCTCCAGGGTTGGCAGCCCCGAACTCGCTCTTTCGCGGCGATCTCGCATCCATCGCCCCAGCAGTGGCTTCGATTTTTTTCCCTTAGCGCCAGCCAAAACACACAGGCTGCCGTCCCGCACATAGTAGACTTTGCCATGTTGCAGTCGGGCCCGTCCCGGCTGCTTGTGTCTGTTGCTCTAGCGTGTCTGACATCGTCAGATATGTCGGTCATGGCATGTCAGACGGAAAAAGAAGGCTTAAGCGAAGTGGGAGACAGGAGATAGAGAATGGGGGGCTCTGGATGCACCGTGAAGGAAGACATGCTGGTATGCTCGGAGGTGAAGAATCGCAAAGACCACCCGTTGGCCGGCTGGAACGCACTGGAACAAAGCCCGAGGCCGGCCAGCCATAGGTGCTTCACAAGTATGTCCTGTCAGCGATGATGCCGGTCGTGCCTGCCATTGCAATGTCAATCATTCCTTCTCGCAACGTAGACTGGACGAAAAAGGAAGGAAGAAATAGGTGTTTGCCCTCGTCAATGCAAGAAGTCTATCTGTAGCAATCGGTAAGGCAAAGGACGCCGTGATGCATCACCGTTTGCATCACCTTCGTGCTCGCAAATGTACATCTGTTTTACTCGCTCTCAGCTCCCTCGGCATCGGCCTTTTTCTTCTCTGCCTCCGCCGCCCATTCCTTGGCCCGGGTCGTCACCCTTGCACGGCTCTTTGCATCGCCGTTCTGCTCCTCCCATTTGGCCCATCGCTGAAACCAGGATTTGGCCCTCCGTGCCTTCAAACCTTTGGCCTTGGTCCCGCGCTCAAACACATCTCGCACCACCGCCGGGTCGGCCTTGCCCTCCGCCCCCTTGGCCTTCTCGGCCGTATACACTGACGTCTCCAGATCCAGCAGCTGGTCCCAGATGTCGTGCTTCTTCGGCCATTTGTCCAGCAGCGTCTCAAACGTCGTGCGCCCGTGCTCCGGGTTGCCCACAGGCGACCGGAACTCCAGTGCTGCGAACCGTGACATCAGCGTGATCGTCGCAGCGCTCGTGCCCAGCGTCTGCACCGCCCGCGTGAGCAGCGTCCGTGCCCGGTCCACGTCGTGCATGCTGTGGTGCAGGAAGTGCGCATAGTTGATCCAGATCTGCGGCGACTGTGCACCAAACTTCTTGGTCATCGTCTGGAAGAGCTCGTCGGCTTTCTGTGAGTGGGAACGGCCTCGGGTCAGCAAACAGACACAAACACTATCAGCCTTCTCGGTTCTCGCATCGACAACACTTACATTGAGCTTTCCGGACTGGATATAGATGCTGGCTGCCCGTGCAAACACCTCACGGTCGTCGTTGTATTGACAAGCTCGCTTGAACACGGCGTCGGCCGTCTCCTCTGAACCATACTCCACCTCCAAGTTGAAGTACGCAATCCACACGTTCAGCCGCTCTGTCTCCTGGCGCACGTTGATCGTCTTGATAGCACGCTCGGCGATCTCGCGGGCCTTGGCAAGCTCGCTGACCTGCACCTGGAATGCCATGTATTCGATCCACAGCGCCGACATGTCTGCCTGTCCAAGCAGCAGCCTCTCATAGTCGCTCGCCGTCTGCGGTCCCCGGACGTCCAGCTGTGCTGTCCGGTCGATATCGGCAGCTGCTGCTGCCTTCTTGCTTCGCTTGCTACGCTTGGCGACCAGGGCACCTCCATCCTCCTCGTCAAGGTCGGACTGCGAGTCGCCGTTCTCTTGGTCCAGTGCATTGCCCGTCCAGTCAAAGGCGCCTCCGGAGAGTCCGCCACCGTTTGCTGTTTTTGCTGCATCGGCTCCGTCCTTCCCGTTGTCGGACACGTCGTCGGCGACATTGTCTGTCCCGCGAATCTGCAAAACCTGCTGGTCATCGTCGCCCATCTCCTCGTCTGAGTCGTCAGCACCGTCGCTATCATCGTCGTCACCGCCATCGTCCGATCCCAGGGCACCGCCTCCATCCACGCTCATGGCGTCCTCGTCGCTGTCGCTCTCATCCTCGAAATACTTCGGCTTCAGCCCAAGGTTGACCCGGCTGTTCTCACGGTTGATGCTCAGAATCTTGGCCTTCACAACATCCCCCCTCCCCGGTACAGCTTGGTCGCGTCTCTGACCGACTTGTCAGCCATCTCCGTCCGATGGCACAAGCCGCTAACATTGGCCGAGTTGTCAACGACTATGAAGGCACCAAAGTCTGCCACCTTGCGCACCCGCCCGCTGACAATCTGACCCTCGTGGAGGTCGTCAAGCGTCAGCAACGGCGCGTAGTTCTCGTCGATTGCAGACGCTTTCAGGCTCATCTGGATCTGCTTGACTTCCGCCTTGACAGCCGTGACCCGGCCCTTTACGAGCTGGTCGATGCGGAAGTGAGCCTTCCAGTCCTTCAAGAAGGAGTCCGACAGGTCTGTTACACGCACAAAGGCGACCACGTCGCCGCCCAGGTTGACGAACACACCCTTGTCCGATATACCGCGCACGAAACCGCGGATCACGCTGCCAGGTTTGACATCCGAAAAGTCCAGAATCTCACGGTCCTCCACGGGGAAAGAAGAATTGAGAACGCGCGACGGCCGAGTCGAGAGCCGCATTCTCTTGTTGCTAGCATCGACAGAAACGACAGAGACGCGGATGATGTCGTGTTTGAAGTAGGCAGTCGTAGTTGCCTGGTCGAAGTCATCGGCTATGTCGACAAGGTGCAGCGGTCCAGACACGGTCTTGCTCAGCTGCACCAGCACCTGGCCATCGCTCACCTTGGTGACCTTGGCTGGCAGAACTAGGTTCTTTTCGATGCTACTCCACGCGAGGTCACCTTCTCCGCCCGGTGACCGAGCAGACAAGTCGATGCGTCCCTTTTCGACGTCAACCTGGACAACGCGGACGTGTATCGCCATTCCCACGGGGAAATTCGCTTCCAGATCTTTTACCAGGGACATGTCGTCAGAAGCCTCCATGCCATACAGCCTACCTCGGACATGAGGCGTAAGGCTGAGCCAGAGACAATTCGCTCCGTGGTTGTTGACAAAAGCCACCCATGACGATCCGACCTGAACCTTGTCGATGCTGAGAATGTCGGGAGTCTTGCCGCCTTGTAGTGAGCTCGGCTTTATCGAAAGCTCCAGGACCGACCGCCTTTTTTGCTGTGTGATGGGAAGATATACGCGACGCTTCGCATCGTGAACTCCCAAGATGCGCACATCCAAAATTTGGCCTTCTTCAAAATTCTGAAGCGGGCTCTTTGCATCAGGCACATCGTCCCAACTGTCGAAAATCTCTGACATATCGACTCGGCCGGAAACGTTGTCCGCCAGCCGGACATTCAGCTGAGTGTTCTTAACAGAAGTGATCCGTGCCTTAGTAATCTGGCCCAGATGCAGGTCGTCGAATGTTGCAAGTGAGCTGTCTACCGGGTTCAAAAGTGTTCGCGACCCGGCTCCTGCTTTTTCTCCGGTGTCCTTTTCTTCTGCTGGCACATCGCTCGGTAATGAAGCTACCAATCTGCCGTTTTCCACAGAGATGATTTTGAGTGCGAGTGTCTGAGACTTGTGCAGACCAAAGTCCGGCTCAGCCTGTGCAGTCCGGGGCATGAGAGGCTTCGGTAGCAGAGCCACGATGTTCGCAGCAAATTGCACGAACGCAGCAGTCGGCGTGATGTTCCGTACGAAACCGGTAACGAGCGACCCGGTCCGGGCATCTTCCATGTTGACCAGAAGTTTCCCCTCCTTGCTGGCGGCTATCAGGCTCGGTTTCTGGGACACCGTGATGACACGGCGACCCTCGTGCTTGTCCAAGACAAGAAGCTCGGGGAGCACCTGGCCAATGTGAATGCGCTTCAGGGCAGCCTGGTTCTTCGCCGGTGACCGGTCAGACAGATGGCCGATGGGCAAGGTAGCCTTCAAGCCGTTTTCCACAATCTCAACTTCAACACTGTCATCGTGCTTTGCGATAGCCTTGGCAGAAACGATACTGCAGATCTGCAGGTCCTGAAGAGCCTGTCGCTTGTCAACTCCGAATGCCGATGGGTCTTTGCAGGAAACAACGAGCTTGTTCAAGTCTGGGTCGAAGCGCAAGACGCGGACATTGACGGCTTGTCCCTGTCGAAAGTGCTCCTTTGGGTCGCGAATGAAAGCCTCGCTCATCTCTGCAACCGGCAAAAAGCCGCGCAGATCGCCGTAGAACTGCACATAGGCACCAATGGGGACGACGTTGACAACGGTTCCCAGGCACTGCTGGCCAACAGAAAGGTCGTCAAACGACTTGACTGGGGGGATATCAGAATTGACAAGGGTCTTCTTGAGCGTCAGCCGGAACTGGTGGTTGGCTGGGTCTATCGATAGGACCCGCGCAGTGACCTTCATCCCCTCGCGGAATTTCTTCTCTGGGTGCTGGAGCTTGATATCGGAAAAGTGGATTTCCGGCACCAGGCCGGCAATCCCATCCGCAATCTCCACAATCAGCCCAGAGATGCCGTTCTGATTAAGGAGGAGCTTCTTGATGTGGCCCGTGACAACGTCACCGACAGGGACATCTTCGATGCGGATAAAGGACTGCTCAAGAACTTTCTGCTCAAAAGAGACCAGGAAGATGCCGTCGACCGCATTGTAGCCGATGACCCGTCCACGGTGGGTAGAGCCAACCTTGAAGGGTCCAGATGACTCGTACAGCGCATCGACTTTGCCATCTTTGACACGCGAGATGTGAACGAAACCGGGAACGCCTTCCACACCGACATCAACCCACAAACCAACGTTCAGCTCAGCTTTGCGAACAACGCAGCTCTCAACAATGGTCGACAGTGGGAGGGCCTGAGTTGGTGCTTTGTCGTGGACATTTTTGCCGCCCGCTGTTTGCTGCTGTAGAGACAGTATGTGAGGAAGAAGAGATATGGCAACCTTTGGGTTGTCGGCCGTGGGAAAAGTGCAGATGACTCGCGCCTTGATCTTTGACGCAACCTTGTATTTCTCGTCGAGATCGCCAATGCTGCCACCAGCTCCCGAATGTGTCATATCAGCCGTGGCGTCGAGATGCCCCAAGACCTTGCCAGCAAGTCCACGAGCGGTCACCTCTGATACCAGCACGTCAACGGCCGTTCCGGGGAGGAAGGTGTTGATGGTAGTCGCATCCGAGGCCACGTTCTTGATGCTTCCGAGCTGCGTCTTGTTGGCCGAAAGCTGTGCCACCTTTCCATTTGTAGCCTTGCCCGTGACGAGACACAGAATAACAGCACCTGGCTGTAGTCTCTCTTCCGGGATGGACGGGTCCAGCTCCTTCTTCGCCAGGAAGCCACGGAGATCAGAGTCTTGGATGCCGAGGTCCATCACAAAGCCACGGTCTTCGACGCTGATGACAGATGCCATGACAGTAGAGTTCCGAACGACATCCTGGTCCGTAAGGCCGGCATTGGCAAGTTCTGGTCGGGTAGAGAGCTCGATGCGCCGCTTTTTCTTCTTCTCGGCATCGTCGTCCTCGGTCGAAACAACGGAGACGCGAATGTACTGGCCAAGTCCAAACAGCGTTTGGACGTCCACCTCCTCATGTGCTGCGTCCTCGTCGTCATTGGCGTTCTCTGCTTCGGCTTCAATCCGCTCGGTGAGGGCCTGAGATATGGACGTAACGGACAGGTGACCGACCAGGTTATTCGGAAGACTGACGGCGATCTCCAGAGGCGTGATTTCCGATATTTGGCCAAGGACCAATGAGCCTTTCACCAAGCGCTTTGCCCAAGGTCAGCTATCACCCGTCTCAAATTTGATTGCGCCATGCGATCCCAGGACAGCCTACCTTGTAGTTCAGACTCTCAATCCTTACGCTCTCTTCAGCAGGCGCGGCAGTGCTAGGTTTGGGGCGGCCCTCGGAGCTCTTGCGATTCGGCTTCAGACGCTTCTCACTTCCTCTTTCTGTGGTCCCATTGCTGGTCTCGAACAGGGCATCACTCTTTGCCTGGACTTGGATCTGCTTGTATTCGAGTGGCGTCAAAACGCCGCCGCCTCCACGTGGAAATAGAGGTTCCTCCTCCTTCAGAATGGAAGTCACGGCGGAAGCAGGTAGTTTGCGCTCTGGTTTTGCAGCTTCGGCCTCTTTCTTTGAGTCGTCCTTCTTGTCTGACTTCGGCCGTTTTGCCGGGCGACCGTCTGGTTTTCCGGATCTTGCCGACTTTGGAGGCACGCCTCCAGTCGACGCCTCTTTTCTCTTCAAAGAGCACATTTTACTGGGCAGAATTGAAGCAATGAGGCAAGAAAGTCAAGACCAAGTTGGTTGGTTGTCGGCAGAATAATCATAGCAGGAATAGGCAAAAAAAAAACCAGTCGAAAAAAAAATTATATCGATAAGATAGGCACTGTCGATAAGACCATGGCCCACAATATTGGCCGTACTCCGTGCAAAGAGGTACTGAGTACTTTCGACGTAGTACGAGTTCCACTGGGCTGAACCGGCTTACCGGAAAGAGCCACCAAGACGCAGGCAAGCAAGCCTAAGTGTGGCGCGTGTTTTAGGCCGGTTCCTAACTCTTACACAGTAGCGTTTGTTTAGGCCATCAAGGCAGCCATGTCAGTCATGCCAATGCCAACAAATGCCAACAATGCCAACGTCATTCACTATGTGTCAAGCGTGATAACCGGCATCAATACTCCGTATAGGAAAGCATTCATCCGTTCTATAGACGGGCCTCTGCCGGCTCGCAGTGCGCCGTCTGCGCTTTAGCAAATGAGTCCCCGAAAGCGAATTCGAGCGAGCGTGTCCGATATCGCCTCACAGGGCGCAAAGGCAGCTGGAACTGCAGAACTCGACCATGCGTGGGCTTCTGCTGTAATGGCAAAGAGCTCTAACGGCTCGGCGGGGCCCAGCGCGGCCGAAGGCTCCAGCAATGCGAGGCGACGCGTCTCGCTCGGTGACGCGAAATTTGTTTGTGTTTTTCCTGGCTGCATGCGACGCTCTAGCTTGCTGACTCCATCCTTGTTGTGACCATGTAGGGACCCCGGGGCTGGTACGGATCCTGGCCTCGTACGGGAAAGTCGGGCGCATCCACGCAGCTGGCAACCGACCCGATCCTGGGGGGCACAGTGAACCCGAGATCGCTGCCGGACTTCAGTCGCTACGACATACGCAAGGCTACGGCCAACACGGACGGAACCGGCACAGGCGGGCCATCAAGGATGCACCAGTCCGTGGAGTTGCCGCCGCATGTCTCCCCGTTGGCGGTGAGCCCGGTCCGGGTGGATTCGGCAGTTTCGCAGCCGGAAAGCGTGCCGACCCCTGTCTCTACCGCCACAACGCTCGCTGATGCACAGATAGTCGACCAGCCCGACACTGTCGCTAAAGCAGGCGCATCGGCTTCACAAGGAGTTGAAGTCAACCCCCCTGTGCCCGCAGCAGCACCAGCATCGGGTTGGTTCTCCTGGCTTAGCAGGCCTGCACGTATGGAAGAAAGCCAAGCCGTTCCAGCTCCGGCTCCGGCTTCAGCTCCGGCTTCAGCTCCGGCTTCAGCTCCGGAACCTGCCGTGATTGCATCGACGAGTCTGCCGAAAGAAGACGAGGAACAGCAACCGCCCGAGGCGCTAGATACACCGAAACCGGCTGTTGACGGCAGGACGGTGGCCGGGCGCATGTGGTCGTATATGTGGTACGGCAATGCGCCATCTTCTTCTGTCACGACACAACCTGAAGCACAGAACAGCAAGGATGCTGCAATACCAGAAACAAGAACGGACGGAGGGTCTGGGGACGCCACGATGGAGGACACACCATCGGCTCCGATTCCAGTGCCAGCGGCCTCCACGGTCCCCGACAACGGGCAGGGCAGGGCAGCAGGGACACCGGGCTCCATGGCCCCAGTCGCCGCATCGTCAGGCTCTACGTGGGCATTCTGGTCGCGGGATGCGCGTACCAAAGTGGCCGGTAAGACATGCAGCTCACTAGAACAGGGCGAAATAGCCGTCATTGGCGAGCGGTCAGAGGCTGACCCGAAGCCGGCTTCGGGTGTGGAAGGGAGGAGACCTTCATCCATTGCACCGTCTCTGAAAGATGTGCCGACCAGGGATACGATGCCCAGGGACACATCGAAAAAGGGCAAAAGGCCGCGGCCGATGGATGTGAGTGACGAGATGTCGTCGGGTTCGTCAACACCCAGGCCTGAGGCATCTCCCAGGGGTGAGTCTTCATACTCAAAGCAGACAACGGCCGGGAAGCAACCACAAGCGCGCCTGCAGCCATCAGTGAACCTTCTCCTTCCGTCCTTTCAGAACACATACCGGCTCAAGCAGGACACATCCATCGTGCGACAGGTCACGCGCTTTTTGACGCGAGCACACCAACCGCCTGTAACGCACGTGTATCTCAAGACAGACCTGCCGAAGATCAATAAGGCCGTGGCCATTGGAGTGCATGGGCTGTTTCCGGCTGCATACTTGAGGCCGGTAATTGGCCAGCCGACAGGAACGTCGATCCGGTTCGCCAAGCACGGGGCCGAGGCAGTGAGACGTTGGGCGGATGCACATGGCTGCAAGGATTGCGAGATCGAGAAGATTGCGCTGGAGGGAGAAGGCAAGATTGCCGACCGGGTAGACAACCTGTGGAAGCTACTGTTGAACTGGGTTGATCACATACGCGGAGCCGACTTCGTCATCCTCGCATGCCACTCGCAGGGAGTGCCGGTAGGCATCATGCTCTTGGCCAAGCTCATCGAGCTTGGGATGGTCACGACAGCGCGAGTCGGTGTCTGTGCAATGGGTACGTCACCCTGCTGGCAAAGCTGCGGCGCTGTTGCTAACTGCTGGGATTCTGTCATAGCTGGCGTCTCCTTGGGCCCGTTCCCTGACTACAAGTCTGGTCTTGGCATCCTAATGGGGTCTGCGGGCGAGCTCTGGGACTTTGCCAATCCAGAGAGCGAGATTTCCAAGCGGTACGAACACTCGCTGAAGACAGTGTTGGAATACGGTGCACGCGTCACGTACGTTGGCAGCATCGACGACCAGGTTGTGCCGTTAGAGGTGCGTGCCCCTCACCCCTTGTCGACTGCCGTTCCATGTGTGCAGGATTGCTGATGCCCTATTTCAGTCCGCCTTGTATTCCCCAGCGCATCACCCGTATCTCTATCGAGCCGTGTTTGTGGATGGGCGGATCCACGCTCCAGATTTGTGAGTTGTCTTTATTTCCGAGACAGAATGAAGCAATGGATTGTTAACGTCTGTTTGTTTTGCATTTATTAGTATCGCCAGTCTCGTGGGCTTTGCATGCAAGCTGCGCAATCTAGGAGTATCCGACCACGGCTTGATCAGAGAGCTGTCGGTTCCTCTGGCAGGTAGTTTGTATTCGGGCGAGGGGCATTCACGTGTTTACGACGATCCCCAGGTGTACGAGTAGGTGCTCGGTCCCCCTCTCTTCATGCACGGACGTTGGGCTGACATGACAGTCTTGCCGCCTCACATGCCCTGGAGACTGCAGATGTGGGCGCAATCAATTGCGAGGTCCGGGAGCGTGGTTCGCTCACGAATCCTAATCCGTACCACTTGCCGTGGATGATGCGCGGCATGCTCGAGGAAGAGTATGTCAAGACGGAGCTGTCTGCTGAGACGGCCGAACTCCTGAAACAGTTTGACGAATGGAGGCCGGTGACCAAGGCGTTGAAGGACGTGAAATACAGACTCGAGGCAGTGCGGTCCAAGCTTTAAAGAGTTCTCAAGAGAAGTGTGTTTGGCTTTGGCATGCGTTGCATTATCATGAGGCATCGACCTCGATGGACGGACGGACAGGCATTGGGGGTTATTAAAGGTCTATCTTGAAACGGCGCCAACTTGTATGTGTAGAGATTGTTCTTCTTTCTGGTGGTATATGTACAGATTTTGCTCACGTGACCTTTATAGCATGGCACAGATTATACCCAGAAGAGAGACGAGGGGTCCATAAAGCAATTCTCAGTGAACAGCAGCCCCGACGGTTCATCCCAGCCAGCGCATCGCAAGACATGGGAAGATCCTACACCTGAGTCAAGCTACCTCTGTTGCGGAGGGGCAGACACGACGAGATTGGCACACGAACAGATGGCATGCCCGCAGGGACAGCGGCTCATCTCTTGCCCAGCTGCCAGCGGTAGATGATATCCTGGATTTCGTCCCACTGGATCTGCTTGGCGCTCAAGCCGGCGACATCGGCCTCCTGCAGGACGACGGTGGGAGCGCCGCTGCCACGACCGGGATTCTGGACGAGGCCCTGAACGACGATCTTGGCGACGCGACGCAGGTCGTCGACGGTGAGGTCGTTGATGCGGCGAACCATCTCGTGGACGGGGATCTTGTGGCCATGGACCTGGACCTGGCGGCCAAGGTCCTCGAGCTCGACCATGCGACTCTCGAGATTCATCAGCAGGCTCGAGCGCAGCTGGTTCTTGGCGCGGTTCACCTCCACCTGGCCGAGGGCACTGAAGCCACCGTCGAGGGCCAACGACCGGAGCTCACGACACATGACCTCGAGCATCTTGGCGGTGCGGCCGGGATAGCAGGAGGCGGCGATACCGAAGAGGCCACTGTCGGCGTAGGAATGGTTGAAGGCCACGCACGACTCGACCCAGGCGTGCTGGTTGAGCACGTTGGTGTAGAGGCGGCTGTACATGCCCTTGCCGGGACCACCGGCCGAGAAGGAGCCACCACCGCCGAGGAGGGTCTGCAGGGTGGCGAGAGCATAGATGTCGTCGGACGAGATGGGAAGGCCTTCGAAGGCGAGCTGAATATGGGTAAAGTTGGGCTGGTTCGGGTTCAGCGGCGGCGGCTGTGCGGGCAGCGAGAGGAAGCCGCCGCTGTAGTGAGCCGGCCGGTTCAGCTGCTCGGGCGAGAGTGCATAGGGGGTGGTCGAGAGGACGGAGGCATTTTGCGGAGCGGAAGTGGAGAGGTTTTTGAGGAAGGGTATCTTGGAAAGAAGATTTGAGGGGGGTGAGGTAGATGAGGAGGGAGATGAGGCTGACGAGGCGGATGAGACAGACGATGAGACGGACGAGGTGGAAGCGGTGGATGAGAAGGATGACGTCGAGGCAATGCTATCGTCGGCCGAACAGGACAGGTCGTCGGGCTGCTGCTGCAGGGTTGGCTTCATGTCGCCAAAGTGCTGTTCGGCCAGGGCGACGGCCTCGTGGTGCGGGACGCCAGCAAAAGCCACCACCATGCGGTCAGGGCGGTAAAAGGCGTCGCGGTAGGCGCAGATGACGTGACGGTCGATGCTGGCCAGCCGTTCCTCCGGGCAGAGCAGCGGGTTGCCGAGGGTGTTATCACGGAAAGCGGCCATGTGGACGAGCTCGGGCAGGATCAGCTCAGGCTTGGACCAGATTTCCTTGATCTCGTAGGCGGCCGTGTCGAGCTGCTGGGCAATCTCGTCGTCGGTCAGAAGGGGCGAGCGGATGGTCTCGGCGAGAATCTCGACAGCCGTCGGGATGGCCGAGTTGAAGGTGGCGGCCTGGTACATCATGGACTCGCGCGACGACGCGCACTGGATATTGCCACCGAGGCTCTCGACAGCCTCGAGCATGTCGTCAGCCGAGCGCCGGCTGGTGGACTTGAAGGCCAGCCGGTCCATGATGTGGCTGGTACCGCGCAGATACTCGCTCTCGTAGCGCGACCCGGCCTCGATGTACACGCCGACGCCGGAGAAGGCATCGGGCAATGCTTCGGACGCCACCCGCACGCCGTTGGCAAGCGTCGTGATCTCGTCGAGCTTCGTGGGGTCCTGGGCCGGTGGCACGGCCACGGCGGCAAACAGTCGCGGCCGTCCGGCTGGTCCTCGGCCGGCGAACGGCTGGAGGCTTGGAGGTGTGACAGACGAGACCAGCGGCCGTCGCCGGGCGGCTTGGCTGGCCAGTCGAGACACGGACGAGCGGAGCATCGTGGGCGGCAGAGTCAGATGGACATGCAAAATGAGGCGGGGACAGGACTGCGGGCGGCTTCGGCGGGTTTGGCAGACGAAGCCATAAAATTTCGTCGCGACGATGTGGTGATGCGTGGCGATAGTGACGGCGATAGCGATAGCGATAGCAATATGCAATATGCAAATAGCGAGTCGCGAGAGCGATGGCATATACTCCGTACGAATACTCCGTGCTCCGCCCGTAGAGTCCGTACGGAGTAATAGCGCTGAAATGCTCTGTACTCGCAGTATCTGACGCTTCCGGCGACCCCACCCACATATAAATATAACTGCGCTAGACAAAGCGGCCAGGGTCATTTGATTGCCCTGTGCAGCGATATCATGCAGCATGACGCCTACGCCATAGCACATGTGCTCGCACGAAGTATCCCTGTCGCCACACTCTCAGCCGGCCATCCTGTTTCTGGCCTGGGCCCAGCCTAGTGTCTCGCTGTTCCTCTTTTGCCCCCTTCATGTCTACGAGTACGTCGTAGTCACGTATCCAGTCATTTCCCGTTGCTATGAGCACCGTTACGCGGTACAACTCTTACTCGTCGTTCCGTAGGCGAAAAAGTCCTGATAATACATACCAGCCTCTCATGACTTTGCCTCCTGCACGTTACCGTCGGTCACGCATATTCAGGCCGGGCAGCCCTCCTTTTATTCCCTCTTGCTCCCGTCCCAACGACGCTGAAAAGTACTGCAATTCAACCAGAATCGCATGTGCAGTGCCCGTGGTTGATTGTTCGCCGGTCCGCCTCCACGAGTAAGACACTTGACCAGTCCGGAATCAGCACGCATCACCCCATCCGGCACAACATTTGCCTCGTCTGATCGACCTCTTCTTTCTTCTTCGTCACGCCGCCTCCTCCCTCCGCCGGACCCCCGACACACACGTGATCGCACACGTGATCGCTTTGCAAACCTGCACCCGGTCATAAATTCGTGCCATCGACCTCCCACCACTCGACCGCCTTTCCGCCCAAAGGTGCATTATCTGCGCCACGGCTCGTCCTTCATGTTTACCCAATCCGTGCCAGCGCCCGCGCCTGCGCCCTCGTCCACGGGCCTGCACGTCGCCTCGTCCACGTCGCCAGCATTGCCAGCCTCCAGAACCAGTCGACTGCGCGGCCTCAGCTACCTGCGAAACTACACCCAGAGCCACCTGCTGAACCGAGAGCACAGCGGTGCTTCCAATCCCAACAACGTGCCATCCTACACGAATTCGTCTGCATCTGCATCTGCATCTGCATCTGCGTCTGCAGAGACTGCTGCACCCGTCAGCCGCATCGTCTCTCACTCTCAGGCGTCCAACAGCCACGACGTGAACGGCTCCCGTCTCGTCCGCTCCGAATCATATCCCTGTCGGCCTACCCATTCGTCTGTAGACCACATCTTCGCCCTGCCGACAAGAGACAGCCCTCTCGAGACATTGTCTGCAGCCGAGGACACTGGCATCACCACTGCAGCAACCACAGCAGCCCCAACGGCCACAACGGCCACAACGGCCACATCGGCCCCAACGGTCGCCACGGCCACAACGGCCGCCCTCAATACAGTCTGCCTAATGGACGTGACATCTGCTCCGTCAACAAACGGTCCGGCAGCGACGGCCATAGTCACGGCCACCACCGAAGGCAATGCCGGCTCCAATGCTGCCGCCGGTGCCGCCACCTTGGATAGCTTGCCCTCCATCCGCTTCTCTACCTTTTACGACCCCCGCTCGACACGGCCATCGCTCAAGTTCGCCACTACCTCTCGCACCCTGCCCACCGGCAAGGAGGTCATCCGCGTCGGTCGCTATTCAGAGCGCGACAGCCTGCCAACCACCAGTCCGAATGCCCCCTCCGCCGCTCACGTTGGCTTCAAGTCAAAGGTCGTCAGCCGTCGCCACTGCGAGTTCTGGTTCGAAAACAACCGCTGGTTCATCAGAGACGTCAAGAGCTCCAGCGGCACCTTCTTGAACCACATCCGTCTCAGCCAACCCGGCACCGAGAGCAAGCCCTTTCCCGTAAACGATGGCGACGTCGTTCAGCTGGGCATCGACTTCAAGGGCGGCGAGGAGATGATCTTCCGCTGTGTCAAGATACGCATCGAGTTGAATCGAGGATGGCAGAACAAGCTAAACGCCTTCAAGTATGCACTCTCTCCCTCCACCCCCTGCTGCTGCCTGGCCTGACCTGATATAGCATGAACACCCACAAGCGCCTTAGAAACATGACCAAGTCGAGCGATGGCGATGGCGCCACGCAATCGTCTCAGGACTGCTCCATATGCCTCAACTCCATTGCGGTATGTGCTGCCTCCCCGCCCGACCTTGCTGTCGAAGCTGACCCGGCCCTTTGCCACACAGCCCTGCCAGAGCCTTTTTGTCGCGCCTTGCTCGCACACATGGCATTACAAGTGTGTCCGGTCTCTGCTCGACTCGCCCCAGTACCCCGGCTTCATTTGCCCCAACTGCCGTGCTGCTGTCGATCTTGAAGCAGACGTCGAAGATCCTCCGGAAGAATGGGAGCACGGCGAGGCCGATGATGCTCACGAGCCTCTGCCAGGCGACAGCGAAGACGCCGAGAACCACGTCGGCACCCTCGCCGCTGCCGGGACACTCAACCAATCTTGCGCGTCTCAGGTGCCGCCACAGCCGTCTCTGCCACCGCTGCACGCCGGCACAGCCGATCTCGTCGCCGATACTATTATACAAGCCGATCCCATGCAGGTCGACACCTCTCCATCGCCATCTCCAGCAGAGCCGCTGCAGCTGCGACTCCCGCTTCCGGAAGACCACCTCTCCCACGCCACGGTTTACCCCATGTCAATCCCAATGCCATCCGCCGTTGGCCGCTTTGCCTCGTCCAGCACCAGTGGCCCCTCTGCATCTGGTGCCGCCTGCATGATTCACACATCCTCTCCAACCGCTGATGCCGTGGCATCTCACGGCCATGATGGCCCCATCACTCCCCGCAATGATGCGGGACCATGGGTCTTCGATGGCAGCGGTATCCGGATAGCGGATGGGAGGCCGAGCACAGATGGCCGAGGGGGAGGGATGCGCAGTCTGGACACAGCAGCCGCCGAACTGGCCGCTCAGTCCGAAAACTAAACCAGCCCCGAGACAGCCCGATCACATATACGGGAATCAAGAAGCTGTTATTGTTTGACGAGAGCACGTGACTGCGCTGTCTCGTCTGCCTGGCATTAGGGAGCATTGCAGATAACATGTTGGATATATATGTCTTTATACGTGTACGGCGTTCCATATTGTTTGTTCGCCTGTCCGGACGTTCTGTTATTTTGCCATTGTCGTATTTTCAGTTTAGATCATCTTGAGCATGTCATCTCCGCATGGCTGCTGCGCTGCGCGTTTTATGCTGAGCACATGGCCAGAACCCCTATCCTCTAATTTATATAGCTGATTTGTAAGATACGCAAGGCTTGCATGGATTTGCTCTTCGAAGTTTGAAGGCAACAGACTGAAATACGCAACGCTGTCGCTGTCATGTCCTCAAAACTGTCCCCATTACATCTGTCTCCAACTGGAACCCCCCTTTGACCGTGACATCTATTTTTTGAATGCGGCATCGCCCAGTTGCTCGATCTTTTGTCCCTCGGCCGTTCCCTTACCAGCTGCATCCAATATTCGCGTCCAGGCGTCTACGTCTTTGATCTTGACAGCCTCCTCGGCCGCCTTGACTCGCAGCCCACACTTTTCATACATCGTGATGGCAGCACCGGACTCCAAGTTTACGCACTTTGGCACAAATAGTGCCGCCAGACGAGTATTGCCTGCTTGCAGAACAAGGTTGAAGAACGGCTGTGGAGGAAAAGGTCAGCACCGGGTGACTATCTGGATGCGGACATGTCTGCGAACGGAAAGACACGTACCTCCCAGCCAATGGGACTCTTCTTGGCCTTGGATATATCTTCGATCTCGTCCCAGTCTCGTTTTGCGACGAGGGCCCGAAGTCTAAAGCGCTGTCAGCAAAGAGAGGAAGAAGAAACAGACACACCAGCATGTGCTCATGAAGGCCTACCGTATCCACCACGCCACTCGCTCCGGCACATGGAATTCGCTCTGGAGCTTCTTGGCCCGTCCATGGTATCCTAGCCGGATAAGTTTGAACATTGTGTCGTTGACACTCAGGCCCGTGAAGCTGTCTGTCAAATCCCGGTCAAACGCCTCTTGCATCCTGAGAAGCGTTGTCGCCTCTTTGAGCGCCCCGAGCTCAAAAGCGCTCTCCTTCTGATTATCAGCCAGTACCTTGGCCGCCAAAACAAGCTTGTCTGATGCAGTCCGGCTGTCCGGTTGGCGCAACGCTTCGCGGATGAAGACAGACGCACCGCTTTGCCGACGGTCATCTTGGTAGTACATGTCCTTGAGCAAGGTGTTGTCACCCTCGCGCATCGCCGACGACTCGACCAAGGCGGTCGCGACAGGTCGGCTGTTCACTGTTCGGAAAAAGGCTGCCAATGGAAGCTTGCGCCGAATCTGCCCAATGACAAAATACACCAGATCTGTATCCCCGGATTCGATAGCTTTGTCGAGAGCAAGCTCGTCTTCTTCCATGCTCAAAAGAAGAGGTACTTGTCGGCCTGCCCGTGGTTCGTGATTCAGCAGTTCTGTTGCCAACCGGGCGCGTCCCTCGTCATATGCAGCTCGCGCTATCTCCTCGAACGAGATGCCTGGTTTCCCGGACAACTTCTCGACAATAATCTGGCACAACGTATCGTCGTCTTCCGAGCCGACGCGCACCTTTGCGCAGGCCCAATGGACGTAAATGTTGTCCGTCGGCAGGCGGAGGTAGCTGGAGATGCGCAGAGCCAGAAGATGCTCGTTGCGGTTAAGCAGACGCTTGATAAGCCCGTCAGGCCCTAAGCGTTGGTACTGGTCATAAGACAGAGGAAGTCCAATCTCGTAGAACCGCACGGCGTTCAAAACACGAAGAGTATCACACATCTCGACAAAATCGTCGCTGTTGTAGATATCCAGTACAGATTTACCGAATGAGGCAGCCTTCAGCAACTGTTTCTGCCAATGGGTATTGAACTCTTGGCTAGAGGCATTGACCTGTCCAGTACTCAATGTTAGAGAAAATGCCGCTCAGAGAAGGGATCTCTCCTCGGAGAAGAGGCATACGCATGTGTCCACTGCCTCGGTCAGGTTGGGCCGAATGAGCTGAATGTTATCATCTGCTTTGGGTGACTGTGCCTCCAGCTGTTCGACAGCATCCAGCAGTATTGAGGCCGGCGATTCAGTGCCGAACCTAAACACATCTTCGGTCACTTCGGGTACTTTCTGTAGGAAGTCGCATGTACCGTTGGTTATCACTCGCACGCCATCTATGTCTTGAACAACATGAATCCGTGCATCATAGAAGAAGCTAGCGACGGAGCCTCCAGGACCGACAACGTGTATTTCGTCCTCCCAGGCAATGACAACAGCATCGTTCCCGCACCACTGCAAATACTTGGGTGGGATCTTGGACTTGGACTGATGCTCGCTCAGTCGAGTCTGAAAGTCGCTCGTAACGACATGTGCAACGCCTGTGCCCGTATAGAGAGCCACATACTTGCCGTTTGGTGAGACGGCGATATGCACAAACGGTCCAACATCAAGAAAGCGATCCTCACAGTCCATGGCATCGACGACGTAAATCGTCTGCCCTATACTCAGAAGAACCTCGACAGACCTCGATAGAGTATGGCTTGGTGAAATTAGAGTCCAGGAATGGATTCTGCCCTCTGGGCAGGAGGCCAGGAGCTTTGGGCGAGGCTCCTCATAGGACGTGACGGATATCAACGCATTATTCGACAGCAGGGCGACCATGCCGAAGTCATAGAACCTGAGAGCGTCCCCGTTAGTTTACGTCCAGGTGGCAGGAACCCGAAAATTGCATACCTGCATGACTCAACACTATGGTGTTCAACGCCATTACCAAGAGAGAACTGTGTGAAGTCACCCTGGAGGTTCATGTAACACCTCACCGTGCCGTCCTTCGTAACGATCAAAAGCTTTTCGTCGTCTGACCAGCCGAGCCCCCTAACATCAGACACTTTATCCCAGCTGATGCTCCTAATAAGCTTCCCCGCTGAGCTGTAGATGTCTATGCTCGGCTTCGTCGATCTCCGTACTTGATAGGCAATGACTTTTTGTTTTCATCATGCCATAATGCTGTACACGTAACAAAGTCAGAAGACTTCGCGCAAATTGCAGAGCAAGCACTGCGAGACCGTACCTATGGCACCAGAATAAGGAGCTCCAGCGACGGCATAGTTGTCTAGGTTCAAATCGCGGTCAAACACGGCGGTATACAGCTGGACCTTGCGATAGAAACTATCGCCGACTTGCTCCCAGCCTGCGGTAGGATGGGACGTGTCCATACTGTTTCATTCCCAGGGCAAGGTTTCTTGCGGTGTAAGATCCCAAGCTGTCGCGTACGGTACTGCTGCCCGTCCAAAAAGCCGCCTATTGGTGGCACGTGCAGCGACGTAATAACGCAATGCCCCTCGCACTGTCCAGAAGTGTTGCGCTAACCTAACGTCTCAGCTTCCTGCAGTAATATTTCCCGCGCAATCATTCATAAAGAAGTCGGCCTCTGAAGAACAATATAGAACTCTGCGTACCTTGCTCTATACGTTACTTAGCAAGAGGAAATAATGCCCAACTGGCGCGACGAGTACGTAGCCTCCATCAAAGAAGCAGACGAGGCTGATCCGGTCAATACAGCATTGATCCTTGCTTGTACGCTTTCCCAATTTCTGCCCCGCATCCTTTCACCTGCTCTCTGCCACTCATATCGATCTCCATTCATCTATTTACATCGTGACTGACCAACCGCCAGGCTCTACATTACAAGACCAGGTTGCTGCTTTGCAGGCAGAAAATGCACTCCTTAGGTCGACGACGGCTAAAGTCCCTGAAACAGATCGACTGGATTTATCGAATGTCCCAGATGCAGAAACGCCCAGAGCTCAGCTGCGGGTTGACCTCACCGAAGCCCTTCGGTCGCAAGGAAAACTTCAACTACGCTTAAAGACTGCAGAAGAGGAATTGGAATCCCTGCGGCTTAGCAATCGAACCGACAGCCGCACAATTCGTACATTGACAAACGAGCGAAATGCACTCCTTATCAAAGTCCGGGACAGAGATGAAGAACTTCGCGGAAAGTCCAAATTAGTGGAGGTATGAGTCCGCATTTACGATTTGGCCGTGCAGATGTCGGCAGCTAAAACCGTTTTGGGGCCGTGATAATATAGGATGTTCAAGACGAGCTTATTGCGCTCAATCTACAACTCAACATTGCCGAGCAACAGAGAGACAAGATTCGGGAAGAGAACAAGCAGCTGGTCGATCGCTGGATGCAGCGGATGGGCCAAGAAGCCGAGGCCATGAACATTGCAAACGAGCCTTACTTCGCTAGAAGCTCATGAAGAGGGTGCATCCAAGCTACTGATAAAAGACTGCATTCGAATACATTCTGGAAGAGACAAGCCCGAAGTAAGTGAAAATTTCCCCTGCCTTATCCAAAAGCGTTGCAATGCCCAGACATGCAATCCAGTTCCTATCGCTAAGAGCATTACTCTAAAGCTCGTCTTTTTTATTTTCTGGTATCTTGCATGAGCTATGCAAGTAGCCTCTAACGCTAAACAGTAAAAGGTATCACCTCCTCGTTGAAATACAGAAATTCCCAGCGGCTCCTGTCCAACTGACGTAACCCTCCGGGTACGTTAATACTTCGACGTTCAGAATTGTGCCGCCAACGTCGTTGATATTGTGTGATGCACTCTTGTGGTCATGGACAAAGCTCTTCAGCGACACGATCTTGCAGCCAGGCTTGAAATCCAAAAACATCCTCACGAGGTCGTCGTTCAATTGCGATGTGAACGCCTGGTTGTTAACCAAAACAACGTCTGCCCGTTTCAATACCTCTTGGACAGATGTGTTACAGCGAAAGTCGCCTCTTTCGAGATGCACTTCCCCTGGAGCGATCCCCCATAGCCGACACCTTTCCGTAAACTCCTTCTTCTGTACCTCTGCCAAATTGCAGGCATTCTCCATCATTTCGCACCCCCAGCTTTCACATCCTATTTCCAAAGCGGCTTGAAGAACGACGTTGCCGACGCCTGAGCCAAGATCAACAAAGACCTGGCCCGATGTCATATGCAACCTGTCCACCAGTATGTCGGTAATAAATGGATGGAGGAGCTCGCCGTACACGTTGTCGGTTCCGTTCTCATACCTTCGAAGGAGGTCAACTTTTGGGGCCACCGTTCGGTCATAAACCTGGTCCAGGATGAAAGCTGCAAGGTGTCGAGGCAGGTTATGTTTTTGGGAGAGATTGGACGCTACCACTCCGCTTTTTTGCATGGCAAGTAGTCGATCGTTGTAGTCTTTCAGCGCGGACGTAAACATTTTGAGGTCCTTTACTTTGTCGCTCGATGCGCGCTCTAGCTGTCGCACGATGCCAGTTGTTGGGTCAAGAAATGGCACAGCTTGCTCGTCTGTTAAGTAAATTTCTGCGGTGTATCGTATAGTCGTCAACATATCTTTGATAGCGTCGATTTTGTCTTTGCCCCAGACAAGCTCGTATCTAGTCGGAGTTGAAGGGGATATGTCAGCAGTGTTAATTGGCAAAATTTGCGATGTTTGATGCAATATGAGTTTGTAGATCGTGTCCTCTTCACCTTTCTCTGTGCTTGGACCCGGGATACTGCAGCTCGACGGAAACGTCGTCACTCGTTGAGCCTAGCACTGGCACACATTTGAGTGCCAGACACGCCACAGTTGCGGCGTGTACAATATTTGGCTTTGCTGCATCTTTGTCCTTCAGTCCATCTCCGTCATTCAACGTCCCCAGTAGAGCAGGATGTGCCAGACGGCGATCCAGGTCAATCACTCGGCTCCCGTCCAGCCGCGACCTTTTCCTTTGGCCCCGCGCACTCAATGTCATTTCCCAGTCATTGTCATCAGTGTCAGAGTCTTTGTCAAAGTCTATGCGCTCATTTGCTGGCGAAGCACGATGCGAGGACCCTCTGACTAGCTTTCGCTTGCGATCGGCGTCTCGGCCTGAACGGTTCTTATTCTCGTTGGCGGCCGGAAACGGCGAAAGGCTATTGCGACTTCTCGGCGAGGACGAGGCCCGCGACGATAATGATGCGGTCTTTTTACCGTTACTATTCGCGGTATGCCGGACACTCAGGTTGTCGGAATTGGGCGTAGCAAGCCGCGAGTTTCGAGGTTCTGATCTCGGCTTCGCAGTACCAACAGGAACCACGATCTTGCGGATCGTCGGCGCAACAACTTTAAACTTGGGCTTTTGGTTGAATATGCCCATCGCGCCGTTCGCAGCCCTTTACTGCGTCGGTTTACTGACGTCTCCCAGCCGACACCCGTTCACGGCTCGGTGTTCGATCTTTCAGGTAAGAAGAGTAATACTCGTAGGATGATGGGCCACTAACCATATTCTCTGGAATGCCGGAAGAGAATAGCAAATGAAGGAACTAGAAAATAGGTGCGCACGAGGGAAATAATGTTGCTCGAAGAAAGGCGCCAGCACGAGGGCAAATGTGAACTAAAGACAAAGCGGTACGGAGTACTCCGTAGTTTGGCCATTGTACGGAGAACGGGACTAGTCGAACGCGCACGCGCCGAATTTCTTCGTACTGTTCTTCCCCCAACTTGCGCCTCAGCCCCACAACGCCGTTGACCCGCCGTCCAGATCAGCAGCCGTCATTATCCACGTGATGCGATTGATCCAGGAACCAAAGCATGGGTGCGTCTTGTTTCTTTCCCGATACCTATTAGAGCCAGTGGTATACTTCAGGTATACTTTATGGCGTCCTATAAAACATACGAGACGACAGTCGGTTACATAGTATAATTGGAGCGCTACAGTCGCCCTATGTCAACCGGTCTTGCTCTCGAGCAGTGCTCGCATCATCTCGTTTCCGACTTGTATAGCCGAGGCAAATCGCGGCTGGAAAAACTGCTGGGTGACATCAAATCTCTCCTTCCAAGTGTCGAAATGTCCCAGATTCACACACTCAGCCCAACCCCTTGCCGCAAATGTAAATTCCAGGTCGTCCGACCGGAAAGTATTGTCCTCAATGGCAACACGTAGTGCTGCATCCAGCTTCTCAGAGTCCCGGAACAAGTTTTCCGTCACGCCCAGACGTAAACGGAACAGTGGTGTCGAGCAAAGCATATGATCGTAGGGCACGATCCCGAGTTTGCTCCAGCAGTCTACCATTGCCAATAAGCTCAAGTGGTTATTGGGGAGTACACTCTCTGGGCGTTCGCCAAGGCCAAAGCGATCAAGTAGCCCGTCGTTCAGTAGTGGCTTCTCTGCCCATTTGGGGTTCTCAAAAGTGCCAAACACTCTATCTTTCGCTTCGTAGACTCGTCTTCGCAGGTCATCCGACCTTCCTTCAAGCATAAGCTTGTAGAGCTCGGTGGTGCTTGCAGCATACTGTGCAATCTGCTTCCGTGCTTCCGGGTTCATGATGGCCAATCCTGCGTACACGTGCCACTTTTGCGCATATATCCGAAGCATCAAATTGATTTTGACATTTTCGATCCCACCTACATACCGTGCACCTTCCCAAGGGAACTGCTGCATGGCATGCCAGGCCTTGCCCATAGATAAGAAGGCAACGTGCGTCACAGCCTGCGTGTCTGCGGTAATCCGATCGTGCAATGCTGCCGTCAAGTATACGTGTTTACTGCCCAGACAACTGAGAACAGTCTCGACTTTGGCAAAGGATTCGTCCGATGCTCGGTGCTTGATCATGACCTACACACACACGTCTACAGTTGGTATCAGGATTTTCTCCCCAGTAAGGACCGTCGCAACGTAGTAGTACTTACAAGAGGTTGGCCACGCGTGTCAACATTTGGCCCGTGAAGGGAATGGCACGAGACAATATCGACATCATCCGGCAAATATTCCTCAAAGGCTTTCATCTCGGGATCCTTGCAGGACGTTTGTCCACCGACAATGGCATTCTGTTTCGTGGCTGTTGCGCCAATCCAAGAAGCACGACAATCAGATCAGCGAATGAAGGAGACAATCGGTTACACAACAAGCATGGCAAAAGCACGAAGAGCCGCAAAAAGAGCAGGAGAAGGAGTAGGGCATACAAGGACCATATTCCTTTACAACACGACCAATAGCCGCAGCTTCAACACTGTAGATGATGTAGTCGCTCGTTCGAGACACCAGATGGCCGTCGCGTAGAATAGTTATATTGCTCTGAGTATTCATTCTCAGCATCACGTCACGTAAAAACACGCATCTTGGGGCTCGAAACAAGGCGAGGTAGAAAGTCCGTACTTTATCAGAAAACTCTTCTTGTAAACCCTCGTACTTTTCTTCCCTGTCACATGCCACAATCCTACATTTCCGTCCCTGTCAGCAAGCTACTACCGACCAGTCCCTTCTACCAAGTACCAGAGCAGGCAACGAAACTTTTCGCGTTCTAGATTTCGAGCCACGTTAGCATTCGCAAACTTAATGGTATGAGAAGTAAGCATAGCAGTGAAAGTGGAATTGCATCAGACAAAAATTTGTAAGGTAGCTGAGAGTTATCATCAAGGAAAGTCAACGGCCACGACTGGGTTACCAGAATAGCCGCCCAGTCCAGCCAGAGACAATACTCGAGCCAAATGCGCTCAAGTCATCATAGCAATGAAAAGGGGACAAATTGCAGGGTAGAAAAAGAGTATAGGGGTTTCAACTAACCTGTGGTATAAAGTAGTTACTGTCTTGAGAAAAGCAAATATCAGCATTACCTCCAACCTGCAGCACCGAGCCGAAGGGCATACATCCTTCCCATATCACCCATGCCAATGAGTCCAATGGTGAAGTTTTGCATGCCCGGTGGCACCGCATATTTCGTTGTAGCCATAGCTTACAAAGTTATGGCTACCAAATAATGACCGGCATGTCTAAAGAGAGGAAGAAGAATGTTCATTTTGAACGTCAGGATAATTTTTCCATGCTTTTGTATTTTAGCCGATGAAAGATAATGGGGTCGCGCATCGGTGTTACTTTGTTCCGTGAGGACTACTTTTGTTGTTAATAATATTTATATAACATAAAATTAACGAAACATTGTATATTGCCTAATAAGCGCTACAAAAAATACTGGATATGGCAGCTGTATTCGCTCTTGGCTCGAATGGCTCTGGCCAGCTAGGTATCGGCCACTTTGAGGATGTTTCTGTGCCAAAACCTATCCTCTGGGGAGGTGACGCGCCAAGTACCATCACGTCTGTGGCAGCTGGTGGTAATCATACACTGCTTCTTTGTGGTGATGGATCAACATACTGGGCAGGAGATTCAAGCTGCGGTGCCTGTGGGTCTATTTTGGCTGAAGACAAACCATCGCAACCATGTTTTACCAAATTGAAGATTGCCAGGTCCGGAAATGCTATCGGGAGCGGCGAAACAGTACAGAAGATCTCCGCAACTTGGAGTGCATCTGTTTTCATCGTGCGTGATGAGCATGGCAGAACTAAAGTCTATACCTGTGGACTTGGTGAGAGGGGCGAACTCGGCCAAGGACCTCTTGTCGTTCGCGATCCCCACGGTACAGAATTACAAGATTTTCCGCCGGCCGGCGCTATAATCACGGACGTCGCAGCTTGCATGGACCATGTTGTGGTAGTATTAAGCAATGGCGATGTATATGGATGGGGTAATGGCCGGAAGGGCCAGCTGGGTAGCCCAAGTGTTCTCGTATACTCGCCCCGAAGGTTCGAAGGAATTGCTTTCCCGGTGAAGAGGGCAGTATGTGGCACAAATTTCACTTGCCTTGTGGGCGACAAAAACACTGGCCAGATACAAGTTCTTGGTGCGGACAAATGGGACATCAAATCCAAAGCACCGTCAGCAATCCCGAATTGGAAAGATGTTGAGGCTGGATGGAGTAATATTATTATTTTGATGGGCGATGGGGAAGTTTTGAGCTGGGGCAGAGAAGACTACTCGCTAAACGCCTCGCCGAGTCCACAGAAAGCAATAAAGATTGCGGTAGGGAGCGAGCATGCTCTCGCTCTTCTCGAGACTGGTGATGTTCTAGCATGGGGTTGGGGAGAACATGGCAACTGTGGTCCCGTCAAGCAAGGTGAAGCCGCAAAGGGGCAGCGAAACACTGTCGTGTCATCCAAGTTCTTGCCGCCAGAAACCTATATTTCAGTCATTGGTGCTGGATGCGCCACAAGCTGGATAGTCATAGGAGAATCTAGCCAGGCTGGAAAATGACGGCACAACTAGCACCAGCTGCTGTCAGCCGGCTATCTCTGTAGGGTATGGACATTCCTGACTTTATTGGAATAGACCATATTTTCGAACCTGTAGCCGCAGTCAGGAACTTGTTCGGAGTAAAATCATATAAAAGTATTTGGCCGATGTCCATACCTGCGTAAGGCGTTGGGTTGGCTCAAGTCCTGCGGTTTCGGCGTCCGTGGGCTGTAGCTGCATGCCGGCGTTTCCATCTAAGTTGTTATTAATTGGAACAAAGCTCAACTCCTTGACTAAGTTAGCCCGGCTCTATTATCTCTGTTGCGTTACCACAATTGGGATAGGCCCGTACCGGTTGCATGCTCTCGTCCCATTCAATTTGGACAAAGCCGGAATTATCTTCTTCTGGATTTACCGGCTCCCATTGGCCGTCTCCCTCGTAAAGGGATTCCTGTCTGAAAGTAGAGGGCGGGACTGGGCGAGGCCGCATTTCAAAGTCGGGGTGGCCACCGCTAGTAGGCTCTGTCAGAGGCCTGTTTGACGAAGACATAGCAGCTGCAGGATTCGAGGGTGTCTGGTCTGGCTTGGTCGCTTGGATACCGGCACCATCAAAATTGCCAGCAGCATAGCCAGAATCAAGGGCAATCCGAGCTCTGTTACCAGCTTTTGTCCTGCTCCTCTGTTTATTGTGCTCTGGGTTTGCCTTGTTGCCCGATGTCACCAGAATAAACTCGCAGAACATGTTATTCTCATCGTATGAGAACTTCAGCGGACACCATGGCTCCGAATAATACGCCAGAAGGCTACTCGAAGTCGTACATGCGTGCTGTAGAACTGCCCGAAAATCCTTCACATTGATTATTATGTGGTGTTTATCTTCGACATCGATGTCGTCGAACTCGTCCATCTTGACGGCGATGGAAGTGTGCAGGTTCATGTTCAACAAACCTTACCGTTAGCAGTGATTTAGGCGAAGAAAGGTGCAGTTGACAGAAGAAATCCTTGCCTACCATCTGTTTTTGCGTATTGCTTTTCCGTGAAGCCTGTGAGATTAACGACCTTGGCACCTTCTGTGTTGATATCCAAGAGCTCAACTTTGGGTCCGAAGTGTTCCATCAGCCGACGGAGCGTGTGGGCAGATATAGACCAATGGTTTATAGCCTTGGATTTGTCGAACTTCGCATGTGTGGGTGCTTTTCCTTCGAAAGGGATAGCGTGAGTTGCAGTGATGCCTGCGGAGTTCGCATTGCCACGTTAGATCATCTCCGTTCTCTAAGCAAGAAAACACGAGACTTGCCATTTTTCCATGAAATTTTGGCGACAAACCGGCTTTTCTTCCCGGGCCCATCGTCGACGGAAACATCACATCTCTCAATGCTAGACTCTGCATTGGCCCCCTTGTTCGCGTCTCCGCCAGCTCTGCTACGGAATATTGACAATAGAGCCTTGTGCAATGCCATTAGCAGGTTGTGACGACAACAAGGGACGTAATCATGATGGCATACCCGAATATACAGAACACAATAAAATCTGTCAGGAAACTTGGTGTTTCCCTCGTATCTGTAGCGCGTGAAATGCGCAGAGGAGAATGCGAAGGAGACAAATGCAGACTTGGTTGAGTTCAACGCGCTTAGAACAAGCTATTTGCTTCCAGTTAGGTTACCATGTGCCTTCGTAGCACAAACTCCTAACTTTCAGACTTGCCTTTCCCTTCTTGGCATCGAATGAGACATCCTCGCTGAACCTCAAAATGCAAGCCAGCACATTTTGGAAGGCCACCACACTTTCATCGCTCAGGGTAAAGGACACGATAGCCATAGCGGATTGTCTTGCAACGAAGTCCAGCAACACATAGAGCTAACAACCGGAGGTGAGATGGCGACCAGCAGTTGGGTGCCCCAGAATAATGGCTTGTTGGAATGTCGTGATTGGCAACGCAAAATCGGGAAGAGCCACCCACTGTAAAAATCTTACAAGGGTTAGTAGCTCTCCAGTTGTGTAGACTTAGCCAGGCTCCCACCACCACGTTACTAACAGCGTCGGCTCGCGTCTGTAAAAGCCTGGTGATTAAGAAAGATATATCGTCTGCCTTTCGCCGACTTGATTGTCTTTGCATACCTTTCGGCGGCTTACTACAAAGGCCGATTGCCTTGTCTAATGAGGCTCGAACGTTTTTTACAGGAACCTGTAGCTACTCTCCCGTGTCGGAAATGCTACGTTAAGACTACAACCCTGAAATTAGGAACCTAAGAAAGGAATGCACTAGGAAGCTGAGCACGGTACACAGCAACCTGCTACTCGAGCTAAGTGTTTACTTATACGCACTTTTTTCCTTCAATGCTCCGTAGTGGCTAAGTAAGTAGAGACTACCTTTCACGAGAGGCAAAGTGAGCATGTCTATGTGAACCACCACACGCTATACGTCGCATGCCCCTCGGGAGGCGAGAGGGATAGTAATTTAAGCAATTAGGCATTACCTGCCTCCCATCCTGTTTTGATGATAAAATTATTTGAGTTGATTCAGCCTACGGAGCATCGTATTCGGATTGAAAGGTGACCCCGAAAGAGGACCGATATGTCCTGCACGTGACATACCCGAGCTTGCTTTTATCTCATTATTACGTCGTATATCTTAGCACGCCGGACAAGGATAGTTATACCTCGTTGACTGCCAGCAACACTATAATCAAAGTTCGCGGCACAGCACAACGGCGCCACTCTCCAGCCGCTCTAAATCAAGTGCCTACAACTTACATGGTTGCATCCCAACAGTACGACAGTACACCGTAGTCATGGGAACACCAATGTTGCCTGTCGACATCTGGTGGCTTATTTGCGAGGAGCTTACAACACGACAAGACTTCAACTCCCTCTATAGCTTCGCCCTTACAAGTCAGACAATGGCGAGCATATCCCTTCCAAACTTGTATAGGTGAGTAAAAAGTGCTAGCTCTGCGGTCTGCCTATCAGCTAAATCCAGGCAGCACACTCTGTGCTCTGTGTGGGGACATGCTGGTGCAACCTGTTAACATATTACATGATAGCATCTACGACTTGGCGTCTACCAGTACCGATGCCTCAGCTAGCGGGAAGAGGAAGCTAGCTACCTTATGGCGGGGTATCATACTCTCAGGCGTTGGAAAGACAGCATTTCCGTATTGCCTCTGGATACGAAACTTAAAACTTGGAGACTTTGAAGAAGTTCTGAGAGATATCGCCCCCTATCCTAATCTACGGGATGCCTTTTTCAGGGACGGCATGCGCTCCTTCGAGATATTGACGAAGACGACATCATCAAACACAAGACCAGGACAAGTCCATCCCCAGCTTGACCTACAGAGTATCAGCAACAGGGTTGGAGATACCATCACATCTTTTGTCGAGGAGGCAGCGGCCCGTAGCAAAAAAGCTGTCGGGCTAACACATCTGGAAGGACATTATATTCCAATGGACATTCTACCGACGTGGACGTCGAGGCTAACCACCTTAACAGCCTTGCGCATTCAGGATGGCTCTGTGCTCGGGGAACAGGTGGCGGCATCCATTCGTGAAAATTGTACGAACTTCAGGGAGCTTAACTGTTTCTATTGCGATGGAGCAACGGTGGATAAAGACCTCGCCTCATTTTTCAAGACGCTCAAACCAGATTCCTTGGAGCTTTTTGGCGTAAGCAGCAAAAACCGTCTGGGAAAAGAAGCGTTTTCTGCACTCTCGCTTCATGCGACATCTCTCAAGAAGCTCCATCTTTCAGGGCTCCAAGCTGCGGCTTTCCGGCATTTGGGCGCACTGCTTCCATGCGTCTCTCTAGAGAGCCTCGAACTGGAAGGCGAGAGATCGAGTACCCTAGACTGGAGATCAGAGACTTCATTTGCTGATGCCGTATCGTGGCTCAGTTCTTGTGCACTGCTCAAGAGTCTCAAACTTTGGCATGTCCCTAATGCCACCACGTTACTGAATCTTGTGTTCAAATCGACACAGTTTCATTTGTCGACGCTCGATCTCAACTTGATTGATGAAGATGATGAGTTTTACTCGTGTCTTGGGACTCAGCCGACGCTTGAGAATTTTATGTTGCGAAGCATTGACCCTCTTCCCGAATACCCTTCACCACAGCACGCACAGCTCGTCGAGTCCATTTGCAACATGCGCTGCTTGAAGGTATTAGATATACTACAGGCTAGACTTACGCCTGACGACGTCAACACCTTGGCGGTAGCCCTCGGACATCTTGAGGAATTCGGCTTTGACGGCGATTTGTTTGACGATGCTATCTTCGACACACTTCTTAAATTGCGCTGCTTGAAAAACATCAGCTTCAGTGCAAACACCGTGTTTTCGTTCGATGGCATTCTTGGTTACATTGACAGCCTCAAACTGATGGAGTTGCCAAGTGGCGAGTTCGGTCTAGTCATCATGAACCAGTCACTGGACGCCAAACTTTCCACGGAGCAAATAAGCTTCCTTACTAAGCACGCACAGACAAGCATAGGTGGGAGAATCGAGATCGAGCATCCGGAAGAAGAACACGAAAGCGACTTCTCAGACTAGGGGGCCGAGGCTGAGTAAGGGTCGGATCCACTGGCAAGAGACAGTTCAGTTGCAAATGAGTTCAAGCCCCAGGAATCAGGCTCTATATGACATCTTAAAAGTCCCGCTGGGTTCCTTTCCCGCACGAGCAGCCGTCTCTGAGAGTTAGCCTACAAATACGCCTTGCCATTTTACAACGGAAGCAGAATCTTAGATCAGAACCCTCAAAATGGGCAGGGTGATTAAAAGGCAACTATAGATATGCATCATCGAATCTCTCAGCATTCCCGCGCTTCTAGCATGCATTTGGTGGTAGCCCACAGAAAGACCATGGGAAGTCGAGGTCCTCTGCAGTGGAAGTCTTGCTCGCTGAGGACTGGTCGACGCCCAGTTTGCTGTTCAGCTCCTGGGTAATTTTCTCGACGTCGACGTCCAGATATTCTCGGAGGAACTTTCCGACGTCTGTGTTCTCGACGTTGCCCCTCAGTCCCTCAACGACCGGACCACCAGAGCTGTATATGTTGACATCCACAGCCGAGTGACCGTGAGTGCTCCAGCCAATGTGTGCTCTTAGGCTCACAAGCTCGGCAAAAATGATTATAGAGGTTTCGGGGTTCGAGGCCAACAGCTCCAACTCCTCGTCCAACGCATCGGTGATCCCGAGGTGTGGGATGAGCAGTTCCATGTTGATCCAGTTTTTCAGAGACTGGACGTCCTCTACAGATCCATCTGCAGCGATAGAGAGAACATGTTCACGCAGGAGGAGGGAGAGGTGCTCCGAAGAGACCTTGGCTTTATCCAGAGCTGTCGGGTACCAGTTGTAAATGGGGAGATGCCCAGGTTCCTCTGCAGATCGGAGTCAGGAATGGGCCATAGGCGCAGCCAGTTGGCTGCTGAAAGAAGGAGTGTTAGCTAGAGTACTCACGCAGTGCTGTCGAAAGCCCACCCGTCTCATGATCACTTGTAGACACGACAATGCCTTCGGTGTCGCTCTGTTCGAGAAAGTCCAGAACAAGACGGAAGGTCTTGTCAAATTCCATGACCTCTCGGACCTGCGCAGCCGGGTCGTTAATATGGCCAGCATGGTCGATGCGGCTGCCCTCGATCATGAGAAAAAAGCCCTTCTCACTGTCCTCGGTAGCCTTTTCCAGGGCACGAAGAGCAGTGGCGGCCATCTCGCTGAGGCTGGGATAGGTGTCTGCCATGTTGCGGCGGTCGATCTCGAAAGGAATGTCGGCCGATGCGAACAGGCCGAGGACCGGGAGGCTCACGCTGTTGCCGGTCTCGAGCGAGTCGAACCCTGCACGGTCGTCGACGTAGTGCCAGCCGTTCAGCTCGGCAATAGAGGTCACATCTATGTTGTCCTGGCGGCAGCTGCCCTGCGAGGTGTTGGGCAGGAAGTGGCAACGGCCGCCGCCGAGCATGAGATCGACGACGTGGCCCAACGGACCCTCACCAATCTCCTGCAGAGCGATCTCGTCCATCTGGGTGCGGACGTTGACATGGCTGGCAAAGCAGGCTGGCGTGGCGTCGGTGATGTCGGTGGTGACGACAAGGCCGGTGTGGTAGCCGGCGCGCTTGGCGGCCTCCAGGACGGTGCCACAGGGGGTGAGATCAGGCAGGATGCTGATGGCGCCGTTGTAGGACTTCTTGCCGCATGAAAAGGCGGTGGCTCCGGCGGCCGAATCAGTGACCAGACTATTGCTCGAGCGGGTACGACTGGTGCCCCAGAAGTGGCGGTCCAAGGCCAAGGTGTCATTGATGGGCACACCCTCGGTCAGCTGGCGAAAGGAACGCGTCAAGGACAGCGATGCCGGGCCCATGCCGTCGGACACCATGAAGATCAGGTTTCGCTTGCCTGCCAGGAGGGCAGGTTGAGCAGACCGTGGCGTCGTCTGTTGTTGATGGCGGGTCCAGACGACGAGGATGATGGCGGCGGCGGTGGCCAGTAGGGCCCAGGCGAACAGGAGGAGCTCGCGTAGTCGGCCAGACGTCGATGCCGCTCCGCGTGGCGGCCATTGTCCCTCGGTCCTTCGGGTCGATGTATGCAGGGCGGCATCTTCTGCTTCGGCGAGATCGTCGGACCGGTCTGACTCTCCCGAATGCCGCGCCCCGACAAGGAGCGGCGTGCGGGCGGAGGTCTGGAGAGGTCAGTAGGAAACTCTGGCTGGTTTAAGAGCATGGGCGGTTGATTGCGTCTTACCATGTGGCCTACAGAGGATGATAAAAAGCGAGTGTGGTAGGTTCTGTATTGCGGGTGAAAGCAGCTAAGGTATGTTGGGTACGAAGTACAAGCAAGATACCTTATGTCCTAGTCAAGAGGAAGGACCAACCGCCGTAGCTCGCAGCGGACACCAGCCACATGCACGCGCCACACCAATGCAGACATTATAGATCTTACCTCTCCGTAAAGTTGACAAAGTCCACAAACGGAAGTTCGCTCGAATGTCGGACGAACGTAGATAGGAAGCCGATACGTTGTTGGAATTTTGCTGGGACGTTGTTTTGATGTCGAGACTTAGGTTCTATCAACTAATTCGTGCACTTTCGTCTCGTAAGCTGGTAGCGAGAATGTCGTCGACACCATTGGCAGCATCGGCTGGCCGCAGCCAGGCAGCAGATCCGACACAGGTGCCGGTCAAAGAGAAAAATGCAGGCAGCAGCGTGACTGGGCTTCCGACAGGACCTGAAGGGCCTGTAGGGCAGGCAGAGGTCGGGACTAGCGAGAAGAAGCTGCCAGCGCTCTCGCGGGAAAACTTTCGAAAGTACAACCGGCTTGCTGAGCATATGGACTACTTTGTACGTAAAAGAGGCGGCGGATGGGATGCAATGGACGGCCGGCTGAAAACGGCTTGCTGACGGTGCTTGACCAGCACAACCATTTCCGGCAGATCTGGACGCTGATGTACAATGCGTGCCTCAACAACAAGCGGCCGGCCAGCATGTCGGTGCGGCAGTTTATCGAGGAAGGCCTGCAGCTGGTGCACATGCTGGAGATGCACCACTCGATCGAGGAGACACACGTTTTTCCAACGCTAGCCAAACGCATGCCGGAGTTTCAGGCGGTGGGGGTGGGGAAAGTCAAGGGTCTGGCCAAGGCGGCCCAGCTGTTACAGCAACACCGCGACATCCACGTCGGCATGGACGGGCTCGAAAAGTATCTCCGGCAGTGCGGCCAGCGCGGGACGGAGGAGCTGGATCTGGCGGTGCTCAAGGCGCAGATGGACACGTGGGGCGACGTGTTGTGGCAGCATCTCGACGACGAAGTGCGCACGCTGGGGGCCGACAACATGCGCAAGTACTGGTCCCTGGCTGAGATGCAGCAGCTGCGGATGTAGCGGGGCGACGAGTGAGTAGTACATAGTACGTATGTACGGAGTACGGAGTATGTATGCATGTATCGTATCTTGCATACTCCGTATAATGTACGGAGAACTCCGTACTGTATGTACTATGCAGTACTTATGTGTATGTACATATAGTACATATCTCGCATCTAGAAATCACGTGCAGTCGACGCACACTACGGTGCCGAGGCTCCGAGCTCGTATCCAAAGCAGCTAGTGGTCGCACCCAGACAAGACGCCGCCCGGCGTGCAAAACACATGCAGCACAGCGCGCGTTGCTGGTGCGCAGCTGAGGATGGCAACACGGAGCGAAACAAGACAACACGGCGACACCTGGCCAATCACAATGCCTGGCCGGACCATTCTCAGGCGTACTTGCGTATGGCCCCGCCCCACCTGCAAACGCAATTTGGGCGACCCTGGTAAATGGAGTGGCGGGCCCGCGCAAGATAGCGGTACAGGTACACAGCGCTCGAGCACGCTAAGGCTCGCTGGGACGTGCACACCCAGCCAAGCCAGCCCACTAGCCAAGCCAGCCGCTCGCTCTCCAGCGACTGGCCTCCTTCTTTCTTGTCTCCCGGCCGCCCAGCTCTGGTGCTCACAACACAACAAAAAGTGCGCAAGCCCGCTCTCTAATATCCTCCAACTCCACCTGGTGTCCAGCCCCCCGTACACAGTGAGTTGTGCCATCCCAATCCCATTCCAGTCCTGTCTTCCCAGCGCTGCCTCTCGCCGTGAAGCTGCCTCTGCTTCTCGTCCAGACTCAACCGACAAGGAGGCTCCAACTGCTCACCGCCAAACACCTCGGCCACGCCCCAGCCCACTCTCTCCTGTCCTCTCTCTCGCTGTCCCCATACCCATACCCATCTCCATCTCATCTCCATCTCCATCTCCATCTCCATCTCCATCTCCATCTCCATCTCCATCTGGGCACCTGCAGAAGCCGTCACTAACATCCCAGTCTTTCTCATTCTAGCGCGCTGACTGTCCGGTCTCGCCTGCATTCCTCTCCATCCCTCGTTCCCCTTCTTCCCACATGTCCAGCTGATTGATGCCGCTTTGAAACATACTGCCGCCATGTCGTTCAAGATCGAGCGTGACACATTCCAGCAGGTCCAGGGCCAAGGCTCTGCGGGGCCTCTTGTCGTCCGGCCTCCAACGCTGCACGCGCCGCACTTGCCGCCGTTGCAGTCGTCGTCGGCGTTGCAGCCGACGGCACTGCAGGCACTGCAGCCGCAGCCGCTGCCCCAGCTGCCAGAGCATCCCATCACCAGCAGCCTCACCGGCGGCCCTCCCCTGCCCGGCACCAGCGGAAAGCACCCTCTCACCGAGGCTGTCGGCACCGCTCTGACCGGTGGCGTGCAGAATGCCGGCACCAAGGGCTATCTCGCGGTATGGTTTGGTCGTCTCCCGTGAAGAGACCATCGCCAGGAACTAGAACTGACCGTGTCGCCGCCCCCTATCCAGGCCTACATCAAGCAGCTCGAGGAGAACCCGCTGCGAACGAAAATGCTCACTGCTGGCACCCTTGCCGGAGCCCAGGAGCTGCTGGCCTCTTGGCTTGCCAGAGACCGCAACAAGCACGGCAACTACTTCACCTCCCGCGTGCCCAAGATGGCCGCTTATGGCGCCCTGGTCAGCGCTCCGCTCGGCCACTTCCTCATCTGGTTCCTCCAGAAGGTCTTCCACCGCCGAACCAGTCTGCGCGCCAAGATCTTGCAGATCCTTGTGAGCAACTTCATTGTAAGTGCCCGCCTGACCCTCTCCATGCCCCATTTGGGGTCTTCCCCGCCCCCACCGTTGCTTCTCGTCCCCCTCCGGACGCCTGTCTGATGCGGCCAAACACAGGTCGCTCCCATCCAGAACACCGTCTATCTGACTGCCATGGCTTGGATCGCCGGTGCTCGCACATACCACCAGGTCCGCGCCACCGTCCGCGTCGGCTTCTGGAAGGTCATGCGCGTGTCCTGGATCACCAGCCCGATCTGCCTGGCCTTTGCCCAGAAGTTCCTTCCCGAATACGCCTGGGTGCCCTTTTTCAACCTGGTCTCCTTCATCATCGGCACCTACATTAACACCATCACCAAAAAGCGGCGTCTTGCTGCCCTTCGCAAGAAGCACTTTGGCGACGGCCGTGGCGAAGGCCGCGGCGGCACTTTGGCTGGTCGCTCCGAGGACTACCCGCCGCCGCCACCTATGGGTGGTCCGAACCCCTCCTACTAGGCCGGCTGCCATGCTGCCGCGGCTCTGTCTCCGTCTCGGCCGTTGGTCGACGCTGTCGCTAGTATATGTAGGCTGCTGCTTTTTTGGGTCGTTGACGCCTCTTTTCTACAAGAATTGGGCGAGTTATATCACAGGGGTTGAGGCCCGGTTTGCCTTGTCAAAAAAAATATCCTTTGACTCTGAATGTCTAGTGGCTTGGCCACAAACCTGACTATTTGGATCATCACAAATGGGCGAGGGGTGGAAGGGGGGAGGAAAAGAATGTTTGTTTTGTTTTGTTTGATGTTGTGTTCCATATATGCTTGCTAAGATAGGGTGGTAGGGTATGTATTCTTTTTCAATATGCGTTACGGAAACGTTTCCGTATATATATGTGTATATATATACGAATGATCCATGTGTCCCCTTGTTATTTGATGTTACATTCGTGGTCTGGCCACTTCACTTATATCTTATCTAGCCAGTTGCCATCTTGTTGGCAGATCACTGTCGGTCATAACATATGGAGTACTAAGACCAACTGCCTGACTAGTTCCGAATGCCCGTCTCACTGTGTGGGGCTGGGAGAAGCTTGCGTCGTAGGTCTGCACATGTTGCAAAGTCAGCCGTCCAGAACGGCGTCATGACCTTCTAGCATAAACCCCGGGCTCCAATATTCCCACTCGGCCGACAGCTTGTCAACCCACAGCATGCCGTCGCCCACCAGATCATCAATCGCCGTTTGTGCGCGAGCCCTTGCCCATCGAAGGTTCACCATAAGCATGGAAGGGCTGACGTATCCCAGGATTTGCACTGCTTCTAGAACAGCGCTCTGGTCCGTGTTCAGCTCGCGAGGAACGGACCGAATATATGGTTTGCTGCCGACCTTGATTACCGAATAAGAAGACCCCAATGGTTGGAGGGTGTTCACTGCCTGGAGGATGTCATCCCTGCGAAGCACCCGTCTGGTCAGAATGATGTAAAGGGCCTCTCAACTCTTCGGTGGAAGACTAGAAGAAGGGCCCTGGCTCACTGCGTCACCTCGGGCGCACCGTCCATGCGGCCTCTCGCGATACGGTCCCTGACCTTGCGAACTTCAATCAGGCCACCGTTCTCGGCTCTTGTTGCTGCGCATACTTCCACCACACGTACTGCCAGCTCAAAATAAAAGTCGTTGACCGAGCGTCCTAGCAGCTGTGCCCATATGGATCCGCTGGATGAGCTGTTGCTGCTGGTGAGAGGGTCGACGCCGATGGCAGAGCACATGCGCGCAAACTGCGCTCTGAATGTTGGGTTCGACCGGATGTCCTTGGCATGTGTTTGTGCAAACTGTTGTAGCAGAGATCGAAACACGTCCAGCTGCGTTTGCAGCGCTTGCGCATTCGTCAGCCGCAAGTTTGATCCATGCGAAGCATATTGCGCCGACGTGATACGCGACCTGTCGAACGCCGCCAGCCCGACACCCTTCCTTGACATTTTGCCAGATTTAGAATTAAAGCGATACTATTTCGCGGAGATCGCCTGAATAGATATGACGGTGACAGGCCCACAATCACTTGAATCACGTGGTCTTGCCGCTAAAGTCACGTGACCTATCTATTGGCCCGCTTCTCGATAGTGTGGAAAATATCCCACAACCCTAAGTCAGAAAAGATGTCTTGCTAGCTCTTTTTTCTTCCCAAACCTGGAAAACTCTTGCCAAAGAACGAACGTCTTACCACCAGCAACACCCTTCGACAAACAGCAATCATGGCAACAAAGCAGCGGACCATTTGCTTCGGCAAGAAGGTATGCGCCTCGTCATTCTGCAAGCGAAACTTTCTGGACATTCTCCGGCTAATGCGATAAATAGAAAACCGCCACGGCTGTGGCTCGTTGCGAGCCTGGTCAGGGTCTGGTGAGTCGAGCAAAACGACACGCTACACGTAGGAATTTCATTTTACTGATGTCTTTCTCTGCAGATTAAGGTCAACGGCCGTCCTCTTCAGCGTACGATTTCACCCTCAGCCCTGCGGTCATGATCTGACGATTTCTGGCCATATCCCGGCTGCTCACGACACGAGAACTAATGTATTCAACAGTGGTCCAGCCGGAGACGCTTCGCATGAAGCTTTACGAGCCCGTACGTCGCAGGCCCCGGGCGTGCTTAGAGGCTCTTTCAGATAACATCGATGTGTACTAATACGGTCGCTTAGATCCTGGTGGTCGGTCTTGACAAGTTCGCCAACCTCGACGTAAGTTTTAGCGCTGGCACCTGGTTTTTGAATCCGCCTTGTCTAACCCTTTCACAGATCCGCGTCCGAGTCTCTGGAGGTAAGCTCCCAACATCCATAGTCTCTGATCAATTGTCGGTGTTTTAACCTCAAACTCGTTTTCGTCGTCACAGGTGGTCACACTTCGGTATGTTCTCTTCTGTCGGATTGTCGAAGCAGGGTTTCGAAACCGCTTTGCGCGACTTAGCAAACTAACATTTTACCCAGCAAATTTACGCCATTCGGCAAGCTATCAGCAAGAGTCTCATTGCGTACTTCCAGCGTGTTAGTCCCAGTCCCAGAGTCCCAGTCCCAGAGGAGAATGTGCAAGCAATTTGCTTCTGCAATTGATTGCATACTTTGCCGCCCCGTTATCATTTCCAACCAGAGTAGTACGACTAACCTGTGATGCTTTAGTACGTTGATGAGCACTCCAAGTCGCTGCTGAAGCAGGCCCTCGTCCAGTGTAAGTTGGAATCTAGAACCTAGGCTTTGTCGTGGTAAATCGTTGTTCAACTTCTAACAAAAGAATAGACGACCGGACGCTCCTTGTCGCCGACAACCGTCGCTGCGAGCCGAAGAAGTTCGGTGGTCCGGGTGCCAGAGCGCGCTTCCAGAAGTCGTACCGTTAGAGGAAAGCAAATGGAAAACAGGGAGGGAAGATGGCTTACCCTGGGTGTGTGGATGCGCAGTTTCCTCGGCTGGACCAGCTTCGCAGCAGATGGTCAGCGCGGCTCCATGGGAGGCACGAGGTTGCATGGATGTATGTACTGGTTTTATTGGTCATCTGGAGTTTAGAAGAAGCCCCATCTTGCACTCGTGGGTAAAGAAACTTGACATCCTTTTTACATTTCGTCCCCTCGTTGCTGCTGCCATTCCTGTCTGTCCCAACGACAAATTACAGCTTTCAATCACAGCTTCGAAGATCCTTTCGTATGAAAGGCAAAGTAAGAGGGGCGATCAGGCATGGAAGTAGCGAAGATTCACACATCAAATATAAGAAATAAATACCAGCAATGTATTTCTTGGCGTTGACTCGCCTAGTCCAAGTTGCATATTTGCAATGGCTCAACTGTTCTTGTGTGAGCAACATTGTACTCAGTAGGACCCACATCCGTAAACAAACTGATGAGGCTATTCGTGTTTGCCTTCCAATATGGAGGCATCCAGATTTAGTCCCACGAGACTAGACCGATCTCTCGTCCGTTATTGTCAAATTCGACGAGAACGGGTTGGTTCTCTTCGTCGTCCGACTCATACAGCATACTCTGGACTGTCTGAGCTGATTGTGGGTGTGCTAGCTTTCGATCGCCAGTCCCGCTCCTATACCTGTCGCCGCTGTTCTCGTCGTCACTGCTATCATCGGGATCGGCATTGCCCTCGCACATGGTTGGCGACGCATGGTCAGAGCGCAGATCCCAGCCATGCTGCCACAGCCAGGCCTCGAGTTGGGCGAAGGCTTCGTCAGCGGCAACTTGCTCGCCAGCGACTGCTTTTCCAAGGTGCCGGATCACGCCGTTGAATTGGCCTCTGTATGTAGCTAGCGAAGCTTGGAGGCGGGCAGCGCCGTGTGGCATGACATCGAATATGCTGGCCCTGCCGTCTTCGTTGCCAACATACGGGGTGGCGCCCGAGCCGGGTGAGAAGCCTCCGACGACATGACGGTCCAGGTAGATGAATTGCGAGTGGAGAGTCTGAATTAGGGAACGACACAGCCACGGCCAGCAGGTGACAAGGCTGCGGGCACGCAGGAATACTTTGAGAACCACGTGCCACCACTGCTCTAGGCAGGACAGATTGCTGATCAGCGTGCCAGTCAGAAACGCGAACTGGAGCTCGCCGACAATATCACGCTCGGTGTAGCCAGCCGACGAGTTGGAGTTTCCCAGCAGCTCGGTGATGCTCAGCGTGGCATCAAACAGCACAGGTTCGGGATGCTGCACCAAAGATCCATCACCCGCGGCTCTGTTCATCTGGGAGGGGTCTCGGCTTTTGGTGGCCATAAGTCGATGAGGGTCGATCTGGTGGCAGGACAAGAGAAAGACGAGCTCGGTGAGCCCTGCATCTGCGGGCTTGCTCAGCCCCAGTACGTCTTGCTCTCCTATAGCAGTGTCTGTGGTATTGAAGAGCCACTCGACCGGATGGTCGGTGGCTGGCCTGCCGGCCACTCGGCTGAGGAGCTGCTCGGTAATGCAGGAGGTGAGGCGCGGCCAGATGCCGGACAAAGACTGGCCCTGGCCAGACACGTCGGCATTGTAGGACAGCAGTTTTGGGCAGAGAGTCGCCACTTCCGTGGCAAGGAAGCGGGCGTCATTTTGGAGGGCGCACTCGTCCATGACTTCGTTGTAACGGTCCCACTGCTTGACATGGACAACACTAACATCCGGCTTTGAGAAAAACCAGCAGCCTTGGCGAGAGATGGCACCGGGTGATGACACCCAGACGAAGTGTGCCCCTGGAGGCAGATCTCGGAGGCCGATCGGACTGGACGGCGTCTGGGAGTCCGGAACCGTCATCGCCAGGGTGTCACACCCCAACTGGAACTGACCAGGGAGGCCGAGCACGAGAAACAGGTCCCCTCGGGGCGGGCTGGGTAGCGGTAGGTCGTCCTCCTGATCCCGGTCGTTTCCGGCTCGTATCCTCATCCTGCCTTCAGCATCTCTTTCGACCAGCGTCAAACTAGAGTGGGCTTGACTTTTCTTGCCTGGCGGTCCCGTGCTCACGACAGCATGCTCGCCCGTGACATGCAGAGGACGAGCGACCGTCATGGTGACCGAAGAGAGGACAGGTACTGTGTAGCCGATCGACCCGTCAAACCTCCGTTGTGAATGTAGTCGGAGATGACATGTGCATACGGAGTATGATTGCATCAAATTGCACTGAGCGATTGTGCTTTGCAGAACAGGATGCACAAAGCCCGCCAGGATTGGCAGCAGCAATACGCTAGAGTCCTTTCGCCACTTGAGGCGGAAGGTACGAGCGCTCGTACGTGCGAACTTCAAACGCTGCACTGTCACCACTTCCCCACAGCAGCAGCGCGACAAGGCGGCCAGAACTGTGACGACGATCTGCTCGAAAGCGCACAAGCTATTACGGCAAGTGTGCCATGCATGCCCCAATTACAGGGGCGGAGGCCGTATTAGGCCTGCACGGTACAAGTGAGATTTGGCGCGGGTGGCCAAGCGCAGTCGTAGTGGTGGTTGCGTGGTATCTTAATATTAGCCGACCAGCATGGCGGCAACATGTGCATGTGCTAATCGTTACAGCACTAACAGCACCGGACGGCCTGCGCTGCACGCTATATCGTACGGGGTAGCACCACTCCAGCCTCATCCCGCTCACCGGTCAAACTAGTCCTGGCCGGCCACGTTGTGCATGTCTCTCTCCCGTGGGACTTGTCTGGGCCCTAACGAGACGGCCTTCTCGTAGAGGCTTACCTCCCTTTCCGCTTTGAGTCTACGCCTGCCAGCTGTCCGATCGGGCTGCAGGTGGCGAGGCTGGCTTGGCCGTCAGATGTCCTGCCGAGATGCACCAGATGCTCCATATAGCAGTCCTCGCCTATTGGATGTGTCGTCCCCGGCCACTTCGCCATCTGTGTAACCACATCACCCGTCGGGAAACGTGGCACAGAAGGAATGCCCTGTCGTCTTAGCTCCCGCCTCAAACAAGGCGAGACACACCTCGTGCTTCTCATCGTCACTGCAACGTTTGCGCGTAATGCCCATGTACTTCGGTGTTCTACCTTTACTTCTCGCTGTCTCCGCCCCTGATCTCACTTTCAGATTTCATCTCCAGGCCCACCGTGCTCTTCCCTTACACGCAGTGAGAATCGGTATCTTACACAGATATAAACTATCCAGATCGACCAGAGAGTTCGGGCAGTCCCTTAACCTACGGCAGTGCTTTGATAAAAAGACAGGCCATGCCCTCTGCCGGAAGGCCCGTCCCAACACCTCCATGGTCATGCAAATAACAAGTGAAATGCAACTTCATCCGCAACCTAAACACCACAGCCTCCCACATGAAATGCATTATGCGGCCACCCAAGAAACCGGCGAACAAGAGAAAAGAAAAGGCCCCGCGAATTGGTTGAGAGAGAGGGACATATACCAGAATTCTTTTCAGGTCCTTCGGAGTCCTTCAGCCTTCCGAGTACCAGGAAAGATCAAAACACAAGAGCAGAGCCACCCACCCTGACCGATTTCCCCACGATCACTCGCTCATGCATGTTCAAAAAACATGCCTTCTAACCATAACAGCCCCCATTCTCTATCTAGGCCACGGCGTCTTTGTCGATTAGTACCAATTCGGGATGGAATCGGACCAATCGCATCGCGGCGTGTTCCTGTCTAAAGAAAGAAGGCAAATACAAATGAAAATCCCGCCCGAGCCGAAAAAAGGTTCTCAGAAAGCCGGAGCAATAAGGAGCCAAGACTCCAAGATCTCCAGATACGCAAGCGCTTGACGACAATGTCGTCTCCGGCAACCCATTCTTTGAACATCCTCTGACTCTGGCACTTCTTCGAGGAGATGCCAGCCGATGTGAACGGACTGCCGCTCCACGAAAAGCTCTTAGCGTTGACTGTACATCTGCTGATTTGGCGGCGGGCCGTACGGAGATGCAGGCGGGTAGGTCTGGTGCATGTAGCCGCTGTTATACTCGGTCGGAATGGTCGACGCGGTTACACCTGACGAGGGCGGGGCCGGGTACTGATTTGGCTGGTACCCCAGAGGGGGAAGCTGCCGGCTGCCTGCATACGAAGATGCAGACTGGGAGGCGTCGGCGCCAGGCTGCGAGCTGTTAGGGTCCACAGCGCCATTGGGCGCACCTGACGCGGCGGCAGCAGCAACAGCCTGGCGTTGTCTGTCCTCTTCAGCTTTGCGCTGGGCTTCCTCCTCCTTTTTGCGCGCCTTCCATTCTTTGCGAATTTCTTTGAACTCTAGTGCATGCTTGTTAGTCCATTGGCGCCTCTGCTAGCCGGTTCTAGTCTGACAATCGAATCCTCTCGACAGCCAAAAAAGAATCCGTGCCTGCACTCGCCTCGTTTGCTGCGGGAACCATACCTTCTGGGGTGCGTTTTTGTCCATGAGATTGCATAGTAACATGTGCGTTCAGGTGGTTCAGTGTACCATATGCTTTTTCGCAGCCATTCCATCCACACTTGTACATGCGCTCAATTTCTTCGTAGCGTCTTCGAGGTCGTTTGTGCTGCTGCGCCCCGGGAATCGGGACGAACGAGTAAACCTGCAGAGGCTACGTCAGCGCCTCCCATAATTTCCCTGGCATTGCTGCTTGCTGCTTGCCCACTGCTCGTAGGCGAGGATAGTCGGAGCACAACAGGGACTATCACCTACCTGGGTAGGCCGCTGTTGGGGAGGTGCGGAATTGGGGGTTTGCGGGAAGACGTGGTGTCCTGGTGTGATCGGAGTCGGCTGACCGCCGTATCCCGTCCAGTCCGGACGAGGCTGGGCGTAAAGGCCACCGCTATGGGGGTAAGCATGCTGCATGTCCTGGGACGGTGGTGCATAGGGAGAGTATTGGCTATGTGTCGCATAGGTGGGACTGGGCGCCGCGATGGACGGATCTATAGGTACATCGTTGTCAGACCTGGCCTGGTGGGGTTTGTGATGATAGCTGATGCCATCATCTTGCAAAGGCACGGACGGACTTGTTGGTGTTTGCGCCATACCTCCTCCGCTACCGCTGTGGTTGGGAGACTGGTGGTAAGGACGCTGGATATGCTCTGGGAACGAGCCTGACCGCGCCGATGGTGGATACACGCTGTACTCAGACGTGGGCGTCGCGGTAGTCGAGTAATTGCTCGGCCGTACCTCTTGCTGGGTCACGTATTGCGCAGCAGACGCGTGATCTACAGATGACGCCTCAGAACGCGTATCGCCGGAGTGACTTGGATAGGGCGAAGGCAAACCTGTCTGCGAGTACTCGGGCGCACTGCGGTCCATAGAGTTGCAATCGGGAGGTTCGATGACTGCTTCTGAGCCAAAAAAAAATTTAAAATTTAAAATTTAAAATTTGGTAGGCGGTTGAGCGTTAACACATGCAGATGCGACGCAGAAAGACGAATGAAGAGCTGTAATGAACTTTGCCACAAAGACGCCACAGATCCGTGCAGCTGCAGAAAGACAGATCAAGAATGGTGTTGCAGCAGCAAGAGACGATATAAGTAAGTCAAAGTGTCTCCGGGGTTAGCTTTGAGTCCAGCGCAGATCGGTTGGCGATTGGAAAGGGAGGGGGTGTGTAGCTCCTCTTTATTTTATTTTATTTTCCCCCGAGGACTGGCTTGAGTAAGGGTCTTGGCGGCGTGTTTGATATGACAGAATGTAAGGTGAGAGGGGAAAAGCGATTTGGGCCAGGTATCGGTTGCAAATGGGTCTAGTGAGAGAGGCGGCTATGATGGCGTATTTGACCGCGATACTATGTAGAGCAAAGTAGCGCGAAGGCCGGGCCCCAGTTGTCCGCTACCCAGGTTTTCTTTTTGGTTTCGTTTTACTTTCCCTTCTTTTTTAGAGATTGGGGGAGGGGGGGGGGGTGGTGGTGCTGATTGCGCAAGGTGTGCGGAGAATGGCTGGATCTTGAAAAAGGATCCAAGCTAATCCCGGCACCACGGTGCGAGCTTGTGACTAGAGAGGCGTGGGTGTGGGTGGGCGATGAGCGCTTGGTGCAGGAATGACGAGCTAGTTCGCACCTTTTTTTTCTTCAGATACTTTCTTGAGTCGTCCTGTCTTGTACTGCGAACAGCTGAGATGGATGAAGAAAGAATGTGTTTGAGATGACAGGAGACGAGGCAGGTGAGGTGAAAGTGGTCTTTTCCCCCCTTTTCTTTGTTATTGCAGCTTTTCGGGCAAAACGCTCTACTCCGTATGGGCGTTCTTCTGCTGTTTGCAATAATCGCCTTCGCCCCCTCTTTTTTTTCTTTTGATTTTTGTTGCAGTGCTTTTCTTTCGTGTGCTTGGGTTAATCAGCCCGGCATTCCCCTCGGCCAGGTGGATGATGGAGGCAATTGGGGGAGGAACGGAAGACTAGCGGCGACTCTGTTGGTGGGGAGACTAGAGAGAGGCTAGCCAGCACAAGCAAGAAGCACCAGCGTCGTAACTTTTCGGGTTTGACAGGGCGTCCTTTCTCGTTTAGGATTGGCAAATTCACGAGTCAGAAAGCGCCAATGATATATGCAGAAGCGATCCAAAAGTCGATAGATTTCGTGGAGACGACGCCAGCAGCGTGCAACCTTAATCTTTTCGCCAGGGGAGTCTTCTTGCGATGCGGATGGAATGCCAGCGTGAATTGCGAGAGGTGATGGAGGAGACAGGGAAATTCGGGGTTGTGTGGGACCTACCAGGTCTTATACGGATACCGGGAACGGCGAATGCCAGTTGCGAGTCAACCAGCGCTCCGTTTCCAGGAAAGGGGGGAAGGAGAAAATCGTGTGGAGCAGTGAATGCGATGTGGGTGCGTATGGTGGTGGGTGACGGCCACTTGACGAAGAAAAGTCGAAAGCCATGGACGGGACTTCCTCTTTCTTGTTGCCGGACCCTTTCCTCCTTCCTCAGCTTTCCGTGCTTGCGCAGTCCAACTTTCTTGCCAGTGCGAGCAATTTGCCTTTTTCTCGCCCTTTGGCACTATTTCCCCATATGCTGGACAGTACGGAGTACGTCGTACGCACGCTTTCAGTCTTGGCGTCGCCGAAGGCAGCTGCAAAGGAGAGGAGGAACTAATGACCGGGGAGTGGCTGTTATTGTGGGCATACATAAGTGTGAGTGGGTGTGGAAATGGGAGATGGGACCGAATACAGGGAGATGAGTGGCTGGATATTGGACTTGGTGGACCTGAGGGTCCGAGCAAGCAAACTCTGGCAGGCAGAGCAGCGTTACTTTGTGGGCATGTGAGAGTACGAGCGTGCATGAGGTAGGCCACTGTACAGAAGAAGTACTCCGTGCGAGAGCATGAAGAAAGATGCCCCACACAATTGCACGCTATGCCCAGGTTAGGAGTGGCGGCTTATTGCCTGTCATTGCTTACCAGGAGCGGTTTTTTTTTTTCTGACACTGGCTGGTTCGAGGCAGGGGCCAGACTTGGATGTCTACGGAGTACAGAAGATACATACTAGGTATGAGTGCGAGTACTCACTCGTACACACGCGCTACGCCATTCACGGGCCAGAAGCACGGGTACAAAAATCGACGGCTCCCTTTTGTTGTGGTGTTGTTTGGCTTCCCCCCGTCTCGAACGGAGGGGCAGCTATCTCGTGCTGGAGCGTGGCCAGAGTCTGGGGAAAGTAAGGCTTAGTTATTGCATGTAGGAATATCTCACGTTGTGCGTGGTATACGAGCACATAAAATCGTAGCATATACCAGCTGCATATGGCGTAGAGAGAAAGAGGGGCAAAGAGGGGAATGGCGAGGGAAGAGTGACTCTCATCGCAGGGAGTGATAGGATGTCTGCTGCCGAGGTATTTCACATCCGCCGTTGCCGGAAAGCGACTGTCCGTGGCAGCATGGTGGTATAAATATTATATGTACGAGTAGTCGTGCGCGCAGCAGAACTTTCGCATGCCGTACTCCGTACTCCCGCGTCCTTCTCCGTGGTCGCCTCTTACGAGAGCAGCGTGTTGGTCTCGGAGCCGCAGCCCTTTCTTTTCAGCGCAGCAGTTTGCTCCGATAGTTCTCGTAGCCAGCAATATTTCGACCACAATTATGGGCAGAATAGGGGGTGTGAAAACCTCAAAATGGGCATTGCATCCCGGTCTTTTGGCCTATTTGGTAATTGAAAACATCCTTGATCCTTGCTTGCCCGGAGTGCTTGTTGATTCACTCGTCTCTGGCGAGGCCTAGGGTGCGGGAGAGGAGAGAGGGTGTGAGCATATCTTGGACGAAATTATTTTGTGTGTGGATAATACTCGTAAGTACTCGTAGTGGCAAGGGAGCAGCTGCGTCAGGTCAATTGGGACAAGCTCAACAAAGAGAAAAAATTTTGAAGGCAGGGGGGGATCTGGGAAAGTGCTGAAGCGTGGGGCGCTTTTGGAAGTGTTGTGGGAGTGTATGGGTACTCGGAGGCCGTATCGGCTTACGTTATCTCCGGGGGACCAGCGGCCTTTGTCCGGCAATTACTTCTTGATTACCGCGTGCTTACGAGTACTCGCAATGTACTCGTCCAGAGATATGTTAGGAAACTTGCATGTAAGCAGACTGAGTAATACAGTGGAAATCTAGCATGTATCTTATGTTGCAGGCGAGATCCTCGAGTGTGCAATGTCTGCTGCAACACATGTTTCGCACTTGTAGACAAAGAGATTCTGGCGAATTATTAGCCGACACCGGTGTGGCGGGTCTGCGAAAGAGTCCAGAAATGAAGAGGCAGTGAAGAAAGAGGGTAAAATGACGGGGCAGAATGGGGGTGCACAAAGTGGCCCCACTCCTGCCCCAAAGAAAATAAAGCGGAAGAGCAGAAATGGTGGTGTGAGTGGACCACAACAGAGGATGAAGGTGGAAAAAAAGAGCGGATCCATGTAGAAGGTAAACGGAGTACGGAGTACGGAGTACGGAGCATTGTATAGCGCATGGCACGCTGTGTACGTCGTATCTTACATAGTAAGTAGATACCCTGTTCAACCGACAAGGGACACGACTGCGAGTGCTCGCACGCTTAAGACTTACAGTGCTGGTGTGTCTGGAACCGGATCTGTGGAAGCGGGCTCGAGAAGCTGGAGAAGCTTGTGAAGCTGCTCGCAGAGTCGAATGCAATCAGTCACGTAAGATACATTAGTAGCATGTCTAAGATACGACGTAAGGTGGTTGTTTTCTCACGTCCACGCGCGTCTTGATGGTATCTTACGAGCACGGAAATTGGCCGCTGTCCTTTCTACACATGCAACGGAGAAACCTTTCCTCCCTACAAGTACTCAGCGTATGGAACTTGTTTTTCACGAGTACCTCCTTATCCATACCCCCCTCCCCAATGCATGGGCATAGGGAGCAGCAGCAGGTTGGTGTGCCGGCATTGCCGCTCATACAAAGTAGCTACCTCTATCCGTGCGGAGTCCTTGGCCGTGGCTGGTCAGTTCGTCCGGTCTCTGCACGAGACGTCAACGTCAGGAGTCTGGAGCAGCTCATACGAGTGAGATACTCCGTACATGCTCGTACATACATAGCAGTACTCCGCAATGCCTGGCGCGCTCTCGTAGTGCGACGTGTCTCCGTGCCTCCATCGACACGCAAGAACACGAAAGCTTAAATCGTCTGCAGCTGTGCCTGGGCTGGTTAGTGAGCCAGCATTTGGGGGCTGGTGCTGTTGGTGAGTTGGCGATGTGACGGGGACTAAAATGGCGACAGATCTGGTCCTATGCGCCCCCTTCCTGCTGCCGCCTCGTGCAATGCCCCTGAACATGGACGCGTGCTGGTGCTGGTGCTGGCGCTGGTGCTGGTGCGGGAGCCAGTGCTGGCGCCGTCCAGCAGCGCGGTTGGCAACATGGTGGTCCTGATCTTGATGTAACAGCATTGGCACCACCACCACTGCTGCCGCCGCCGTCGCTGTCCTACAGCAAGGCACTCGGGAAGCCCGGCTCAACCTAGCTGTTGAGATGCACCAGCGGCATTGAACCGGCGTGAGGCCAGACGTCACCTTGACGGCCTGACGGCGTGCTTACTGTGGCTTACCAAGCCAGGATCGTTGCCAGCACAGACAGCAACCGGTTCGCAGTAGTCAAGATACGTTCGATCGTATGGGTGGGGACAGTGGTGTACATACGGAGCAGGCGCTGACGATTCTCAGCCGGTCGCCAATGCAGCGGCCATTGTCGTACAATGAGTACTTCAACACATGGAAGATACAGGTACGAGCATGTACACTGTTTAGGGGCTTCTAGTCTCAGGCAGTGCAAGATCTTAGACTCGTTAGGTCCGACCCAGCTCCTCGGGATTGTACTAAGGAGACAAAGCGCCTGATTCGCCTTTGTGTACAACCCCGTCCGCTACTCACTTGTAGGAGACCTGCCCAGAGGCCTGGCGATTGCTGAGCACGAATCAGCCAAAGAAGCACAGTGTTTCTCATAAAAAGAAGAATAAGACAAACAAAACCTTGATCACTAGTAAGGTACTGCTTGCACACGGCATGCCGCATTACAGGCAACTCGATCCGAATGCATATTGGACGGTGCACCTCTGGCAGATACCGCAATTTCTCTGCCATCGGCCCCTGCGACCTGCATACTCCGTACGAGTACTTGTGTTGCCACGTTTTGCTGTTGGCCTGTATTCAACTAGTTTTTGTGCGCAGTTCGTGCGTGCGTCTGGATGGAGTACTTCCAAAATAGAGGGGGCGCAGGGCCTCCCACGGGTGGGGGGTATACCATACTCGTAGATAGCAGTATCTTGCGGAGTACAGACAGATGTACAGTACATACCTCTACATAGTATCTTACGGAAGGCAGGTGGGGTACTGGTGCGATACACCATATCCGCGCCAGCCGATAAAATCCTACGGAAATTTCTTCCCCGGTCTTCGCGGCCTCTGTTAACCCGCTACTCTGTACTCCGTACAACGGGACAAGTTTTAGGACACGCCCTGCTTTATCTGATATTCGGGTTTCATGCACGCGTGTGCTGCTTCCAGCATCATTTCTTCTTTCGTCCCCAAGAGCGTCAAGAGTCAGAATTTTTTTTTTTAAAAGAAAGCCCCCGATGTCAATAAGAATCATCACGGTAAGGTAAGATACGTATATATGTACATACAGTACGACGTAAGATACATGTGCAAAATTATGTACGGAGAATAAAGCCAAAGATAATATTATGGATGCCTTCAGACCCACAAGCGAACGATATTCTCCATACATACCAAACGGCCAAAAAGAAATAGGAAGGTACCAGACATTGATTACGTCGAGACAAATCAGGTATTGCTCCTGTAACATCAGCCTTCGAAAAGCCGGCGACACTCGCAATATTGCCTCTCCTTTGGGCGTACTCGTAAGATGATGTAAACCTGATAATGTGCCTTATCCAGAAGGTTCCAAAGTACATTTTATGGGTCCTCTAGCGACGAGTGTGGCCTGCCCCCGTTTTTAGGATCGCAGTACTTATCCTGGCTGTGCACGTTGCTCTCTAGGATGCCATCTGAAATAGCTTAGGGTTTTGCAGACGGCCGATTCTCTACGGCTTCAACCACGTTATCAGTGATACGAATGTTCCGTAGCTTCGACGGCAGCCAAAAATCCCGAGGCCTTCTTAGCAGGAGAATACGTTGTCGCATAAAACTGTCTAGTGCTACAGATAGAAATGTAGAGGATTATCTACGAGACTATGTACTTTTGAGAAATCTTACGAGTACGGAGTACCGGGTGCCTCTGCGAAGTACTTTTTCCTCCTTCTTTACTAGGAGAACTCAATACCAAAGGTGTGCCTAATTCGCAATCTACCATGCATCTATAGCAGTACATCTAGACCATGTGCACGGCACTTGATACTGATACACGTATAGAACTAGCAACCAACAAGTAAGATCTATTCTAATACGGCGATATGACTGGATCGAGCAGAAACATTTGAAACAGGAAGCCTCTTTCTATACGGAATCGCAAAGCCAAAATCCAGAACACGCGAAATCTCATTAGTAGAGATAAAACTCGAGAGGCCGTAGCAGGTGGAAAACATAAAGTGGAAAGATATATATTCGGCGACAACACCGCTCTTGACTGTGCTGGCCAAATTGCCGTAAGGTAAATCATCTTTCTGTGCCCTTGAATTGGGTAAACACATCTGGGTTGTGGCCACAACAGGGCACGCCCAGCAGGTTGACAATGGGTACAAGGAAACGAACTGATTAATAAACTCATCCGTCGATCATTTATCTGGAACTGGAGGAGTGGCAGCTTGCCGAAATAAGAAATAGTCAAACCATGACACTGTCAAGTTTCCCTTTTTATTCCCTTTACAAAAACGCCAATCGAGAGCAGCAAGAAATGATGAAAATGAAAAAAAACAAAACAATACTCGCGGTCGCACAGGGCATACATCAGATCGTTGAGGTCCGAGTTATCGGCTGTCGTCCTCACGACCTTTCTTACCAGCGTCGGTTGTTGATCGGCAAGGAATTAGCACCACCTAAGCGAGAAAAAGTCAGCATCAACAGTCAAGCACTTGTACTTGCACCCAGTCAAGTCATACCTCGGTTGCCTCCACCACCACCGCGGCCCCGGTAGCCACCGTACCGGCCGCCGCCGCCGCCACCGCCGTATCTTGCCATCTCGGCTAGCCGAGGGTCAATCTGCTGCTTAGCCTCTTGGAGAACCGACACGAGATCACGAGCCTGCTTCGCATCTAGATAAGACTTGTGTTAGTAGCGCACGTAGCAATATGAGCGTGGAAAACATACTGTCAGTTGTGAAGAGAGTGATGGCGGTTCCGTTGGCACCGGCACGACCCGTTCGGCCGATACGATGAATATAGTCCTCCGAGTTGTTGGGATAGTCATAATTGATGACGTGGGTGATATTGCGCACGTCTTTAGGAATTGGTAACAGGTTAGCAGCTAATAAGGAATAGTGTGCATATAACAGCAACGATCCAGCAGAAGCAAGGCTACCATGACAGTAGCCTGCTTTCTCGGGCCACTTTAGTACTTTTCTCCAGGGCATATGGGCTGTCCGTTGCGGAAAAGATTGTCGGCCTGCTGGAAGATATATCCAATACTCCGGGATCCTTGGGGCCGTTTCTGGATATCTTGGAGACAACTTGATCAAAAAGAGGTAGAGAATCAAGAAATGCCAATTCTAGGCTTGCACCACGGGAAAAGGGAAGGTACAAGTATAGAATCACGAGCGCGGCAGCAATACACAAGTAAGCTCCGCAGCCGACCCAAGATACCGCTCTCCAAGGAAAACCGGAATAGCGCGAGGTCAGGCAAGTTCAAGTTCGCGCAATCAGGAGTTGCCCCTAAACAAAAGAGTAAAGTACAGCGAAGCTAAGACGCTGCTCATAGATGCTAAATCGCGGAGGATTTATAGGGGAGGAAGAGGTAGGAGGGGGAAGGGGGGTTCTTTGACACATACCAATACCACGGGAAGCCACATCAGTGGCAACCATGATAGGAGACTTGCCGGTTTTGAATTGATCCAAAACCCAGTCTCGTTCGTTTTGCTGCTTGTCGCCGTGAATAGCTTTTGCATCTGTTAGTCTACCGTTTTTTGAAATCAGCATGGTTGTAGACTTACACAGAGCCGGCCAGCCATCTTGTCGGAGTAGCCGAGTGATATCGTCGGCAACCCGCTTTGTTCCAGTGAAAATAAGAACCTTGTTCTCCTTTTCCTTGTCGTCCATCACCTTCTCGAGGTGCTTCAGCATGCGATCACGCTTGTCGCCCTCGGAGACAACTTCGACGATCTGGGTGATGCGATGGTTCGCAGACAGGTCCAGAGATCCAATGTTGACCTGAATGAAGTCTGTCAGGAAATCTGCCGCAAGGTTGCGCACTTCCTTGGGCCACGTAGCCGACCACATCAGTGTCTGTCGGTCAGGACGGATCTGGGACAGAATTTTGCGAATCTGCGGTTCGAACCCCATGTCCAACATGCGGTCGGCTTCATCGAGAACCAGATACGTGACGCGGCGAAGGTTTGTCCGGCCAGACTCAAGCATATCGATCAGCCGTCCCGGAGTTGCAATGCACACCTCCACTCCACGAGACAAATCTCTAATCTGAGGGCCCTTGGGGACACCACCGTAAACGCAGGTGTTGCGGATACGAGAGGACTTTCCGAACTTGGTGATCTCTTGCTGGATCTGAACAGCAAGCTCACGAGTAGGTGCCAGAACCAGAACAATGGGGCCGTCTCCAGGTGCCAGAAGGGGCTGCGCGTTGATGTGCACGATGGAGGGAAGGCAGTATGTAAGCGTTTTTCCAGAACCAGTTTCGGCAATTCCGACGACGTCACGACCAGAAAGAGCCATAGGCCAGCCCTGAGACTGGATAGCTGTGGGGGCGGGGAAACCTTGAGCCTTCACTTCATCGATGACGTAGCGTGGGAAACCCGCCTCGTCGAAGGTTTCCACAGGCTTAGGGACATCCCGGCCGGTTACAGCCATAGCGTGCTCTCGTCGAAATTTCTCGACTTCGGCGGCAGATCGCTCAGCCACGGTAGGATGCTCCTTATAGAAGTCTTTCTCAAACTTGGAAACAGTGCTCATATCTAAGAACGGGGCCGTTGTTAGTCTCACATGTAGCTATCGTCGTGAACTCGGGAGACTGCCTCGTGAGAATCAAGAATTACTTACCCCATTCCTGCTTTTGTAGGCCAGCACCGAGGTTGGACATGCGGTCACCACCGCCGCCGCCACCGCCACCGCCACCATAGCCATTCGAGTTTCCGCCGCCGCCATATCCGTTTGAAGATCTCCTGCGATAGAACGTTAGTAAATGGTTGCAAAGTGCATGTTGGCAAGAAGACAGCCATCCACCACTCAAGCGGACAGCGTTGTCCAGTACACGGCTTGAGAGGTTTGTACGCAAACACAATTAAAAGAAAAGGGGGCATCAGCAATGGCAAAAACGTATCGGCTAATACATACCCATATCCGTTGGAGTAGCTGTTGCCACGGTCATACCCGCCGGAGTAGCCACCGCCGCGAGAACCATAACTTCCACCTTGAGACATGTTTGTGTTCGGGTGCGTTCGTGCTTCTTCGACGCGTCGAGGTTGAAGGAGTTTAGTCGCGTGGGATGAGGTTCGGAAGGTGTGGAAGGTGAATAGATCAACAATTTGATGCCCTGGGATGATAGGGGGTGTGAATATTTAAAGAGTGAGAGATCCTATCTGATGTCAAGTGTGAAGGGAAAAAAGGGAGGAGAAAGTTTTCGGGTTGTCAAAAAACTTTTTATCTGGTTTGGGGGATTGCGCTGGACCAAAAAAAAAGCCATATAACGCGACCCATTTTTATTTTCGCCACGTCACGTGTTTGTTATCTAGCATCTTGTTAGATTTCAAGCATTTTTTACAACTATACTCCGTAAACGATTGTTTTATCTCGAGCTATACATTTCCCAAAATGCTATTTCCATCTGTAATATGTTAGCCTTGTATTAATTGGATACTCAGCAAACGCAAACGGTACTAAAGAAGAAGAATCTAGAATTCCTTACTTTTGTCGCGCGCCTAAAAACATTTACCAGCTCTTCTATCCTAGATGGCGACTGCAAAATTGCGTATTCTTCTATTTGGTCTGCAACCTGTCATCAGTCTGTACTCAGGGAAGAACATGTCCTGCGCTTCGATACATATTTTGCATACCTCTTGTGGTCTTTATGCTTGCGTCGTGGTTTTCAGAAGTGTAGGTTTCCACCCATGACCAGTACGGGTTTCCCTCCTGCTTAGTCGACTCCTTGTCCTCGAGAAGAGCACGGGCAGCAGCCCCATAACCGATGATGCAGGGTGCCAGGGCAATCTGGAGTGCAAACCAATCCTCAGATTGTCCAACATCTAACACGTACCGGGTGTAGGTAGTGCAAGCTTTTAAAAACCCGGCTTTAGTGGCTACTCAAGATATACCTCGGAGATCGATATTTTCTTCATTAGTATTGTGTGGACTTACCGGTATGCTCCTCAACTTGTTTCATATCCTCTCTTGTGATACCGAACTTGGAACAGAACTGGACGTGTGAGCTCATCTCCTTTTCCAGTTGCTGGATCACAGCCACAGACTGGATAACGTTGAAGTTGTCAGTACGTCTATTCACTCAAACACTCATCGCGGTAGGTAAACTTACACGAGCAATATCCTTGGCATTTTTGGACTTGTATGCGGCCAGAGCGTTCGCTCGTGAGAAGTGAACCTTTGGGGTATTGTCAATATGTTGATTCTGTACGTGCTGTACCTGCACACGAAGTGCTGGTCCGGGAAGACACACTAAGAATAGATAATCCTGCAAAAGATACCCTTTAAATGATTCCATAGGCAGACTGCCGTTACCTAATGCCTTGGTGAAATCATGTCTGGTAAATCGCTCCCATACACCGGCGATATCGTGCCGTTCAAGAACATAGTCGAAGAAGTAGCCACGGGAGAATGGTAGTGTTTGCATGCAGTGAAAGTGGTTCAAAGGTCCGTGTCCGTGTCCGTAACCGGGCGCTGTCTGGATGGCAATTTCAACATAACGGCAAGCCGCCTTCACCGCTGGGAAGACCTCCATGCCAATGGACAGATTTGATGCGATAGCAGCTGTTACGCTGGTCAGGATAGGAGGATAACAGGATGTGGGTTGCAGACGTACAAGCCAAAGAGCAGCCCGTCCCATGCGTGTTACGGGAGTCTTGATACTTGCTCACGATTCTGAAAACCTGATCATCAGGACCGACAAGGATGTTGACAACAACGTCCCTGTCCTTTTGGGTCATAGCTATCGTGTAATCCTCTCGAAAGGGGATGTGGCCACCTTTTGCCAGAACCCATTCGGAGCCGAGCTTCTCACGGGCCTGTCGGGCGAGATGTTCCAAATCGTCCACGCTGTCTAGACGAGCCTCTTCGCAACCCATCAGCATCTTCAGTTCTGGTATGTTGGGTGTTATCACTGAAGCTAGTCTGGCGAGTGCGTGAAATTCGGCTATACCGTCGGAAAGCAAGAGTGATGCACCTGTCGTGGCAATCATCACCTAGAATGCATAACTTCAGTAGAGCGCCCGCCGTATGGTAAAACATCCGAGTCTTACCGGATCTACCACGATCGTTGCTGGAGCTTTTTCCCTGAGAGTCATGGTCACCAACTTTATTGTCGCTGCAGATGCCAACATCCCTTCAGTGGGAGTTTCCTCAAAGTCAGCAGTGCAGCCGGTGTTTATTTTACATAGTACCGGAGGGACTAGCCAAACCCGTTTTCACAACATCAACTCCAATGTCATCGAAGCAGGCATCAATCTGTTTTTTCAGAAAGGCTTGTGGAACTGGGTGGATATCATATACACCAAGCGTGTTTTGTGCGGTCAAGGCCGTGGTAGCTGTCATAGCATAGCAGCCATGGGCCGCGATGACCTTCTGGTCAGCCTCAAGGCCACTTCAACCCCGAGTAGAGGAGATAAATTAGTTAATTCCTCGTTGTCGCAAGGTGGGGTGTTGACTAACGCTCCGCCAGAGCTGTCAGAGCCAGCAATGATCAAAACTCTCCCTCTGGGCATGCCGGCGTGGCGATGTATGAATATGCAATCGGGAAAACTAGGCTTGAAGTTGTGTTGTACAGATTAGTTCAGTCGGAGTGGGCAATTCCATTGCATGCATCGGAGATTTGGGAAGCGCATAGCGATGTAAGCTACGAAGTGGGGTTGCAACGTCACGCAATCACAATTTGCAAGGTCAGCTACGGAGTGCAAAGCAATTGTTCAGCAGCAATTCGCCCAATCGTCTCCTAACCTTCAACAACCACCGGACTCAACCGGGTCGCTGATACTTCTATGTCTCTCCGTTCGCTGTCCATCAGTTGATCCTGCGATCTCACTGTCTGTCCCGTCATAATTCCGACACCCAGAATCGGCGTCGCTTCCGCCGCCGGTGTCATCGTCGTCCTCACTCTCGTCCTCACCGAACACTACCGACCGCACTGCCCCCCTGCTGAACAGCTCCAGCACCATACGACGGACCGGTAATCGGTAGTGGTGGCATTCGAGGATTGACAACACCCTCCTAAATAGCAGAGGCTGTTCAAAGGCCGAGGATTCCCTTTGCCTGATTTGCAAAAGCTCACCAGCTGCTCGCTTAGAAATAACCATGTTCCCCAAGTCAACTACCAGCTCCAATATTCGTCGTATCACTGGGTCCAGGTCGACAGAGTATTTTTTGGACGAAGCCTGGTCGCGGTCGCCATCTAGCTCCTCGATCCCCTGCAAGGACCCTAGTCTTGGTCTGACTGGCATGACGGGCAACTCCAACCTTTCCGTCTTCTGCGAGTCTGGCAACTGAATGGTCGTCACGGCTGCGTGTTGCCACGGTGCCAAGGAGAAAAGCTGCGAGAGGTCCAATGGGATGCAAAAGCCCAGTGACGTACCCAGCACGCTGGTGTTTGAATCCCAGCCGAACTCTGAGAGTATTTCCATGCCATGAAGAGACCGTGAAATCAGGCCGAGAACAAAAAAAGCGGTGCCGCGCAAGCTCATAATCTCATGGCGACAGGCAATTTTTATGATCTGCTCCACAACATCACAGCTTTCGAGAAAAGGTGCACCAAGCTCCATGGCTCCGACGTTGCCAACCGCCCAGAGACAACCTTTCACCTTTGTAGTCACTTCACCATCCTCGCTCTGCATACCACAATCACGGATTGTCGCAGCGAACTCGTCAAAGTGCCCCTTCTCACGGAGCAGCCTGCAGCCTTCCTCCGTGCGCGTCAATTCCCGATAAAAATGCGGTGGGATATGAGCATCTGTGTCCGCGTCGACCTCATCGGCAAAAGAAATGATACGACTCGGTTGCTCGTCCGAATCGACGAAAGCGCGCGCCAGACTGGCTTCTATGAGGCCGACGTACGCATCATTGCGACCGAGGATCCAATCGTCCATTTCGTTGCTGATATAGTCCAAACCGTCGAGATAATGGTAGCCTATTGAAGTTGACAGGAAACGAAGAAGTAGTGGTGCGCCTATTTCGCCCAGGTGGTCAAGCGCAGGCCTGCATTCTACAATAAACTCGAGGGAACTTTTATTGTTACAGGCCTTTTCCAGAATTTTAATGGCCGTGGCGCAGACCTCTACTTCTGGATCGTAGAGCTGTGTGACGAGAAGCCGGATGGCCCATTTTGAGTCTCCCACGCCATGACTGGTAGAGGTAGTTGAACTTGTGCGTACGGCGTATTTTCTGAGCACGTTGGTAGCATGTATGCGAATATCCTTGGTACCTGCCGTCAACGATTTGGACAGTAGGACTCTTTGGTGTCCGTTGACAGTATAATCAAAGTGGGATAGAAGTAGTTTGATTAGGTCGGGCCGCTGTTTCAAGTCAACGATGTGGTACATCATGTTGAACATGCGCCAGCGTTCCATCATTTGCAGTCCCCTGGGGTCGCTGCTCAGAACGCCGATCATTGGGAGGTAGCCACCACAAAGCGTGTCAACGAGGCGATCCTTGGCAAACATCGGATACTGTGCGGTGATGCCACTCGTCTGCAGCCCAGAAGACAAGGGTGTTGCCAGTCAGCTAGCGCCAAAACACAGGGGGGGGGGGAGAAGAAGATGAAAGATGGGAAACACACTGGATCACACTGTGCCAGACATTCTGCAATTTGTCTGAGCAACTTGCTGTCTCCCAAATAGCGAAAGCCTTCCGGTGTCTGAAGAAATGTATGCAAGAGAGCACAGCCTACTCGGACATATTTCTGAGTTCCTTTGGTGGTTTTGATGTCGGAGAACCTAAACTTGAACGGACGGTAAAAGCTCATGATCCGCTTAACAAACTTGGAGGCCCGGATCGCTTCCTCTAGTCTCTTCCCATTGGTGAGTGGGCCCTCGATCACTCGCAACACCACATCCCAGTTCCATTTGAGGAAGTTGGAGCTGCTGAGAACGCCCGATTCCAACAGCAGCTGCCGAAATGTTGCCTCGTCAAACACCATGCTTGCTCCCGACTTTGGTTGTTCGTCGAGCAAGGTAAAGTCGATACCACTGTTGGCCACACTGCTTCCCGATGCCCAATATGATGGCGCCGACCGATACAGCGTTTTGCTGACGCTACTCATTTGGTACACGGTCCCGGTTGCGATAAAATGAGACTCATCCTGGAAGCGGGTGGCAGCTGCGAATAGGTCCGGAAGAAGCTGTACTTCATCGCTCCACGACGGTGGCAGGAGTCGGCTCGACAACCTTAGAATTTCACCTATTAGAAGCGTCGACTTTCGCCTAAGAAGTAAGTTATCGGTTTCCTGTGTGAGGTGCAACAGGCGAGGTAGCAAGCCGGATTTTATGAAGACGGCGAGAAGGAGAGCAGTATAGTGTTCCACAAAATTCTGCTCACTGCCCTCCTCGTCCGAATACGACACGGTATAGTCCTTCAGCGGCGTAGCCCTCAGAGTGGCGACGCGGCCGTACGTCGTCAGCCGTCGACCAGCTAGAAAGGAGGTTGCCCAGGCGGGTGACTTGATGCGGAAAAGGGAGTATATAAGCTCAATGACAGTGTCTCGTATAGCAGCGCTGGGTAGCGAAAGGCTGGCAACGAGAGAGCGAACGGCGCGAAAGTCGTACATGGACAAGTTCATCAAGCCAGACCATGTTTTCAAAGCAGAAGCAATAGCCTTTGCGTTCTGTTTGAGTACTGCCTCGTTGGACAGGAACTGGTCGGTGAAGGTGGTGAAAAGCACCTCTAGCTCATAGCCAGCACGAAGGTATTTCCTGCGCTGTGGGGCGTCCAAGAGAAAAAGGATGGCAGAGGTTAGACTTTCGGGTGCCTTATATGCACCTTCTGCCAGGGCATCAGACAAAGATGCCAAACCCCCAGAAGCTACTAGCAGGCGAGGGTCGCGAACCAGTATTTCGGCCAGCGTTTCAAGGCAGATCGGACGTAACCTGTCTTCGGCGTGCTCTGCTACGGCGGCAATGGTGCGGACGACGGCCCTGGAGAGCTCGTGGACACCCTCCTTGACATCCAAAAAAGTGCGGATAAACTTCAAGGCCTGCTCTCTTTCCACGTCGGCTTTGCGGTCTTTGATCAACGACAAGACAACGAGATAGTCCGTGTTCAGAGCTCGGATTTTTCGCAGAGAAGAGACGTCGGATATGGCATAGCGGGTCATACGGTAGGCGGCCGCAACAATCTCCCTGCTGTCGCTGAGGAGCATGACTTGGATGCGAAGACCGAAGACCGACCAAACGAGGTCATACTTTAGGGTCGGGTGGCGTTTGAACAGGTCAACAAGACTGTTGGCACGTGTGACGTAATATTCCGGTGCAAAGCCATCCACCTCGAGGGCCTGGAGAATCTCGGCTAGGGCAAAGGTGGGAGACTCGGTCTGGTCCTCGACATCAGAGCCAGCTCCGCTGCGCGACGTGTTTTGGGGTGACCGCAGGCCGGTCGTCAGTGTGGCAGGGTCGATTCGGGCTCTTGTGGGTATGTGAAGAACGGGGCGTGGCCGCTGGGTATCGCTGATCCTCTGTCTCAGCTCTTTGATGCGCAAGTTCGACGAATTCAGCTCGGCCTCGACACGCTGACGCTGGTCCTTGGTTTGCTTCGCCTTTTTGCTGTTGAGAGCTTCAAGCATATTCTCGCTACCTTCCTTGATTTTCAGCTCTCGGTTCAGAAGGTCGCGTAGAGCTGCAAGCGACCGGCGGGCTGCCGCCTTGCTATCATCGTCGTCCTCTTCTTCGTCGTCTTCAGCTTCTGTTGTTGTCTTTTCAGAGTTGTAGACGTCGACTCTCGAGCCGGCACGCAACGGGCCCATCTGGTTACGAAGGTCCGAGACGAAACTGCCAGGTGCCGGAGATGGGTTGAGCGAGGATCCTCGTGGGGCAAACGCGACACCGGACGTGGCGATGCTGCGCCCACTAGCAAAGGTCCCGGCATTTGTGGCCGCAGCGGGGGGCTGGAGGCCATCTCGGTCGAGGCTGTTCTTGGTCTGGTGATTCGAAGGAGTAGCACCGGGCTGGGAGCTGAAGAACTTCTGGGTTGGTGTGGCCGAGGCACCCAACATGGTGGACCGGCCGGCCATGAGCCTCCTGCTCGTGACGTACCCGTCAGCGCAAGCAGCTGATGGTGACAGGCATCCGGTAAAGTCGCCGGTTACAAGTTTCCTCCGTCTGGGGAGATTGTCCAAGTGCGATACCCCGGTAGAAACGTGGCCAACTCCCGAATGGCCAAGACGACGTTCCGAAGCTTATCTGACCGTGTTCAGCATGTAGGTACTGAACTGTCGGGTCTTTGATGGGCACGCCTGGTGGAAAAGGCAATGCATGCGAGGATGTTGTGATGACCGTCTCTGTTGGCCACAGCTATTGCAGACGATTGCAGACGATTTGGTGTGTTTGTCACCGTCTTCTGCTTCCCTGTGGGGTCCCTACGTTGTCCGCACGGCTTCCTAGCTACAGTGGGAAGGAGAGTTGGTGCTCACACATATACACTGTGTGTCGGACAAGGGCTCTGCTGGCCAATCGACCACCCCGCCCCCACCATCGGCCGTCAACTAAGCAGTGACTCTTGTCTCATGCACTGATATGACGTCGTCTGCACCGATCGTACAACTCTTAGCCGTAGTACATAGTAGACGAGTACTCCGTAGACCAACTGTAGTTGAGTGTGGCACGATTCGATTAGTACGCTTGCGTGTGCCGTTGGCGGACGGTGTCGAACGATGCTGTCGTCTCCTTCGACTGGAAGTGGCTATCGGCGGGCTCCGGTGCCCCACAAGCCAACTGCTCCTTGTGAAAGCAAGTCAGTCGACCCAGCCTTCTCCGCCCAGCACGCTCAAAATTGTCCGTGTGGGCCTTAGTGCCGGCCTACACATTGCCTGGGCCGCTGCTGAGCCGATCAAAATGGCGGCTTCCGACGCGTGAATGCTGCCGTAACAAAGTTGCCAGAGAATCATGCGTCACCTTTCGCCGTGAACCAGCGCTCTCTGCCCAACCAGACGACGCTCTGTAGACAACCGGAACCGATTGTGATTTGGCCCCGTTGCCATTCGCCGCTAGGCTGCCCACCTGAGCTGGTTGTTCTGCTGCTCCACGCTTCGTATATATATATGCGTAGCAGCTCTCCCTCCGCTCGATTTAACAATTACTCGACTATTAACTCTTTCTGCAATACCCAGGCGGTCCAAGTTTTTTATTTCGCTACTTCATCCCTTTGTGTCTGCCCGCAAATATCCCTCCACTGCCTCTGATTCGCACCTCCAATATCAAGCATGCCCCACGTATCTGCTGCTCGGTATGGGAAGGACAATGTTCGCGTCTACAAAGTCCACAAGGATGAAGAGACAGGCGTTCAGTCCGTCACTGAGATGACCGTCTGCTGCCTTCTCGAGGGTGCTATCGAGACATCGTACGTCAAGCCAGTAAGCCTCTGAGATACGTCAAGTCTGCAGACACTGATTGCTAATTGGGGCCAAATTATGTAGTTATACCAGAGCCGACAACAGCGTCATTGTCGCAACCGACTCAATCAAGAACACAACCTACATCGTCGCAAAGGAGAACCCTGTCAACCCCCCAGAGCTTTTCGCAAGCATTCTCGGCACCCACTTTCTCGACACGTACAGCCATATTTCTGTTGCCAATGTTTCTGTCCGGGTTCACCGTTGGACACGCCTCACTGTCGACGGTGCCCCTCACCCCCACAGCTTCGTTCGCGATAGTGAGGAGACTCGCAATGTGGAGGCTGTTGTCCGCCGCGACGGCATCTCGCTGACAAGCAGAATCGCCGGCTTGACTGTGCTGAAAAGCACAGGCTCTGCCTTCCACGGCTACGTCCAGGATGAGTTTACTACTTTGAAAGAGACCTGGGACCGTATTCTCAGCACCGACGTCGACTGTTCCTGGCGTTGGAAGACATTTTCCAACGTAGCCGCCGTCCGAGGAGAGGCCGCGGTGTTTGACAAAGCCTGGGAGGCTGCCCGGACTATTACAACCGAAACCTTCGCCACAGACAATAGTGCTTCCGTCCAGAATACCATGTATAAGATGGGAGAGCAGATTCTGGAGGCCGTTCCTGGTGTCGAAACTGTGTCCTACTCGCTCCCTAATAAGCACTATTTTGAGATTGACTTGTCTTGGTACAAGGGCACTAAGAACACTGGCAAGGATGCCGAGGTGTATGCACCGCAGTCTGGTCCCAATGGTCTGATCAAATGTGAGATTTCCCGCTCCTAATGGTCGGGAAACGGCATTGTACCACGCTATGTGGATTGAGTCAGTGGATGCCGGAATTGTCGAGTCTTAGCCGGTGCCTGTATTATATGATCATCTCCATATTCTGTCTCTCCCCGTTCAAGTATTCGGGTACACTTCATGACACTATATAGAATACCATTCTCATAATCAGCCACACTCCCAAGACGAGAAGCCACCCGTTATTTTCCGATTTCACGGGGTACCGACCCAGTAGATGACAACAACGACTCTGGTGTCCGGCGACACAACGTAATCAAGTGTAGACACAAAAAGGGGGCAGCTAGTAATTACGGGCTTGACTCCGTAGCCCTGGTGTGAAGTGTAATTTGGTATCATATCCTAGATTTATCTGCTTCCCGTATTGCTTGCACAGCCGCGTTCCAATTTTCGGCCCCGACAGCTTGCCCACCGAACCGAACTATATTCATCTTGTAAGGATGCGCATCACCTTCAAATGCCTTGAGGCGTGTTAGCCGCTTGTCCCGCAAACGGTTCTTCGGTAGCATGCCGCTGACTGCTTTCCGGAGAACCTCAGCGCCACCGAATTTGTCCATTAGCACGTCCATTGTAACGCTGCGAAGAGAGCCAGGTCGTGTATTATGGCGATGATAAGTCTTGCGCCACTTCTTGTTGCCCGTAGTGTATAAGGCGGCGCAATTGGTGACTACGACATAATCACCGCAGTCTGTTGATGGGTCCCATATCGGCTTATGCTTGCCCATGAGCAGGGTGGCAATGCGGGAAGCCAGCCGGCCTAGGGACGGAGGTGTAACTGCCAACTCCGTAGGCTTAGCCGTAGAAAGTCCGGGGTGAGGCGTTGATGCCGATATTTGATGCCATGTCCGCGAGTATGCAAGTCGAGTCTGCGTTTGTGCGAAGGAGGTTGTCAACACGCGACACATCTTGCTCGGCTTCATTTCTCGGGAGGAAGGGGGCTGATATAACAGTCTTCCGGATAAAGCATTTCACAGTTGGTAACTTACCAATCCTAGTGTCTGGGACATGGCTGCTAGATTGTGCCAAGATGCCCACCTTTCTTTGACCAAGAGATTTGGTATTTACAAGGTGGTGTCAAAACATTGCAAGATACCCAGAAAAGAAACTTCCCGAAACTCAGTTAAAAGGCACGTGACATTACTGTACTTGGCTAGGCTGATAATTTAGGTCTGTGGCGATTTCAAAGCAACTACGGAGTATTAGCAGCCGATGAAACCGATATACGGAGTAATAGACATATTTCTACAGTACAAAGCACACGCCATTAAGCTGCCGTCTATGCATGCACACCATCTGAGCAGACGTTTTTTACATGAAGGTTGTTGGGATTATCTTCGTTGTCGTGTCCACGGCTTTTCAAGGGGTATTCTGATATATATATATTTACCAATGCTGCGCATCACTTAAAGCCAGAAAGCTTACGAAACCGAAAATGGCTGTTACCCATCCTTTCCAAGTGCGCCCTCGACCTGTTTATATACTCCAGTAAGATTCCTTGAAAGTTATCAAAAGTGTCTAATAAATAATGCCACAGACCCTGTTTGCTGTGACGATGACATGTGGCGACTGCGCGAAGGACGTCGCAAGCGAACTCTACAAATTGCCAGGTATCACAAAGGTGGAATCCAACCTCGAAGACCAATCCGTTTCTGTCGAGGGGACGGGTGAGACTTTTCAGCCTGACTTATGAGCCTCGAAGCTGTATCAAGCTTGCTACTGTAGCACATCTCTAACTGTCTTAGCCCCTCCGTCAACTATAGTAAAAGCCATCCAGTCGACCGGCAGAGACGCTATTTTGCGCGGCTCGGGAACGTCGAATAGTAGGTTCAGCAGGCTCCAGTACACCGCGGTCTCACCTGGCAGGGGCTTTATGGACCTTTGTCACCAAGAGTGTGAATGACACACTGTAGCTGACCGAACTTCCAGGCGCAGCTGTGAGCATTCTCGAAACGTATCACGGGCCTAGCGGAAAGTGTTGCGCCACGGAGGCCGTGGATGCCGGTACCTCTGCCGATAACAAGGACCGATATGTTCGGGGTCTAGCACGGATGGTGCAAGTAGCCCCCTCGATTTCGGTAATTGACCTAACAGTACAGGGAGTGTCTCCCGGTACCTACTACGCAAGCATCCGTGAATATGGCAATCTCCAAAGCGGTGCCGTGTCCACCGGGCCGATTTGGTCCGGGGAAGGCATCCCGGACGTTAAAGGTTCGGGCCGGCAGCAGCAGACAGCGCACAAGGGCCATTTGGGCTCCATCGAAGTTGGGCTTGATGGGCGGGGGGAGGCTTTCCTAGAGAAGGAGTTTCAGGTGTGGGAGCTTATAGGGCGGGCCCTAGTGGTCTCACCTTTGGATGAATCCAGAGAAAGTGTGGCTCTGCAGAACGACGCGGACACGGTGGTGGGCGTCATCGCGAGGAGTGCGGGAGTTTGGGACAATGACAAGACCGTGTGTTCGTGCACGGGAAAGACTCTGTGGGACGAAAGGAAAGACGAGGTGAAAAAGGGCATGCTGTAGGAAAGCCAGTGGTACGTTACAGAGCATCCATGGCAGCATGCTGATATCAAAGGAGCAACAATACATGTTTTGCAAAGCAATAAACAAAGGCGCAGTTATAACCTAATGGCCACTCCTTTCTTTTTCAGGAGGGAGCCAGCAAGCACGGGTATTTTGAACACCGGCGCGCCTTTGGAAACACCTCATGCAAGAGAACAAAAGTGGTGGGTCCGTCCACCGCCAATCTCCAATCAACGACGGAGGGGACAATCGAAGGGCAGGATACGAGTGAAAGAAGCTGCATCAGATGAGAAAATGGAGCGGTAGCACACAGAACGTCTGTGACCGGCTACGGAATACACTGGCCTTGTATGAAAGGGGTCACGACGCTGGGACAAGGCATGGTGGGGCCAGCAGTCAAACTATCGTAATCGTCTCGTTTACAAGGCGAATGGCGCTAGGCGCCCACGCTGGTGGTAAAGGGGAAGAGACCCGGCCAGTGACCAGCCGGCATGTGGCGTGGTGTGCTCTGTCTGCACTGCTGGGGACCACCGGGTGTGCAAGTATACTAAAGACTCCATATAGCACACCTGTCTGGCCTCGTTCGACTTTTCCACGCTCTCGCACCATTCCAGCAAGTCCCCAGAACCGCCGTGGAGAAAGGCATTTAACCTGCTCGAACCATCCTATTACCAGTACTATGTACGCCCAGGAGGGCCAAGCTGCCAATATCACATAGAATCACACCTGCCGGCCACTCATCGTCGGCTTTGTTATTAGTGCGACCCACGCAAGTCAACCAACCACCCCCGTTCATTACCCCTGCCCCTTCCCTCGCCGACACACCGGCGCTACGAGACATCATCACGTTTTGTCTTCCACCGAAAAGTCGACTCTGTCCCCTCAATCCCAACCCGCATGAAACGCCGTATGTAGTAGACTTTGCCCTCAATCGACCGCAATCGACCAACTAACGCGAGACAACCCACAGCAGCTTCCACCAAATCTCGTCCTCCACCTTTCCCAAACTTTTTGGCCGTCTCTGTCTTCTCTATTTTTTTTTAACGTCCTCCTAACTGGAACACAAGACCACTGCTTGTTCCCTCTCCCAGTCCAAAGGACGTCGACACTCTGAAGGCTCCCTGGCAAAGCCGGTACCTCAAATTCCATATACCACGCCTGGTTCGTGCAAAGGCAACGAGGAAGGATACCTGAGCAGCCACAGACGCGAACATAATAGAAGCGGCGATAAATCAGGTGGCCTGCCAGTCTCGCCATACATAGTAGGCTGCTCCGCGCCAACCGTCTTCCACTAGTACGCATCCTCATGTATAAATCGAGACCGGCCTCCCCATCCGTTCCTAGCCCTAGTATAACCTCCCCCGTCTGACCAGCCGCGGTACTTTATGATAAGCCAGGCAATATACTTACGACTCGCCAGCTCGAACGACGGCTCTGTTGGATACTACTCATACAGCACCTTGCACTCATAGCCACCGGCGCATCGCCTTCCACACGTCATGTCTTTAAAACAGGTTCGTCGATGCTGCTGTCTATCGCTTCATACTCTGTTCATCGCTGACTCTTGCTGTCTCGTCTGTAGGAAATCGAGGTTTGGGTCGCTGCTCTGGGTAGCTACGACAGCAATGAATTCGATGAAGCTCTTAACGAGTTTGAGAAGGTCTCCGACACGTCCAAGATCCTATTCAACATGGGTGTCATACACGCAACCCTAGGCGAGCATGAGAAAGCGGTTTGTGCAACCCTTCCCTTCCTTCGTCTTCATCTCCACGGTCCAGGCTGATACGAGGCATCCGCATATGCAGGTGGAGTGCTACCAGCGGGCAATTCGACTGGACCAGTATCTGGCTGTAGCGTATTTTCAACAAGGTGTCTCAAATTTCCTCCTCGGCGATTTTGAGGAGGCACTGGCGAACTTCAACGACACACTACTTTACCTGCGAGGAAATACCATGATCGATTACGCCCAACTAGGACTGTTATTTAAGCTTTATTCTTGTGAGGTCTTGTTCAACCGCGGCCTTTGTTACATCTACCTGCAACAGAAAGATGCTGGAATGCAAGATCTCTCGTACGCCGTAAAGGAAAAGGTGGTCGAGGACCACAACGTCATTGACGAGGCAATTCGCGAAGAAGCAGAGGTAGGGCAATCTTCGACTTCGAAAGAAAGAACTTACTGGAGCCTACCTTCAGCTTCGTGCACAAAGACTAAAAGAAATACAATCTTAGGGCTACACCGTTTTCTCCATACCCGTCGGTGTCGTCTACAGGCCGAACGAAGCGAAGGTCCGCAATCTGAAGACCAAGGACTATCTCGGGAAGGCTCGCCTGGTCGCAGCTTCTGATCGAGCGAATGCCTTCACTGGATTTGCTGGGTCAGAAATCAAGAATGTACGATACGCCCTAGTGCATACATAGGCTGGTTCCGAGCCATGTTTGATTTCTCTTCATAAACGACTAACATTCGCTCGAAAATTTAGGCGGGGAAGCTGGACGTTAAAGACGATCGTCCGGCCGACAATATTTCTTTTGCGGCAACCAACCTTGTAAAGACCGATATTCAGAGCCGACGGCTTCAATCTGAGCCTCCCGTCGGTAGAAACGTCTTCCCACCAACACCACCCCCCGAAAATGATAAGCAGCAGTCGGCTGTGATCAGCCGCGGTGCATCGGTTCGCAACGGCCCCAAACCAATGCCTTCCAAACTGAACATCGACAAAGCTCGCCCGAATGAACGCTTTGAAAAGGCAATATCTCCGCAAGATAGACGACCTAGGCCACAGCGTTCCAATTCAGCTACCCCGTCCCGTGGATATAGCCAGAGAGCGGTTCAAGCTCGACGGTCAGTCGAGGAGGAGGATGCATACCCAGACCAGTTGTATGACATGTACCAGGGCGCCGGGGGGTCGCGGGGGAGCCGTGGACAACAGAGCAGGCGGACACAGCCCCGGTATATTGATGAGGACGACGAAGGTGGCAGCGACTATGATGGTGGCTCGTTTGACGAGGGCGACTTCGAGATCGTTTCAAGCCGTCGACCGGGTACCAGCTCTGTCTCGGGCTCTTCTCTTAGACAATCCAGAAGGCCGGAAATACGGAAAATCAGAGTCAAGGTTCACGCGGAAGATGTGCGTTACATCATGATCAACACGGCTGTTGAATTTCCCGATTTTGTCGACCAAATTCGCGACAAGTTTGGCATCCGTCGCCGCTTCAAGATAAAGGTCCGCGACGACGACGACGCACCCAACAGTGAAATGGTGACCATGGGCGACCAAGATGACCTAGACATGGTAGTCATGAGCGTGAAGTCTCTGGCCCGAAAGCAGAAATTGGATGTCGGGAAGATGGAGGTAAGCCCCTTATTTTCTCAACGTATCATGCTTTTGCGCTGACAGTATACAGGTTTGGGTTCAGGAGATATAGGAGGCTTTGAGTAGACTGTAGATGGCTCTCGTGACCTCTATACCCCCAAATCTACATTTCCTACCTGGTCACGACTGCGGTGCTTGTTGAGGCGACGCGATATAACAAAGCTAGATGAGCGTGTCGCGGACTTTTCGGAGGGGGGGGTTACGGTAAACTACGTTCCGTCCACAGCACGGCCGCGTGCGCAGGCATGCATGTTGCGCATTGTTCTTGTGTATCTCATTCTGTTCTCTTAGGGGTGGGTGGGGTCTAAAGTTCGGCCCCACACTTGGTTTTTCAGCGTTTTATTATTCTTTCTCCTGCAATTAAGAGTTAATGGCTCATCGCCCTCTTTGTAGTAAGATACTCGGGACGGTTTCTGCTTCGCGCCAATTAATCACATGCAGTGATTTTAGGACGCCTATGGCAACCGATTTGACAGCCTTGTCGCCGTGCATCCGTAGAGTAGAGGAGTTGCTGGCGTCCAGCCACCTTGAATATATTATACGTCGTATGCCTCTTGAAGTTTGGTCTTGGCGACGCATCCATGATGAAGTTCAAGGCTCAATTCGGCCAGACAGACAAGCAAAGTAGTATGGAGTAGGAAACTGACGATTGCGCCGATTAATGACATGCTATACAATCAACACGAGCGGGTATTTTTGTAATATAATAACACCCTGTCCGTCCCATTTGATTAAACAAGAATCGGCAGCAGAAGCACCGGCCACGAAAATCCCTATGAACCCCCAAAGCCCGTAAAATGACCCGCCAAAATAGGCAATAAAATACCAGACGGCACGCCTCGCCATCACGCCAGGTATGGGGGGGTCTTCTTTGCCTTAGTCCGGGCGGCATACCTTACTGCCAGCCCTCCCCCTATCCGCAAGTGGCAACAAATAATAATAAAGGAAAATACAGCAGAAATCAGAACCAAACGTAGCAGCAAGGCCCCATATCAACACCTTTCTGCTTTAAGATATCGCATGTCCGTGACATCTCAACCATAGCAGGTCTTGTAGTCGCAATGCGATTATCTCCTGCCCTGTCCACTCACACCTCCGCTGTGCTATCCGGGAGTTTCGAGACCTCACATCACGCCAGTAGAAAGGATTCTAGAGTCGACGTCATCCAAGGGCATTTCTAGGCCCCGTCCTTCCATTGCGTTGAGCCGAGCCTCAACGTTGCTCAACCGGCCATCAATGACGTTTGGGGCGTTAGACATGCCATTTCCCAACCCATTGCCGAGATTTGGGGGCATTGCGGCCGCCAGTGCTCCCATTCCATCCATTCGCTGCTCCATCGCTTCTAGCCTTTTTTCCAGATTATCGATCATCTTGTCGAAGCGTGCGTGCAGCTCCTGAAATCCCTGGCTGACATCGTGGCCAATGCGATCAAGCTTATTAGTGATGCTCCGCAAGTTTTGTGCCATAGGTGCTCCCTCCTGACCCGGAGGTGCCGCGGGCACTCGTGCCTCGTGGTTGTGGCGAGGATCCTGAACCACAAACCGCCACTGGTTTGCCAACGAAACTTCGCACACGGCCTTGGCTCGGAATGGGCAATCCACCTTTCTTGTCGAAGGATTTCGCTTCTTAGCTGTGCTGTTATATTTCACGCCGCCACGATCACAAACGAGATCGTACCTGGTCGGTTTTGCGTCGCGGTAGTTGGAGGCGCGAAGTTTCACAATCCCATAGCCATTATCTTTGGCCACGCGCTGAACTGCTGTAAGAAGATCCTCGAATGTGAGATAGATGCCTTCGGGTGGAGCACCCAGACTTATCGTGGCAGACGAAGAGATGGGTGTCACTGGCGAAACCATTGTGCGGGCAGAGGATATGTTGACATGGGGTGTCGTCGATGAAAGCGCGCTACCCATAGTACCATTGGCACGAACAGGTGTGCCTTGTGCCTGTGGAGATGGGGCGGGTGCTGGGCCGGTAGGCACAGGACCCAAACTCCAAGCCGGCGGCTGCGAGGGGGCGGAGGAAGCCAGGGCGACAGATTGTGCTGCTAGCAGCGAAGACACAGTTGTGATCGGTGATGGTATAATCGTCAGAAGCAGCGCGTTGCTAGCAATGTTTCTTTGCGTAGCACTAGCGATACCACAGCAGTCACAGAGAGGTTGGATGTCGAGAGTTTACTCTGAAGGCACTCGGTTATTCAATGTGCTTGTAACATAAAAAGTGTTTCGCAGCGGCGACTGTTGCTTGTTGGAACTCTTGCGGAAAACCTGAGGTCGAATTGGGCGAATGCGGAGGAGTAAATAAATCGGAGCGGAAATGGGGAAGGGAAGGGGGGCAAGCTCTGGTCTGGCGGTGCTGGTCTCAGCGTAGAGCGCCACTAGTTCTTGTGATGATCTTTGCAAGAGGGCTGTTTGTTTTCTCATTAACGACGAAGCTTGTGAAAGGTGTGTAGGCGCCGCAAATGCGGGAGGCTGGACAGTGTGGGCGGACAGGCTATATACGGTCCTTTGGGCATCCCTGCCTACTAATTGTCATTGGTTTGTGGCGCAAATGTGGCTGTGCTCCGGCACCCTACATAGGTACAAAGTCCGTAGTCCGTAGTTGCGTGGTTTACTGGGGTCTTACCACCTCCATACAAACCTACCGACAGATCGATGGCTTCAAATCGTCCTGCAGCAAGAGGCTCCGTCCGCCTGTCGCAAGAGCGAAATTTCGACGATTGGGATGAAAATCAAATAGAAGCTGCGCTAGAAACTCTTAAAGACATACACCTCCAAGTAACTACCATGGGGATTAGCTTTAAAGAGCTAGCAGGCTTAAAATCTTGCCGTTTTATTACTTCGCTGACCAGCTGTTTTGTCTCTGTTAGTTACGAAACCTGAGAAGCACAATACCCAGAATGGTTCAGCCACTAACCAGCGATCCTTCACCACCACGTAAGGCCTAACCATATCAGGTGTTTACTGTCTACATCCTTCTTTTCACGGATCGGCTAACATAATGACCACTCGTTCATATAGCCGATGTCCTTAATCTGAAGTGCCAAGAGTCGCTGGCAGCAGGAACACAAGAGGTGAAGGATTTCAAGACAGCCATAACAAGTGAAGGGTACAAAAGAGTACTCGAGCATGCGGCTTTGAGTCGCAAAAGAAACGTCAAGAACATAAAGCCTTGGAAACCTAGAGATGACCCAGAGTGGGCTACGATGTAGTAAATTCGGACATATCTTTGTAGGATCCATGTAAGATACGATACTGCGTGTCGATATGTATCTTATCTTAGCCAGCAAGTAGTTGCGTATGTGCATACGGATTTTACATGCTTACGGAGTACTCCGTACGGAGATTTATTTCACAAATATGTCTTACAACCCACATATGCGCCACGCATTGGCTTACTCATTCGACGGGTGCCACACTTTTTACTAGGGGAAATAAATATTGAAGTCATGTGATATAGTCCTCTCTTCAAGACGCACCAGTTTATTTTTTTTCGGTCAAATTCTCGAAGTGCACAATTCTCAATCCTCGAATTTTATCGCAACCTCAAACCAAAACACTCAACAACAATGGCGAACACACGTGTTGTCTACCGTCGGCGCAACCCGTAAGTACAGTTTGGAGTCTTGCTCCTATCTGAAACTACCCTTTTTTTACATCTTCCAAGCTGTGCAAAGACCAATATTAACCTCAGTCGACAGGTACAACACAACGTCCAACCGGACGCGGATTGTTAAGACCCCGGGAGGCGAGCTGCGAATTCTTCACATCAAGAAGCGCGGAACGGCCCCGAAATGTGGTGATTGCGGTTCCAAGCTGCCTGGTGTAAGTACTCTCCGCGCTCAAAATTGAAGAACACCACATCGACATGTGCAAGTGTAATGTATCTAGTGGGCTAGCTTCGTACATCTTCGTTCTTACTTTATTGTGGATTTCTCGTGGCATGTACTGCAACGGAGATTCCGGATTATGCAGACGGAGACGGGAGTACATTTTCAATTTGCGTCACAATACTGACTCGTTTGCTCATGGCAACAGATTCCGGCCCTGCGCCCCCGCGAGTACGCCCAGATTTCGAAACCGAAGAAGACAGTCCAGCGTGCCTACGGTGGCTCAAGATGCGCAAACTGCGTTCAGGATCGTGTTGTCCGGGCGTTCCTGATTGAGGAGCAGAAGATTGTAAAGAAGGTGCTGAAGGAACAGAGCCAGAGTGAGAAGAAGAAATAAACGGAACGCAGGCAGCTCTGAGGTAACTTTGGTTCGGCTACGGTGTTGGGCTGGGGAAATGTCGAATATGCCGCGGGAAACTGGAATGGCAGGTCAATATGAACTTTGTACCTGCTTCTAGATGTCTCTTCTGTTTTCTTGGTAACTAAAATGGGAAAATAAACGAAAAGACCGGACGATCTCGGATGTATTGGGTGAATGGATCTCGACGCAAGTATTTTCTGGTGCGGTCAAAAGGATTAGGCCTCACCTAGGGAAGCTAATTGAGTCCGTTGACGAACCAGGCTCCATGTAAATGCTGTTTTGTTCCATTGAGCCTGCTCAATAATTCAATATAGGAGACTGCGCTACAAAGTCCGAACTACTTTATACACAATTCAGAACCTAAAATCTTGTTAGTGTGGTTTGATTTCCTCCAAGCAACCGAGTGACATTAGACGTACACAGAAATGACAACATCCAAGTCAGTACGGCACAATTCATAGATCCCGACTCGATGGTATCTATAAGACAAACAGCACATGCTGCCAGCACCAGCAGGCATATTTTTAGCCTCTCAACTCCATTCGTATCTCGGCGGGCTCGTGTCTTCGAGTCTTTCAACAGAACACTAGAAACGAAAGCACTGCACCCGGCATTTCCGCTCGCGACAGCGAGTGGAAGATGTCGTCCTAGGGATAATACCAGGACATTACATCTGACACGTTCACTCCCTCGAGAGAACTACGACAGGCGAGTCAACAAGAGCATGCCAGATAGGCCACAGGCCGCGGACTTCGAACGACTCAACATTTTTGACGAGTCTGTTGTGCCGCCTACTTCTGTGGAATCCTTTCTGCCTGGTGGCTTTTGTTTAAACGGCGGCATCCGGATTGTAGGAGGTAGTGGTGCAATGTTAGTAGGGGGCGAGGCATTCATGTGGCGGCCTTGGGGTGAACGGAATTCACTTATTAATGACAGAGGGCAATGGGAGGCGGACAGTGACGCTTTTGGGCTTCTCAGTTTAGTCTGGCCCAGGCCAGGTACGATGCCATCTTTCCAACTTCGAGTATACCGTTTGTATTGATGACGGTGATGTTTTCTTCGTTCTTACTATGATAACAGATCTGCTCATCCTCGGAATTGGTCCAGATATGCGTCCGCTTAGCCCCAGAACCAAACGCGGCATTACGTCCCTCGGCATGCGTGTCGAAGTTCTAGACACAAGAAATGCGGCATCCCAATTTAACTTACTAGCCACGGAGCGGGGAGTGGATGATGTTGCCGCTGCTCTCATACCGATCGATTGGAAAGATGGGATTGGAGTCAAGTGATGCGTAGCTCTGCGGTCCATCAGGGCTATGTACCATTCTATCATTACCTTGCTCCCATTGAACCGATAGTAGAGTTTGGAGATATGGGGAGAGGAAAGGCCTTAGGGTACTCCGTATATTAGAAGGATAAGGTGGCCTGTGACTGCCAATCCTCCAGCCGTTGGTGGTGGCAGAATGCCAGGCCGCGCATTGGGTTTGATGGTCAGCTCTCAAGCACGATTGGCCGTACCCACACTCAAGAGCTGACTTGAGCCTGTACTGCATTTAGCCCCCTCATATTAATCCGCATGTCATATTCTTGAAAGCCGTCTAACCAATTGGGTATCTCTGCTAGTTTACAGGTCATGTCTTTTATAACCTGATATACGAAAATATCACTCAATTACTCTCCGCACGCGAAAAGCCCTCGCTCTATATCCTATAAACAGCTGCACACCTTGCAACTGACCGACGACCGATTCGGGCCACGGCTATGCGCATGGACTAGCCAACGTAGTGCTTGAACTTGCTTAGACAATTAGCCAATTTCTCCATATTGTCTTCTTGGGGCTCCCTGGTGATCCTCCAGGTGCAAACTTCTGGTCCTATGGCATGCGCGATCACTTCCAACTGGGCGCTCAAAGGCAGTGTCACAAACTCGTCCGACGGTTCGTATACCTACCGATGCTTGGCTAAAGGGGTTGGCGATAAATTGTGCAGCTCTACTCACTCGCTAGCTACCCAGACCCGCCACTGCTGCATAAGCACTCGACTACAGAGGAGTTCAGGACCAGTCGCTTTACCTACCCATCTGTGCGCGTATTCTTCAAGCGACACGAGCAGGACGGCCAACTGCCTGTGAAACCAGCGCCTCTGCCTCTTCTTGTCTTCATTCACGGCCTCGGTGGTTCCATCGATCAGTTTCATCCATTGCTCACACGGCTGACCAACTCTGCTTCATGTCTTGCCGTCGACCTTCCTGGGTGTGGCCGCTCGGCTTTCGCCCCGAGAGATTGGGCTGCTTACTCGCTGACATCTCTCGTCGAAATGCTTGAAGTAGCTGTTTCCCGATTTCGTGGACCAAACCAAGGCATTGTTCTCGTCAGTCATAGTATGGGATGCAATCTGGCTGCCCTTCTCGCAAGTCGACTTACGTCGCGCGAAGATAGCAGTACTACCGGTGATGCCCCGCTTGTTATGGGCTTAGTTGCTCTATGCCCTACCACTGGGCCCCATGGTGTCGCCAAGGTAGCTATCTGCAAGGCTTTGCTCTGTATACCATCTCCGATATTCAACGCCTGGAGAAGGTGGGATAGCCGCGGCGGCTCTGGCAGTCCTAGTGTTACCCGTTTTGTTGGAGACGGTGCGGATGACGAAGCCAGATTGCTACAGCTACGTTATACTAAGCAGAGCAAGACCGCCGTGTGGCGTCGCATGGCTTGGGGATGCCTTCCCGTTGTCAATTTCGGAACGTCAGTAGAGGGCGCCCCTGGCACGGACGTCTGGTCTATACTCCGCCTTCCTGTTTGTCTCATCACAGGCGAATCTGATCGTGTCACGCCGCCGGCAGAGGCCAAAAAAATTGCCCGGGTTCTTTCTTCTGGAACGCAGGGCGGCCCTGGTGGGACTAGCTATCCAACCCTAGCCGATGCCACCCATCTCCAGCTTACTGGCCCGCTCGAAGGAGACCGTACTGACATGCCTGGTCAATCACGGGAGCTTCCGTCCAGGATGGGGACGCTCCTCACAGCGGCATCTTCATCCCAGCCGGATGCCTCGCAGTGCGCTGGCACCCCACCTCTGCAGCTCGAACCACTCAAGTATGTAGAATTGCACGTTGTCCCGTCTCCGGCTGCCCATGGCTTGCTTTACGTCCCATCAACTGTCAGTGTTGTCTCAGCTCTTGTCAATAATTTCTTGGCACAGCATGTGACGGGCCGGTTAGACCGCGGTTGGCAACTCCGATTTCTTTCTCGCGAAGGGAAGTGGGACGTCAAAAACCTTGATAAGTGGTCAAAGGTTCAACCAGTCTCAAGCCCCGTTGGCGGCATTTTTCGTGCCATGAAAACCCTAAGGCAGGTAGATGCAGCTCACAGCCCACAGCGGTTTGTGGATAATTGGGCTCTTGTTGTCAAAGACGTCATTGATATATCCCATGACAGCCCGGTATACGATCCCCGGGATCTTGAAGCTGGCGGTATTTGCTATCACAAATTCCCTACTGTGTCTAAAATCCCCCCTAGTGTCTCTGAGGTTGAGGCGTTCAATTCCCTTGTAGACAAGATCCGAACCAGGCAAAAGCAGAAGGTCGACAATGCTAATCCAGGCAGGGGTAGCCTTATAGGTGTACACTGTCACTATGGCTTCAACCGGACTGGTTACTTTATTGTATGTTATCTTGTTGATCGGTGTAACTACACTGTTGAGGAGGCTATTGCTGCTTTCGCAGCGGCAAGGCCAGTTGGCATTCGACATACTTATTTCCTCGACTCTTTGTCGTTAAAATATGCTAAGGTATCAAACAGCCCTACATTATAATATATTTCAATACCATTTTGTATTTACTTTGTATAACCTTACCCTTACCCTTAGTAAAGTAATCAAGCATACCGTATCCTAATTGATTATCTAGGGTTGTGTCTAGCAAGAGGTGTTTTAAAATCAATATCTCTTAAGGTTAAAGTAGTTTTTCAAATAAAAGAGTAAATTAATATTTAAAATAGCTTAGAATAATACAGATAGTAAGTTAGCGCTTACCGCCTACAAAGTTAGGTAGGCGCCTGCCTTTGTGTAAGGGTTAGTGTGCAATGTATAGTCATAAAGGCTTAAACGTGTTTGTACTTGTTATATTAAGACTTTAACTTAACGAACTATGGTAGACTGGTAGGCGACAGCCTGCCAGCTAATTTATACGTAACTAGAAGATGCAGTGTAGCGCAACCTTAGTAGGGCGTAGTACAGCTAAGTGGCTGTGCCGGTCCTGTGCAACGTGTTAAGATAGTTTGTTAAGTCTAATGCTTAGTAAGCGACGGGTTGCCGAACTAGTGTATAAGGACGCGTGTGTAGAATACCCTTATACTATCCCCTCTCTTTTTAGGTAACGCCTTTATTAGCCTAAAGGTGTATACGTAGCAGCTACTTGCTTATTAAAAAACCTTTTTGTATAAAATTAGGAAAAAGAGTTAAGTGCTTTAGGTTATTAGTACTTACTAAGTAGTTGTAGACTGCTTACTTATATAACTATATTTAAGTAATATAGAAGCGTATATATATTACTTAGTTTATAGCGGTAGTAAATGCTAGATCTTGCTTAATGTAAGGGTTGTTTTATATATTAAAGCTTTTTAAAAGGCGTATAGCTTAGATTTTAGTTAAGAAACGCTTAGGTTATTATTAATAAGTATTATAAAGAAGCTAGCCTTAATACTAAGTATATAAGAGTATAGTATACGCCAACTAAAAATAGTAGTATAAGGCTTAAAACTTTTAACTATTAGTAAAGTATAATAAAAGTATTAATAGCTATTTATTATTTATTGATTATAAAACTATTACTAATTAAATAGTAAAGGTAGTTTACTATTAAAATGTTTTTTATTTAATTTTAGGCGTATTTTACTTTACTATTAAAGTAAGGTTAAGTAAGTTTTTAAAATATATTTAAATATTTAATAATATAGCTTTTTTATTACCTTAAGGTATAAAAGAGTAAGTTTATTTTATAATTTTAAAATAAGTTTATTTATATTTATAAAACTACTCTTACCTTTTTAGGGTTTTTTTTAATCTTACTAGTATAGTAAGCTAATATAATAATTTATAATTTTATATAGTAGCTAGCTAATAATTGCTTATAAATAATATTTAACTAAAGCTATTTTTAAGTCTTAATAAACCTTTTTTATAAATCTAAACCTTATAAAACGCTTTTTTAAGTATATATATTATCTTTTAAAAGTATAAGTTTTTACTAATATAATAGTTATTAAGTAATAGCTAACTTTATAATAAGCTTTATACTTATAATAAATATTTAAGTAAGCTTTAAGAATATAGTTTAAGTTTTTATATATAGCTTTACTAAAAAACTTAGTATACTATAAGAGCTATACAGCTAATAACATATTATACTTACTAGTAAGTATATTAACTTATATACGCTAGTAGCTAATTATTAATTAATAGCTTTCTAATAAGATTAAAGGCTTAGCTTAATATATTTAAAAGTTTTTAGCTAGTATAAATAAGTTACTACTTTAATAAATAGTAGCTAATAATATTATTATAGTACTAAGCAATTATATAGTAATTGCTTAAAGGTTAATAGCCTTAATAGTAGTAGTTAAGAAACTTAGCTATGCTTTATAGAAAGATAAGTTAAAGCTCTTAGCAACTAACTAGCACTTTTAGTATAAACGTTTTAAGATAGTATAATAGGCTATATTATACTTTAGTATTCTTTACTAGTACTAGTAAGAGCTAAAGCTTACCTTAACGCTTATATAGTAGTTAGTAAAGGTAGCCTAGCTTTTACTACTAATATCTTTAAATATAGGCACGCTATTATAAGTAGAAACTTAAGTTACTACTACTCTTAAAGTAATAGTAAGTCTTTTAATCTTTATAATTAAGTTATTACTAACTTATTACCTAAGCTAATTCTTATTTTATTATACTTAGCTTAGCTTAGCGCGCTATAGCTATTTAAGCTAGCTATAGTAGTACGCTTTACTATACTATAGAAGTAAAAAGGCTACTTAAGTAAATCTTATAAAGTATAGTAGCTTTAGTTAAGCTAGCTTAGACTAACTAAGTAGTAGTCTTTTCTTAGCTGTTACCTTTAGTAGTATTTAGTAAGTAACAGTCTTATGCTAAGTTGCGAACTTTAGCTAAGCGTTAGTATAGCGCTAAGACTATTTTTAGTACTATAACTAATAATAGTAAGGTAGCTATAGTAGCTAGTAGTGATAGTATAATAGTATTTAGTAAGAGTGCGCTAGTAAGCAGCTAGTTAGCAGCTAGTAGTAGCTATATACTAGCTAGTAAAGGCTTACTTAGTAGTAAGAAAGAAAATTAAAAGAATAGTATTAAAAAAAGAGATAAAAGAGTAAAGAAGACTATAAAAAAGATAGTAATAAGTAGCTAGTAGCTAAGTAATAGCCTATTAATAAAGTATTTTAAGTTTATAGCTTTAAAAGGCGCCTTTAAAGCTAAAATAAGTAGTTTATAGTATATAATTATATAAGAATAGTAAAAGTAGTTTTAGCTAGCTAGCCTTTTTATTTTACTAAAAACTAAGTTTATAACTTTTTACTAAAGTAAGTAATAATATCTTTAACTTTATACTCTTTTTAATCTTCTACTTTTTTATAAAAGCTCTTCTTCTTCTTTTACTATAATAGTTTATAGTTTAAGGTAAAAGATATAAAATACATTATATTAGTAAGCGTACTATAAAGGTAAGGTAACTTAATATATAACTAAGCCTAGCTTCTTTATAATATAAATATATAAAAAGGTTAAGTTTAGCTTCTTTAAGCTAACTAAGTTTAAGTGCTTTATTAATAAGCTTATAAATTTACTTTCAATAAATTCCTTATATAAGCGTTACTTATTATAGCTTTTCTTTTATTAGCAAATTACTTTTTCTTATAATATTTTTAGCTTTTACTTAATAGCTTATAGCTAACTAATACGCTTTTATACGCTCTTTACTATAGCCTTTATAAAAAGAAAGTTATTTATAAAATAAAAGTAGTATATATATAATGTATAAAATAAAGAAGTTGTTATTATAGTATAATAAGCGTTACTATATATAAATTTTATAGTACTTAATACTTATATTTACTAGTATTATAAGCAACTATAAAACGTTTATAAGAATTACTTTAAGGTTTAGTTTAAAATCTTAGTACTATTATTTATTTATAGGTAGCATGTTATTAATATTATTAGCTAGACTTTTTAAAGTTATATTAGTTCCTACTAAAACTAGCTAGTAAATAAGCTGTCTTTATTACTAACGATTACTTTTAAAATACTAAACTTAGTCTTTATATAGTTATAAATAAGTTAGGCAACCTTAGTAGCTACAACTATCTTTTAAGTAAGAATAAACATACTATGCTATAGTAATTAACTATTACTAAGATAGTATTATATAGATAGCTATTTAAGCTTAGGCTTAGCTTAAGACTAGTTATAAAATCTATACTAATATACTAGAATAGCTAAATAAGTAAAAGTAAAGACTAAAAGTATTTGTATAGCTTATACTATAAGACTTTATTACTTGTGTATTAAAAATAGTTAGTAATAAACGTATAAACATTTATAGCTATATTTAGTTAGTAGTACTTTCTAATAAAGAGTTTTATAGTTTATAAACTTTTATATAGCTTACTATAAAAGAGTTATAGTATAGACTAATTAGCCTTACTTATAGCTTATTTACTAATAAGATAATAATATAATTTTTATAAAATAAAGTATTCTTTTTTAGTAAATAATAAGTATTATTCCTTTAGCTTTACCTAGCTTTTATAAATAAGTTATTTAATAATTAGTCTTAGCCTTAAGTATTATGAATAGTATTATATAGCTTAAAAAAGCACTAAGGTTATAATAGCTATTCTTAGCTAGTAGTAACTTATGCCTTTTATATAAATAATAATAAAGCCTTTAGTATAAAAAGCCTTAGCAACTAGTCTATAATCTATAGCTTACTAAGAAGTAAAGAGAGTACGTTATTATATATAATATTACCTTTTATATAGTCTAGTTAGTAAGACAAACTATTGACTAGGTTAGTAAACCTTAAGTAGTGCTTAATTTTAAGTTAAATACTAAGAAGCAAAACACTTATTAGGTAATTTAGTTTTAAAGATTCTTTGCTAATACCTTAATAATGCCTTTTAGCGCTTAGTAGTT